ACAAAGTTCCAACGACTCTATCCCAACGAACCGTCTTCCAAAAGGGCAAAGAAAAGGTTGGAGAAACTTCCACTCCTTCCGAAAAGAAATCTGTTCATATAAGCCCTAAGTCCACAAGTGCCTCGAAATTTGTTGTTCCCGATGATGATGCACGATTTTTTGAGACTTTGAGATAAAGGTGGGAATAGCATCCGGTTTGCCTGGAACAGGAGGTTTGTTCAGAAGCACTGCGCATCACATGTGCTACAAGTTGTTACTTGCTAGAGGGGTAATGAACAATAGGACTGTGGATTTCGAATACATGGAGAAGGCTGGCATTTCTGTAAAGCACCTGTTTGAGAAGTTAGGGATTTATGAATTTTGTCTTCAATCTACCAATACTTATGCTGAATTAACTGCCTACTTCTATTCCAATCTTTCAATTATGTCACCAAATTGGATTCAGTTTACTGTTGGTGACAAGAAGGTTGATTTAAAAGCGCATGGTTGGCAAGGATAATTGGAGCCCCACACTCCAATTTTACTCCGTTGGCAGTGAATCTTGAAGAAGCTTCACAGGTGGCTTCTGAAAATCCAAACTTTGCTCAAGGATCCAAGCGTCATCTCTCCTATTCTGACTTATCCAGACGATCTGTGATCTTGCATAAGATCATAATCAACTGTTTGAAGCCCAAAGATGCCTCAAAAACTGACCTTTCAAAATCAGAAGTCAAGCTCATTTGGGCTATCTTAAAAGGTCAATCTTTCTCTCTCCCTCACCTCATCATATTCCATATGTACAGGGCATTACAGAAGCATAAGGGTCATCTTCCTTATGGTGCACTTATCACTAGAATATTCATGTTTTTAAGACTATCTATTCCTGATGAGTTGCACGAAACCATGCTACCTCTTATGTTTGTTGGAGAAAGAATGCTCTCCAAAATGAAGAAATTTGAAGATGTAAGGGACAGAGTAAGAGGAAAAGAGGCTCAACAGTCGGCGGCTAAATCTGTTGGAAAGAAATTGGAGAAAGACAAAGAGCAAAAGAAAAGAACCAGTTCAACCAGCAAGCAGCCTGATTCTCCTACCCCACTAAAAGTGTACCGCAAGAAACGTAGAATTCTTCTGCATGATGAAAATGATGAAGCAGAAGCAGAACACTTTAAAACAGGAGGCCCAGAACATGTTCCTGAACCAGCTTCCAAGGTTTCAGAATCAATTCATGAAGAACATGTTTCTGAAGATCAAGCACCTGTTCAGGGGGAGATTCCACCAGAATCAGCCACAGGGTACAATCAGTCTGAGGAAGCTAATGTCCAAGGTCAGCCATCCGAAAATCAGAATATTCTTTCTATTCTGATCGAGATTAAAGACAAGCAAGCTGCTCTAGAACAAAATATGCAGAATCTACTGAAAATTGTTGAGGAAAACAACAAGGCTCAACAACTTCATGCAGCAGCAGATAAAGCAGCATTAGAGGAAGCCATTACTATGTGCTCATCCAACATGGATAAGGCCATAGGTCAATGCAGTTTGAAGATTGAGGAGGCTGTCTCAATATTGGACAATTTTCAACTGATTCGTACTCCTAAAAAATAGCCTGTTTTTCAACATTTCTCTCCAAATTCATTTTTTTATTGGTCTGTAATATATCTCACAATTATTGTTAGACTATAATCCGTCTTGAATCTGAATTTTATTCAGACTCTTCTGTGATTTATTTTGTTTCCGCATAAATTATTAAAAATTGGTTAAGATCACCTATTCACCCCCTCTAGGTGATCCTTGCTAGCTACATCAATGAATAGAACCAAGTAAAATGCGAAAAATCGTCAATAAAACAAATATAGTATTTATTGCCGTTGAATGAAATAACAGGAGAGGGACCCCAAATATCAAAATGAATTAATTTCAAAGGATGTTTTGACCTAGACAAAGTAGGATAATGACTATGGCGGTGATTTTTATTCATAGCACACACCATACAAACTGAAGATAAAGAACGACTAAAACTAATGTTGGATGAATTGAGAAGACGCACATGTCCAAAGCGGTTATACCAAAGAGTGAGAGAAGCAATTGATGCAAAATGTGTGGAAGAGTGGCAGGACGGAAGGGTGATGCGGTAAAGCCCATTGTCAAGTACTCCGCGGAGGATTTCCTAACCATTTTTAATAGACGGGGCAATAAAAGAGTTATAATTGAATTGGAAAACATAATGGTTATTAAGTGCAAACCGAGCCACGGAAAGGAAGTTTTTGGTGATTCCAGGTATGACTAAAATTTGACAAAGTATAAAGGACGGAGAAGAGGACACGAGTGTACCTGTGTGGGTGATCGGTAAGGAGACGTCGTCACCCACAACAAGCTGAGTTTGACCTGAATATGGGGTGACACTTGTAAGTCCTACAGAATTGTCCACAACGTGATGCGTAGCACCTGAATCAACAAACCACACCGAAGATGTGAAAGCAGAGGGCGGACTTGATGGCGGCAAATACTATGGCCGTGAGTCCGAACCCATCAAGTGGGCTTGTGCGGGCTGAACGGATCCAACAAAACATGTAACATGTATTGGCCCTATGGCCTTGCTTGCCACAAAGCTGGCAAAATTGGCCTCCTCCGTTGTGGCTCGCCCGCGATTTCCAGTTCCATAATGTGAGCCACAGCCATGGGATATTCCAGAAAAATTCCCAGATTGATTAAAATTTGCATGGAAGCTGTTTGGCCCGTGACGGGTCTGCCGAGAAGAAGGCGATCCTTGGCTGGTCTGAAAAGCCGCCGGTGGGGCTGATTATTTGTTACCAACGCTAGCCCTAGCCTTCCCTCGTGATTAAGAATTGAGGCATGAAGTTGGTCCTTTGTCAAAGACCCGGTTTGAGTTAACACGGAAATTGCGGTGTCGAGACCTTGAAATTCAGTACCTAAACCACGAAACAATTGAGTATGATATTCATTAATAGATAAAGGCTCACCAATAGCAACTAACTGGTCCGTGAGGTCGGTGGCTTCTTGTAGGAATTCCGTGACGAATCGGTGGCCTTTTGAGAGTGATTGAACCTGGAGCCATAAAGCGGACGCGCGAGCAGTTAATTGAGTGGCATACGAGTCCACAAGATACTTCCAAACACTTGCCGCGGATGTGTGACTCGTCGATTGGGCAACTATTGGAGCGGTCGACGAATTGAGGATCCAAGCTAAGGCAATGGACTCTCGAAATTTCCAGTTTTCAAACGCTGGATTGGTCATTTGCGTAACAGTCCCTCCCGGTGCAATCTCCTTGACGGTCTCGTCCGGCTGAGGTTCGATGCCGTCCAGAATGGATAGCAAGCAGGCAGCGCGTAAATACGATGAGATCTATGTTTTCCAGATCGGAAAGTTCGTACCGGTTAGCTTCTCCCCAATACTTGGTGGTGACATGAGAGTGGGGTTATTCGAGGCGGTTGATGACGGCGTTGGTGCAGAAGATGATATTTCTTTAGACATGGATCGGTGAGGCTTTCACCAAAGATGCTCTGATACCAACTTGAAAAGAATTAATTTCAATATATGTAAAGGAAGCTATTGCAATTGCAGTAGATGCATGTGGAAGCTGTGAGGCTCAATGAAGAATTAGGCTTTAGAGAAGAAAATTTTATTCCTCTTTTTTCTGTACATGATTGTGTTGCAAATACAATGTATATAAAGGATTTTAAGAGATAAGATACATAAGGTAACAGAATAACAAATATTTCCTAAATATTTTCTTCCCTTGACAGATAAGATACAAAAGGTAACAAAATAATAAATGTTCCCTAAATATTTGCTGAGTATTTTCTTCCCTTAACAATAAGAATGCCCCCCCACCTTCAAATCAATTTCTCAGCCTAAATATTGAGTGCATTCAGTGTCGAACTCAATTGTCGAATTAGTTTTGATAGTTAGGTAGATCCACCTGAGCTCATACCGGAACTGTACTTCATTGTGCTCATCGGTCGCATTCACTCGTGAATTCCGCAACATCTTCCACCGTTCTTAAGATATGTTAATGGCCGATAGATGGTTCAAGAACCTTATCCCTGAATATAACTAAAGACGGATGTGATGAATCATTTACAGATAGAATAATCTAAACGGTTTCCATCACAGGACTAACTAGATAAGAATCACTGCATGCACTTCATGGGAGTGCTCGCAACAAATAAGGATATTTCCACACAAACCCGATTCGATACGTGTTAATTCAAAGGTGTTTATTATTCTCGAATGGAGTTATGCTGGCTCTTTTCTACAAGAAGATAGCCTGTTGCTGTTGGAAGCTTTCACGGTTGCGCGAGCGCTCACTTCAGCTGTCCTCTCGGTACGAGATGTGAGAGGCAAGCCAATTAAGATTTTACCCGAAAGAGCATAACAGATAAGACTCACACCAGAAAAAGTTGACGCTAAGAGGCAAGTGCATGCAAGTAGGCCATGGCCTACTGGAGGACACTTAGGGGCCTTCGGTGACGCAAGAGCATTAGACCGTGATAATTCGCACCACTATCTCTTTCAAAAGGGTGGTCTGGCGGAAGTGTGAACGTACAACTCTTACATGAGATCTAGACATGTTTCTTAATAGGTGAGTTATTATATTGATCAGTTATATTTAATAAATGAATCATAAATTAATTTAAACATAACATGAGTCTTAAATAGGTCATAAGTGGATCATAAGGGTTATAAATAAATTTACAACTTATGATTCTCTCTTCATTCTTTCTCGCCGATCATGCACTCACTCACTCCGCACTCTCACCTCAATTTAGGCATGAATTTTCCTAGATTTAATTAAATATGAAAGTATTATAGCAATATAAATCGCATCAAGTATAGGCCGGATCGAGTATGAGTCGAAAATTTTGCATTACGAATAAATTGGTCATATTGGGTCGGATTATTTATAACCCGACCCAACCAATCCGTTTGATAGGTCTAGTGAGATCTAAAGATGCTCATTTCGAGCCTCATTCTCGCTTTATACTTCCCTGCAATGACGAGCCTTAAAAATCCTACTGCCACTTGTAAAATTATAAGGAAAGGATTGCTGCCCAATGTAGATAAGAACAGTCAAGTGGTTCCCCAAAAACTGGAAAGGAAATCTCCTGGGGTTCGCAACTCTGCAATTACACTGAAGACCATACGCTTTCGCAGCAGCGCAAGCAGAAATCTTAGAAATAGCATTTCACGTTATATCAAGTAAACCACAGAGGCCACACTTTTGCACGGGTAACTCTGGCTTTTTTCAGCTTCAGGCAGAGAGACATCTATCTCCGCGAACACCACCAATACCAAAGTGTTCGTAAACACCAAGTGCAAGTTACTGCTCTTATTGACAGATGACCAGTCCGCAACTTCCTTTTCCTCTATCCAGTTGTCCCCCGTTCTTGTATTGTTCCCCTCTTGTTTCGTTCCTAGTGTGCTTCTCTCTCTCGTGCATTTTGTCTTTCTGCTTCTTCCTTTCATCTCGCGGTCAAACTCCACAACCTAATGACTGCTTTGGCTAATGGTCTCCTACATTTCTTATCTTGACTCTACACTACTATTATGGCCACATTAAACAATCTCGAAATCCCAAGAACCAACAACCAAGAGAGAACTATTATGATTCTGGCAATTTGCCGGAAGAAACTAAGCAGGAAATCAACACGGACTAGGACCAAAAAACATCTCTACCGGCATAAATTCTTGGCTTCCAGACTACTCTCCACTAGAGGAGGCATCAATGCTAAAACAAATTTTCCTAAAGGACCTTCCCTTAGTTTCTAAGAAAGTGTCCCCATCAGCCGGCTGCATATCTCATGAGAACTGTGAGGGACGGTTCTCTGGATCAGATAGCAGAGTAACTACAACAACAAACATAAGGACGACAAGCAGGGCTGTTTTCACCGCCAGATCCCAGTTAGTGTTGCCATCCATATGCCACTCACAATTATGGACATGAGATTGCTCCTCTCTGTCCTCAACATCAGAAAGATCAGCCCCAGAAATTGGGCTGTCAGTCTCAGAAGGTTGCTGCATGCCACGATTGCTCATGATTCTACAGTTCGTGCAATTGCAATTTCCACCAAGATACAATGGGAGTGTCTGAAGACACTCGGCAAGAACCTTCTGATAAATGTTCCCGTGAATCCTCAGCTTCTCTCGAGTAGCAGGTCTCAGAACCTGACAGAGAAAGAGACTTACTTGAGCAAGTTTCAGAAGTATCTAAGATGCCACCAGAATAGTACAGCAGGAAAACTTGGTGCTAGAGAAACCCTATAATATGTCAACATTACCTGTAGTAGAGTCTGGGCAATAACTCGCAAAACAGGGGGAAGTCGTATGACAAACACACAACCAAGCCGACCTGGGAAATGATCTTGCAGAAGGGACAAACAAGATCTCATTATTTGCATGGGAATTCTATATGGAGATAAACCCTGACAGTCGACGACAACTGTAATTCGGGTGCTGTCAGAATTAACCAAGCGAAGCAATCCATGTTCCACCTGAGATACTGCATAGCAACCATTTCAACCCATAAATATATCCTCCGAAAAGCAAAAATACAGTAAAGGTATACTTGAAGTAATAATGACTGGTTTATTAAACTACAAAGTCCTGCTATTTCCAGGAAACATAAATGTAAAAAAACATATCATACACTTACGCAAATTAAGCTATCCTAAAGAGCAAAAGGACAGGCATATAGTGATTGACCTGCGTATCCTCAGTCATAATCACAACCTTCAGACAAATACTTTTGTAATCAGAGCAACGCTTGGATGAAAGTTCAGATTTTGCAAAAGATTGTCTCATATCTAAACTGGTATGAAAGTACGAGTTACTTGAACGAGTGAATTGATGAATCTTGTTATAGTTATACTTTTCAACTTCAAGAATCCTCAGTGATAAAAACACAAAAGCAGGTCACAAAGGCAATGCAGTTAGGGAAGTATGACTGAATACACGCAACCTCAAAAGAAAAAAACAAAAAGATATTAATCTCATTACTCAAAGGGCTAGAAGCTAAGAAATGAACAAGCATTTAAGGGAGCAACGAAACATACTGATAGCTTGAGAGAAGCGAGGTCTCTCATGTGATGGCAAGCTGATGAAAGCGAAGCCAAGCCGCACTATGAGACATGGTCTATGTCTCAAATCAAATCCATGCCAGAAGAGTAAATTTGACCAAACCTGAAGTTCTTCCTCAGTGAGGAGTCTGTAAGTTTCCCTCCAACGAATTGTCCTCTTAACTGAGAACACAAAGGATGAGAAATCACCATTTGCGGCAACATAAAATCTACGGAGCTCATCCTCATCCATTCTGCAAAAGCATTACCATACGTTACCATGCTTCAACCAAACCGATGATACTTTATGTGACCCATAATTGAGAAAGAAAGTAAGAGTAATTGGAGAATCAATCAGTGGCAAAATAAAGATATGAACATGAAGTCCTTGCTCGATAAATTTTGTCATCAAGTAGTCATTTTATAATCCGATACTTCCAGAAAGTTCAATCAAAGTACTCCGCTGCTGTGCTGAACATGGTTAGTGAACTTACCTATCTGGCAAAGTAATCCCTTGATCCTCCAGTTCTTTATGCAAACGGACTAACCAATTTTCTGATGCTAAAATCTGAGGAGCTTCATTGCAGATCCTGTAAACAAGCAAAAATATTCTTATGACGCATCAACAACGGAGACATCACATCTGACTTAGAGGAAGGGAGGATTCAGGTGGAACTTCAAGAAAAACCATGAAAGTTTCCTCACCAACCTCATAAATGTAGAATTGCGACACATTCAGAGAAAGAAGAACATAAAGAGAAAGCAAAAGAAAAGCAATTTGATATAGGTAACCACAATCTTATTCTCACTGCCAATGGGAGATCAGCTAGAAAATTGAATCATTGCTTACAGCAAAGCAGGGGTTTAAGTCACGACTCAAGTCTCAACAAATTCTTTATCTCGGATATTCAGAGAGTAAATTTGGTTTTTCAGATGACCTTATCAACATGCACTTAAAATACTGCCCCTTTTCTTCTAAATTCAACACAAATAACATCCATTCATAGATTGGCACATAAAAACGAGCATGTTAATCAATTTGCCGATACAAATAATTGTCCTTAACTTTCAGTCATTATCTAGAAAGACATCGAAAGTCAATCTCAAGTCTGGTCCCTTACATGCACTTAGTATCTGAAGTATGCTGCAAAGTAGCCGGATCTGAACATGCATTAGAATATGCTTGGGAGTCACTCACAGCGTCCGAACTTTCAGAGGTAGGCTCTTCTTGATCAGAAAATGCGGTAGCTACTGATAGAGCTAATAGAGGCCTGGACAATGTCTGACAACATGAAATCATTCAATTGACATTATATGAGATGAAGCGAAAGCATGAGATGATAACAAATTGCACCAATTAAAGTAACCTAAATCTTTAAGTCTGCGATATTATTGTTAACTAGCTGAGACTATGCCCTCAGTGCCCATAAAGGAACTTCAGATACTGCCCTATAGAATTGATAAAACTGGCCAACCATACGCACATAGACAATCTCCAAGCAAATTTAGGCATCTGGAGATATTATTGCCCCTACTAAATCATGTCAATTATATATGAAAGACAACAGAACGAGCTAAAAAATACACAGCCACTTCCATGATTGCATTAGACTCCAAGAATGCAAGAGTTATTGCAAATAAATTTATCTACGGTCTCAGGAATATGCCTTAAGTATCTTTCTTTCGAAATTTTCCATCTTAAGAAAGCAATCAAGATCAATAATGGACTGTACAAACCTGCATGCCTTTCACCAAACCCCTGAAGGAAGCCCATCTCTGTAACCACTTTAATGGTGGGTAACAGAGAAATTGTAAAGCCTGAAGACCGCGCCAAACAAATGGACACTTGGCCCTGGAAAACCTCCTCACAGTTTCCAGTGCTGCAGCTTTGAGCAAAAAGAATGCTACATCACCCAATACACCACTTCTAATTCTGCCATGTCCCAGGGAAGCTATGTGCCTGTAACTGAATTTATTCTTAGAGAATGCTTTTGGCCTCGCTGCAACCAAAGACTTCTGAGAAACCTTTTTCCCAGGAACAAAACTAGCGGTTTCAGGGTTTTTGTTCAAGGTGGAATTATGCCGCGGGTCTTCCATCGAGATGCCTGGACCAGATATCTGGCTCCAGTTAACGGGTAAGACTGAGAGTAACTCCTCCACACATAACTAATCAAGCTGCCATTTTTCTTCGACTGCTCTACAGCTTTCGACAGAACCGCCTACTCTTGTCAGGACATCAACCTGCCCAAGTCAATAAACGACACTACTACACTAAATTATCATTCATAATATCCTCAGGGCAAAGAAAATAATCCTAAAGCTGAACTGAAATTGACACCCAGTACACAGAACACTCACCAATAAATTCCAGCAATAGCATTTGAGCGACCACCTTAATAAGTTAGATGCTATGATACAAACAGTTCGCATGCCTCCATTGCGGAATTCTAAAACTCTGCTAATTAAAATCAGAAATTCATCATTGGTATCTTTAGTAAATGCAGGTAATTTTCAAACGTGTTACAGTGACTTCATCGATGTGTTGGTAAATCACGGATATGTTGGATCGCCTGCCTCCATCAGGATCAGTCCATATACTTCACATCAACAATTTCCACAACCAGACAGCTCAGACCAGAACCTTCAGGATATAAAAAAAAAAAAAAAAGAGGAACAAACGTGATCATTCTTTCCAGCAGTGTTCTTTCCACTTGGCTATCAAACTGAAGCACAAAAAAGATGAGATCTCGTAATAAGAGATCGCCTCTATCGCGAAATTCAGACTGAATTTGGAATGCGAAACTTATCCAGGTTCAATCAGCTAACTGGGTATGGCTACAAGATCAGACCGACGACAAATTTCGCGAGAATGGAGCAAGAAGAGCTTTACCCGGGAGAGAATCTCATCGGAGCGGGACAGCACCGGGGAAAACGAAAGGAGAAATTCAGTTCGGAACTTTTCACGGGAAGCTTTTCGCTGGAATCCGACGTAAGCGAATCGAAACGCTTTTCGCTTGTCGGCGCTTGATCGGCGCGGCGCGGTTTCTCGTGCGGCGTCGCCAAGCTCGCCACCGTCAACGTCGATGGCGGAGGGAAGACGGCGAGGGGAGGGGAGGGGAGGGAGACAAGCAGAAGCAGCGGCAGGTGGAGGAGGTGGGGCCCCACCCGAGAGGACTTCGTGCCCATGATGGACCGGGACCGGGACCGGGACCAGCTCCCACCTACCGTCACGTGTCGTGTCGCACGTGTTCGGTCGATATTGTCTTGGAGTTCGATCAAACGGCGCGGATTCTAGAATTAGATGCGCAGTTGCAATTTTGCTTTCTTACAAGTTCATGTGACATGGGAAGCCAAACGCTAAATGTTACTATAAGAGTTCATCAGTTCCCGATCCGGTTAAAACCGAATTGAGAGAATCGGTTCCCAAAATTAGAAACCGGGGATCGGATCGATTAATACTAACATTGGGAACTGGATTGGATCACTTTTTTTTCTCATAACTTGATACCATATGTTTTGAAATTAGAATTGTGTTTCCCATACCAACTACACATAACCACAAAAACAAACGTGCAATTTGAGATTGTGTTCCCCATGCCAATTACATGTATATTCTAAAATTGAAATTGTATTTCCCATATGGACTACACATAATCACAAAAAAAAGTATATGTAATTGGTCCGGTTCTCCTCAGAATCGGAAAACGAAACGCTCGGACACCGGTTCCACTTTTAAGAATCGAGAACCCAACCGACACTCCCGGGATTTGAACCAAACCGGTCGGTCCGGGTGGTTCCCGATTTGGGTGATCCGTTTTGCACGCTCTTATGTTACCATACCTTGTTTGGTTGTTCTCTTTTCATATATGAGAATTTCCTTTGCAATGTGACTCTTTATATTTCTAATTACTTTTTTCAATTCGAAATATTAGCCTTCCAGATTTTCACTCCATTTTTTTCTTCTAGCATCCCTATTACCTTAGATTAACTACATTATCCATTGTGAATCTCATTTTTTTATTTAAGATTATTGTTTTCTTCTTTTTGCTTAATTTTTTACCAAAAGATAATACTACGCATGTCTCTCTCGAACAAGAGATCAAATATGGGGCCTACTCTTGATTTAAGATTGATTTTTACTTTTTTTACCTTCCATTATAGTTCCTTGTTTTTCCCTGTTGTTACGAAATTGGCGTCCCACTTTTTCAAAAAATAGTTTATGTGACAGATAACCGCTTAATTATTGTATCGATGAGTTGTGCATATCTTTTTTATCTTGTACTAGCAAACCATAATTCTAAAATAACCTAAGCACAAATAAGAGAAAAAAATCATTTACAAGTTTTAATGAATGCATCTGGTTTAACTATAACTTTATATTTGCCATTACATTATAGTCCGTGTATTTTTACTGCTTAACTTTCATTTTATTCGGTGAATCTAATAGTGCAATAATATGCCATCATTGCACGATTTTCTAAAAGACATTATCAAAAAAAAAAATTAAATATGACAAAGTCAAGTACATTAAAAAATTCCAAACATTCATTATTATCATGCAATTTCAAGAGAAAATGCCCTCTAAAACATTATTACATGGAATGTTATCTTTACCTTGATCACAGGGATTGATTAGTTGTTAATAAGCGGAAGAAAAAAAGTACGTAACATTCTTAAATCGATAGGGGAACCCCATCAAAGATAAAGATAGGGGTTGTCAGAAGCCAAAAGACAGAGTAGAAAAAGCGCTAACTTATTTTGATTGATCTTCTTCTAAACCTCGCATCATCGATCCTTTACTAACAACTTAAGATAAAAAAAGACATGAGATGGAATTCAATTTAATGTTGCGATGGACACTTGAGTACGTACTTGACATCACTGATACACAAAGGAGAAAAAATCGGCAGCGATCGATCTACATTTGGTTCTTGCCACCTAAGATCGAGAAGAGGTTGGTATAAGATCGATGAACACGCAAGAAGCCCACGTGCCACTTTGCCAGGACACGTGGAGCAGCACCCGCGAATCCTTCCCTCGGCCTCAGTAACATAACATCCCCCCCGCCTGAATTAAAGGGGCTCGATCGGACCCGTTCGACAGCACACACTCGTTCGTGATATCAGTGAGCAGAAGAGTCGTCGCCGTCGCCGTCGCAGACGAAAAGCCAGAAGCAAAGGAAGCATGAATCCGGCGTTCGCATACACGGTGGTGTACGTCAAGGACGTAGCCAAGTCGGTGGCTTTCTACGCCAGAGCCTTCGGCTACAACGTCCGCCGCATCGACGAGTCTCACCGGTCAGTGATTCGTTCTTAGATGATTTCATGAATTAGGACATGGTGGGGTGATTCTGACGACGGCATTTTCCGTATGTTCTTTCGCTCGAATTTGATGTAGGTGGGGGGAGCTAGAGAGCGGGCAGACCACGATCGCGTTCACGCCGCTGCACCAGCACGAGACCGATGACCTGACCGGGGCGGTCCGCACTCCCGAGTCCGGCCGAGGTCGGGTCCCGGTCGAGGTTTGCTTCGCGTACAGAGACGTCGATGCCGCGTACAAGGTTTCGATTGCTACTCATTTGATTTTTAGGATCAATTCATTATCAATCTCAGGAACGAGAAGGTTGCATGCTATACACTTTGTAATTTTGAGTGTGAGAGTATTGTGATTAGTTTAATCGAATGAGATCATCCAGCTTAATGAACATATGTGAATCCTTAAACGTGAAAGTCTCCTTCTAAACATTTGCAATCAGTGCATGTTCCGAACCGAAAAGTTTCTGTGACTATTGAGAATATCATAATTTCCGAGGTCGAATTAAACGATTTTTTTCTTACCCTTTGTATCCTTGAATGTGTATGCTCGCCGGACGAACAGAGGGCGGTGGAGAGCGGCGCGGTGCCGGTGAGCGAGCCGGAGGAGAAGGAATGGGGGCAGAAAGTCGGGTACGTCCGCGACCTCGATGGGATCGTCATCAGGATGGGGAGCTACGTTCAAGCACCAAAACAAGACTGAACTGCTTCCAATGGCATCCGCTCCATCGCGCTTGTCATCTCCTTTTCTACGTGTTTTTGTATGTTCCTACATTCGAGTTTCTGGAGAAAAATAAAGATGCCAAAGGCTGATTTTTCATAGTTAGTCGTTCATGTCACGGATAAGGGGGCACGGGATGCGCGTAGATGTAGCTGCGCTATTGGCCTCCAGTGAGTGATTAACGAGTATGGGCCTCGTTAGGTCGTTTGGTCAAATTTGATCGTACTATGAAGGTGTTTACGATGTGAAGGATAGAATTAGACCAGTCAAATGAAGATCGGGTTTGGATCGGTTATAAATATCCATTAATCCGTTTATGACCCATATATTCGTAGTGCAAATTTCTCGATCTATATCCGACTCTACTCATATTGCTGAAATATTTTCATATTTAATCCAATCTAAGAAAACTCATACTCAAATCGAGGTAAGAGTGCTGAGTGAATGAGTGGAATGAGAGCGAGAGAGAATGAGGAGAGAATCATAAGTTGTAAATCCATTTATAATTTATTTATGATTTCTTTAACACTCATGTGATGTTTAAACGTATTTACACATATACTAAATATAATTAATTCATATAACAACTCACTATATTTTGTAGGGGTTAAGAAATGGGTCTATGACCCATTTTGACAAATCTAGATAGAATCATGCATGCATTTGTATATCAAGCTCGCGTCGTTACTAGACGGTAGACATTGAACTAGTGCTCAAGCAAGGAGGAAGAGCATGAGCAGTGTCAACCTAATTTTAAAGGATAACGACACAAATGGTCCCCGAACTTTTAATTTGTTCAATGTAGTCCTTGATCTTTAGCCTAATATTCAATGTGGTCTCTAATGCTGCGAATGACAACCATTATGTTTCAGAAATCAATTTCTGTTTCTAGAGGAGTTTCTGAGCAAAAAAATACGTTTGATAACGACACAAAATTTCTGTTCTAGAAATAGAAATTTGTTTGATAACGGCACAAAATTTCTTCCTCTCAAGTGGCCGGTGAGTGGACGGCATGGGGAGGCGGCGGTGGGAAAAGGGCTGCCGGCGACAGGAGACGGTGGCCGGTGGTTGGCGGGCGGCGACCCACGGTGGCCGGCGATGGGAGGTGGGCAGCAGCTGGAGGAGGGCGGCCGGAGGCGGGAGCGGTGGCCGGTGGCCGGCGGTGGGAGGTGGGCGACGGCCAAAGGCGGGCGGCGGCAGGAGGAGGGAGGTCGGTGGCGGGAGACGGTGGCCAGCAGTGGGAGGTGGGTGGCAAAGGGAGGAGGACGGCCGGCGGCGGAAGACGGTAGCCGGTGGACGGCAGGCGGCGGTGGGAGGTGGGCGGCGGTCGTCGGCGGGTGGCAGCGGGCGGCAGTCGCCGGCAAGTGGGTGGCGGATGGGCGACCGACTAGTAGAGAGGATGAGCGATGAGAAGAATTTTAACTTCTCATTTCTGTTCCAGAAATAGAGAAGCAAAAAATTTAACTTCTGATTTCTGTTTCAAATCTATTTCTAGAATAAATTTTTGTTCCAGAAATAGAAATTAAAATTGCGTTACCAAATGGATTTCTGTTCCAAACCTATTTCTGGAACAGAAATAAAGAAACAGAATAATTATCATTCACAGCCTAAATTTTTAATTTGTTCAATATAGTATTTGGTCTTTTGGTACATGTTCCATGTAATCCTACATCGAACATTTTCATATAGTTCATGGATTAAATTGAACATGTACAAAAAGTTTAAAGACGGCATTGAACAAATTAAAAGTTTAAAGACCACATTATATATTGGGTTAAAGTTCATAAATCATATCAAACAAATTAATAATTTATGAATCACATTACACATTAAGATCAAAATTCGAGAACTACTCGTGTCATTTTTCCCAATTTTAACCATCGACGTCAAAATTAAGTTCCTTATCAAGGGGTGTGCAAAAGGGGAAAGGCTTTGTTGATTGTTTTGATTTTGAGCTGAAAATTCACGAGATTAGGTCGCTCTCTGCGCTGCACGGTGCTTGATCATGCCTACTTTATCTAGGGGGGAAAAAGTTTTTTCCATCAGTGATGATGATCATCATGTTCGGGACCCCACGTTTCCTTGATCGGGGAGACCGGGAATGATGCGATTAGCAGGAATTATACCGCCATGATGTAGGCACTGTCGTCGCTGGGATTCGTCGAATTAAATGCTAATCATTGAGCCGAAACAAGCAGCAATCATTCGACATTTGAATTCTGGGGGGGGAGATGTTGTCTTGGTTCATTGATGCGTGCCGAACTGTAAGTCATTTCCCATTCCATTCACCTTGTTGACTAGCTGTTCATCCTCTCGTTTTTCACGTCTCTCTCTATAGCAAAAACCTCTTGCTGACCAGCAACGGCACGGTGACAAATGTGATAAGAGTAAACCCCAAGGACTAGTAAATATCCTTGGACACGTAATGCATAGACTATTGTCGAGGGAAAATTATGAAAAAGAATAGGTCAATTCAGTTATAAATCTTTGTATTGTGCTAATTTAGTACGAAATATTTTGACGATTTGTCAATATAGTCATGATCTTTTTAATTGTGCCAATTTAGTCCTGCACATTTTGATAATTTACCAATAGAATCTTAAATATTTTGACGATTTGCCAATATAATCCTTACGGCAAAATATCCAAATAATAGTTTTAGGACTAATTAGCAACTCTTCAAGAGGTTTAAGACTAAATTGACACGATTGAAGGTTTATAACTAAATTAGTAAAATTGAAAGGTTTAAGACTAAATTGGCCGTCATATAATAAGTTGAGGGCTTTTTGAACGATAATCTCATATTGTTGACATGAAAAGGAGACAGGTAAAGTGTATAGGATCCAAGCGGGCTTAAACTTCATAAAGAAAAGGTCAGACTCGCGCGCACTAGTTCTCCTTTGGAGTTTTGACCTTAGACCTTTTACATGATGGGTCTCCTCTCGAGTTTCGAGTTCCGATCACTAATCATTTTTTGGACATGACATGTAGCGCATGATGGTTTTGTCACACGGAAGCTAGAAAGAACCAAATGGCACAACATGCTAGTTTTCAAAGAGGGGGGTTTTTTTCTTTTTACCGAGGATGTTGTTATGGAGGGAATGGCAGCACCATGCGTTGTGTCGTTCATGATGTTTGGTGTGCGGCAGGAGGGAAGAGAGGATGGTCACGCGGTCATCATTCGGTTAAAATCGCGGACCGAACACGACAAAGCCCCGACGAGAGCACTCATGAGGAAAATAATAGGAAAGTACCAGGCGAGACGCATATGATGGAAGTCATGATTAACGGAGAAATCATGAGGGGGGAAGAAGTCAACGCGCAATGAAGTGAAAGTCCCCGATTCAATTATACCTCTCTTTAAGCTTTTCATCTTGCCCATTAACTAGAAAAAGCATAGGATTCCTGTCGCTTTTAACAGACATCCACACAAAAAAAAATTCAAGTTCGGCCATGATTACTGTGACACTTTGGTACATGTCAGATAGATGTGTGCATGCTCGTGCCTGGTTCGAGATATATATTAGGACTAAGTGTCAGTGAAAGAGAACTTAATCTGTTTCCCTTGCGAAAATGTGCCGGGTCGCTCTTAAAATGAGGAGGCAGCAGGTACAGGCAGTACCGGTACTTGCTCATCTTCTCATTGCATGCCTCCTCCTCTGGGCATTCTCTCCACGTTCACCCACCGTCCAGGCTCGAGCAGTTGAATCAGGCAAGTCATTGCGCCTCGCTTTCGCGGGCTTATTATTTCATGCTACACTTGGGGAAATGCTCTTGATCTTGTTCGTGTTACGTCAAACGTTTGGAGAAGGGAAATGCTCTTTGATTGAATTATACATTGTTGTTATCTTCCTTTGAAAATGATATTGGCGAGACCCTCACCACATTATGCCTACAGTTCATCCAAAGGCAAGACCATCCTCGGTAGAGACTGCACATTTGTACCCTGGAAACATGGGACCTACGTTGGTGAGTGCATGAACGTCCTTTGAAACTTCATTGGCCCATACCTGACGCACCCCAACAGTTTTCGCTGCCTTTGGGGCCTCTATTCTGTTATGTGTTTCATTTCTCTGACTCCTAACAAACAGGGCAAAGAAAGGAAGATAAGAAAAACTCCGTCTGGACCCAATCCCACGGGAAACCGTCAGCCCCCGACAAAACACTGAAGCTATCGATGCACTTGTGCGGCACATGAGGATCCGAACTACAGCCGCAACTTAATATGGATCGAGTAGAGGGGAGTTTGGTATAGTAGGTAGGTTAGGAGATCAGTACGGTCAGCCTAATGTTCTTGTACAGAAGTTGGATTAGATTGAACATTCATGTTCACATGATCTGCAAGCAATTATATTAGCCATCAGACTGCACTGTTAGTTGAGCCTAGAAGCATGGAAGCCCCAAAAGATCTTTTGCTTTTCTGAACATCCATTTTTAGTTTAAATCGTTGTTTGTGAAAGTGAGAGTTTCCTTGTGCATGCTCATCACAATGGCAGCTTATCATTGACCTCGGAAATAGTCAACAGGGTTCCCAAAAGAATGAGTACTTGGCACATATGGTTCTGCAACTCGCTCTCGGTAGAAAGTGCTGCACCGCAAGCATCTAGTTGGCGACCTCTTGTTTTTCATTAACAGTAAAGACTAGAAAACTCACATACAAAAGGAATGGATATGTCAATGTATACATGCAATACAACAGCACAACACCATTCGAATGCATCATGGGATATGAGAGTCGGGGAGTCAAGCAAGTAACTAACTTTCGTCGATGGCATTAATTCGCGAGATGAATGTGCAGGTGCCAGTACAAAAAAAATGGCTATAATTTAGCTAAATACAACTCCCACAGATATACAAGGACTCGCTGTAGACTACAAAAATATATTGAACAGGACAAATCATAAGGCGCGTTTCCGCTTTGACCTTTTGCTTCTCCTCCGCTGATTAAGCTCCGGTGTCGGTTTGTTGCGACTAGAAGCATATGCTCCCTCCAATATCTCTTCCCCCTGCAAGAAACTCTGAATTAGCTCCTATATCTACATAATAAACCATAGAGCAGAAAGTGCATTTGCAAAGTGCGCTCCTCCATGAACAGATTCATATCTGGGGCCTCTAATTTGCATTTTGGCCCCAGCTAAATTTTTTATGAAAGTTCTCCAATCAGCAATTTGTTCAATCAAGCGCCTCGAATGACATAGATTACCTTGTCTGGAGAATCTTCATCTGAACCATCTTCATCAGAATCTGGTACAGTTGCCCCATCGATGTCTTCTGCCGGTAGTGCCTTGCTTAACTTTTTCTTCTTTCCTTCTTCCTTCAATTGCCTAAACCTGCCAATCGCAATTCCTTTCCAGTGAGACGTCTTTGAAATTAGGCGGTAAAGCTAGTTCCACACAATAATGACCTTTCTCCTTGCCGCGCTGGTTGAGCAGCTGACCGGTTCGCACGCCCAGCTGTAATGATGCCACTTGCATTTTCACTCACAACAGGTTTTGCCCCTCCTAATTTGCGTAACCACACTTGTTGTGCCGTACTCAGGACATTGTTTGTAAACCTAAAACCAGTAATGCATTCCGCACAGCTCAATAAATAGAATAACTCAAAGGAAAGGAAGTGCAACTGAAAAAAATCCTTTTCTTTTTCTTTTTTGGAAACTTAAAGAGAACAAGAACTATGACAGGGACATGCAAACACAAAGTATTTCTGGGAAAAATGTCCATGTAACAAAAAATGCAATATTTAGGGGATGCCACTTAGCAAACTAAAACCTCAAGAAACTTGTTCTCTGCATGTAATCAATATGATTGGTAGAAAAACACTCGAAAGGCCAAAAGAAAAAAAGAGAAACAAGCATCCAAATCTCAAACAAATTGCATCAAGTATATCAGTTGGCAAGAAACCAACCAGTAAATTGACAATCCTGATGGGACGGACAAGGAGAAGTAACCAATCATCAGAGGAAGAAATTTGAAAACAAGTAGTGTGTTCTTTTGAGCTGGATCATCCGTCTGCAAAGAAAAAGTTGATAAGATTCCAATTGCTTAGGAAGTAAATAATTTAGAGAGAAGCAAGAAGAGACTCATTTTTTTACCTGAGGAGGTTTCATAATCTCCATCGACACATACTGAGAAACAACAAGAAGGACAGGTAAAACTAAGTATGCCGCAGTGTCATGCCAGCCCAATGGAGGATGACCATCCTGCATGTAAATTTTATCGTCAAATTCCTTATATGCACAAGACAATTCTGTCAAGATAATTTTGGTATCTTGATTCTGAGTAATTCCACGTTAAAGAATGCTATAAGAGGAGATGCTTCATCTTGGGCTCCTACTAAAGTGAAAGAGTAGCATGGCATACAACTTAACTTGCATCTCAGCAAAGACAACTGAATCATGGTGGCTACTGTTGACAGTGGCTTGCCTAGTTAAAATATGGTAGACAAATTTACACCAGCATAACTAGTATAGAGTGTCAATATGTAGAGAAAGTGTATATATGACTAATGACTTTGCTATATAGCGATCTATCTATATCTCTAATAAAGGAATGGCTAGTAAACATAGAATAGGTGAAGCTCATAAAATTCTGGTTACCACAAACGGGAAGAGCCAAGAAATGCCAGATCCACTTTGTCGAGCAGCAATTGTAGTAGGTCCACCCAAAGAAGGGATCCAAAAGAAACCTTCTGTCAATAATCCCTAGAATTCAAATCATGAAAGTATCACAAAAAAAAACTTGTGAATGATAAAAACGGTTATTACTGACATCTGATTGGATCTGTACAATAATTGACAGTAATATAGAAAGGTTCCCTTATGCGGTTACCTCATTTGCCACGTTAGAGAGAGCTTGATATAGACCTATCCAGACAGGTATGGTTGCTAGTGTTGGGAAGCATCCTGTAGATATAAAAGAAATGTAGAGGAATATATGTAATAACTGTGTCAAATAGATTTCTAAAATTAAGGAGCAAGGATGATGATACTAGTGACTATCAATGGAAGAAAGAAGAGGAACAAGAAACCTACTTTGAAATGAACATATCAGTATTCTACACAATAGAAACAGCGAAATGAACATTTTCTGACAACTGTTTATATTTGAACAAAGCAAAACACTGAAACCTGTACTTCCCAACATGAAAAGTGCTTTGCTTATCATTCATCAATTCTTAGGGGAAAGAAGTAAGAACAAGCAGTATTGCTGGACAACCAGAATTATGTAATTGCTAAAGCCAACATGATATCTTTGGTATACATAAAATGGCAACTTTTTTCAGCATGTGCCTTGCAAGACTAGGTAGATTTGAATATTACAGTTCCCAATGTTGACATAGACACACCACCATAACATATGACATGTGGATAGGGTGTGCAAATCACTTAATTGATCTGAAAGGGGAGAAAAGTTTCCCTGTCATTCCATACCTGCCAAAGGATTGACCCCAGCCTGCTTATATAGTCGTGATGTCTCAAGTTGTATTCTTTCCTTAGGAGAACAACAATAAAATAAATAAATAAGGAACCCACAAGGGAAACTCTAATTAAATAAAGCCAAAAAGAATGTGCCTCACCTGATTTCCTGCATATCTTTGCTGGATAGCTTTGATTTTAGGTTGGAGATTTTGCATGGCCAAAGTAGATTCCACCTGCATGTACACAAATAAACCAAAGATGCAACTATCGTTTCTAGAAAGACTTCATGAAAAAAATCTTTGACAACAATGTCGACAAGACTCCTTTTCCTCACTAAGCACAGAATCTGTTATTTCCAAAAGTCGGTCCTAAATATTTAATTAACAGTTACAAAAGGAAGAAAAAATGTTATACTTGATTATAGTCCATTCATATTGGATGTCTAATTTCGGTTAATTGGGGAAATATGAGATCTCGGAGATCCGACATAGAGAATCCAAATTGACAGCAGGACTTTACCTGCCGCTTTGTCAAAGGAAGCGTGGCAACCTTTACAATTACGGTGAGCAATATAATTGCGAAGCCGTATGCATAGGGGACATGCACCGTGCTGAGTCCATCCTTCAACACCTGACGAAAAAAATGAGAGAAATGAGTTCATCCCTGCCTGGTTTTCTAAGTGGCCATGCCCAAAAAGACCAAAAGTATCCTATTTTCCGTGAGATATGATCAATCTTATACACATTTTCCAGAGATATCACTGCTTCTACACTTACTACTAGAGCATTCCAAAACATATTTCAGTTTACTAACAGCAAAAGCTTGCGAAGTAGTGACTATCGGGTACTGCAATGAATATACTTCCTCTCGTGACTATGAAGCTGTTCGCATCCATATCGAATCATTCCATGTTAAAATAGTTACTGTAGAGCACACAATATGTGGCTCATTTCCGCAACACCTCGAGTTTGCTAAACATTCAAAGTGACTCGGAAAAACTTTCTAAATTCAGCATCCTTCCAACATGTTATCTCGTAGCTACGAAATTGAACGCATCAAATTGAAGACGCCCGATCAAATCATCCCAACTCTGCAGGTCGAATTCTCCTCAATCCAACAAGCACGCCATGAGTATTACCTTAAGAACGAGTTCCATGCCGTCGGATATGAATCCGAACCAGCCCCCGCTCTTCTGCGCCGCCACATCCGTCGATCCAGAAGCAGCCGGATCCGCCGCGACCGCAGCGTCGGCGAGCGTGTAGAGCAAGCTCTCGGCCCGGCCGATCACGGAACTCAAATCGAGCGGCGAAGAAGAGTCGAAGGAGTGAACGGGGGGAGGGATCTCATGGAAGCTGAATCTCACTCTCGTGGCGGCGAGCCTGCGGAGATGAGGAGGCGCGCGGAGGAAGCCGTGGCGAGGGGTGGACGGGAGGGGGGTGCCTATGAACTGCGGGGATGAGATTAGGGTTCTCGCCATGGGGAATCGGAGGTGGGAGAGTTGGGAATTCAGCTTCTCATGTGGAGAGAGAGAGAGAGAGAGAGAGAGAGGTCCGTGTGTGGAGATGATGCCGACGATGTGTTTAGCATTCCTTCTGCGTATTTTCTGGTATTATCCGTTGCTTTTCCGGGAAAATGGAATCGGGCCATCAAGCGGATGCGGGAAAGTGCTGTTCGCGTTTTCGGCCAATCGATGAGCTCCGCGCGTCGCGCACAGGGATCTTCCCCCAGGGGCTCCCTGGTAAATTCCCGCACCCTTATTGAGTCAATTTGTTGCGGCTTAAGATAAGTATTTCTCGCTTTTAGATATTTGGAAAACCATAAAAAAAAAAAAGAGTGGGAAATTCTAAGGTATGACGGACTTGAAGAATCTTAATGAGGTCTTACGTTTCGACCAAAAAAAAAAAGAAAAAAGAGTTCTTACGTGATGAGAAATAAGATATGATGTTGCTGGCATCTTTACAAGATTTTTTTGAACACTTTATGGATTCACTGCTACATTGGTGTACTGCGATATTTTTTAAGAGGTCGCAAGTAAAAGTTACGAGAAGATAATCTAGCACAGAATACATCGCTGTGTTTGGTTATCCAAGGTAGAGACGAACGAAGAGAGTCTAGAGCTAGCGGTGCGATGAGGTCTAAATCGAGGTCCAATGTTTGGAATCATTGATGTTGTTTGTGTGGTAGGATAGGCCACTACAGGAGAGATTGTTCGAAGTACAAGGGTAGATGAGTTAAAAGTGAAGTCTGTAGGTGATGGTAATATTGTTATCACAGTAGACAATAATTCTAGTGATGCCAATATTGTGTTAACAGTCACCACAAGTTCATTAGGTAATGATTAGGTGCTTGACTCTGAATGTTTTTATCACGTAACTTCTCATAGATATTGATTTACTACATATCAGTACATGGAGGGTGATAAGGTGTTTATGGGAAACAGTGCTGCTTGTAAAGTGGTAGGGATCGGAAGAATTCAAATTAAGATGCACGAAGGAGTGGTGAGAATGTTGCCATATGTAAGGCATTTACCGGAGCTAAGAAAGAACCTTATCTCACTGAGTGCTTGTGATGGGTTCACATACTAGATTTTCTCTCTGAAGGTAGAGTTTTAAAGTTCTTTCGAGGTGTACTTACTTATGCGAGGGAAGATAGACTACGAGTTATATCTCCTCCAAGGAAAGATAGTGATTAACTTGTCTACTAGACTCTCTAAGATTTAAGGTCAGACACGATATGGTTGTGGCACATGAGACTTGGACATGTGAGCAAGAGAGATGATTGTTTTGAGTCATAGGGGTCTATTAAGAGGCCATTGAATTGAGAAGCTGAACTTTTGTAAACATTGCAACATGTGTAATTAGCGGAGAGTGAAGTTAAGTACGACAGTTCACCAGACCTTAGAGATTGTAGGCTGAGTACACTTGGACTTATGGGGACTCTCTCAAGTTCCGTCAAAAGGTGGTGCCATGTATGTGTTATCTTTTATTGATGGCATTTCAAGGATAGTTTGGATTTGTCTTCTTAAGCACAAGAGCGATGTGCTTGGTTGGTTCAAGTCTTGGAAGGCAAAGATTGAAAAGCAGATATGAAGGAAGATCATGTGCTTGAGAACTGATAAAAGGTTGGAATTCCATTTTGATTAGCTTGGTCAGTTTTACACAGAGGAAGGCATAGTGAAATATCGCACTGTTGCCAGCACACCACAAATAAACGAAATTACATAACTGATGAACATAATTATATTGAAGAGAGCATGCTTTTACTCTCCAATGCTGAATTAGACCAATATTTCCGGGCTCAAGCAATGAATACCGCTTGTTTGTTAGTGAATAGATTGCCATCACCAGCAATGGATTGGAAAACTCTTGAGGAAATGTAGTGATAAGATAAGTCTGTTGATTGTACCAAACAGAGAGTGTTCGATTACCCTGCTTATGCTTGATGGAGCGCTGGAGCAGGGAGTAAGGAAGCACATATTCAGAGGCTATGCACATCGGGTGAAAGGTTACAAGCTATGGTGCACTAAAGAAGATTCGCTTAGTTTTATGTTCGGCAGAGAGATTACCTTTGACTAATGAATCTTTAAGATGAGTCTAGAGATGTTCAAAGTGCAATAGATGTGACAGCGTCTGCAAAGTCTTTAGATTTCATAGCAGCTGACAACTACTCCAAGTTACAATTGATGAAGCTTCAAGGTGGTCAATAGAGGTGAATGAGATTGAGCAATAGTCGTATGCATATATTACAATAGATAATTTGGGTGCAATAGAGACAGCTTTGGGTATAAAGATGCAGAGAGAGACCGTTGGAATGTTGCGAGTGACTTAAGAGAGTTACGTCAGGAAACCGTCGAGGCATTTCAACATGCAATTAAGCAATTCTGTAAGTACACTGCTTATTGCATATTATAAATTGGGGAGAGGAACAGCATTGGTGCCAAAATTTGTGTACGGAGGCCACTTTGGTGCCAAAACTTTCATTTGGATCACTTAAGTGCCAAAAGTTTACGCCGGCGATCACTTAAGTGCCAAATCGGAGAAAAAACGATCACTTAAGTGCCAACGGCGAGAAATTCCGATCAAATTTAATACGTGGCTTTTATATTTAAATTTTAATGACACATGGCATTTCCATGTGTATAATTCAATTTTTGAAATATTTTTTTTTTCTGATTTTCTTCTTTCTTTTCTTTTTTTTTCTTTTCTTTATTCTTATTTCCGATGGCCAGCGTTCGGCCACCGGCCACCGGCCATGGCCGACCTCGCCGGGCATCGCCTTCCTCCGGGCGAGGCAGCCGTGGCCTCGGCGAGGGCTGGCCTCGCCGGATCTGGCGAGGCGAGCCCTCGCCGGGGCTCGCCCTGCCCAGGCGAGGGTCGAGGTCACCTGGGCGGGCGAGCCCGGCGAGGGCTCGCCTCGCTGGCGAGGGCGGCCTCGCCGGATCTGGGCGAGGCGAGCCCTCGCCGGGGCTCGCCCGCCCGGGCAACCTCGACCCTCGCCCGGGCGGGGGCGAGCCCCGGCGAGGGCTCGCCTCGCCCAGTGCGGCAAGGCCGGCCCTCGCCGAGGCCACGGCGGCCTCGCCGGGCCTCGCCCGGAGGAAGGCGAGGCCAGGCGAGGCCGGCCATGGCCGGTGGCCGGACACCGGCCATCGAAAATAAGAAGAAAGAAACGAAAAAAAAAAGAAAAGAAGGGAAAAAAAAAGAAAAGAAATGCCACATCAGCCTCCGGCGAGCCACATCGGCCTCCGGCGAGCCACATCAGCTTAAGAAATTAATAAAAAAATGCCACGTCGGATTTCCAGCGAAGTGGCACTTAAGTGATCGTTTTTCATAACTTTTAGCACTTAAGTGATCCGATTGAAAGTTTTGGCACCAAAGTGGCCTCCGTACACAAGTTTTGGCACCAATGCTGTTCTTCCCCCTTATAAATTGTCTAATCCGATTTTATAATATGATGCCGTGAAGTGGATTCTCTCGATTTTATAGGGGACGAGAGAGTCGGATATGTTTCGGAGGATGTAATTCAAGTAGTGCGGTGGTAACTAGGTTTGTGAACCCGAGTCACGCAGGGAACTTGAACGATTATACCTTTGCTTCTGTTAGCTGTGCTGTGATTTAGAAGATGTTGAGAGACATGGTGATTGAGAAAGGAGCTGAAGAGACGGTGTGGTTTAATGACTTGATTAGTGATATTGCCATAAGACATTCGGTTGATATGGTGTTTGATAGAAGTGAGAGATATCAACGAAGAATCAAGTTCATTAGTGACCGAAATTTCTGCATTAGATATAACATGTCAGGAAAGGATGTGATCATGAAGAAGTTTCTTACGGCGGAGAATCCTACGTATATTTGGAAAGTTCATTCCTCTCAACAAGTCTGAGCTTAGCTTGTTCTTAATAAACATCTATGATGGCTAAGCGCCATTTCGCCGTTGGGAGCTGTGATGGATAATGAGCATTATGACTTGGCTCAAAGGCGAGCCAAGATGGAGATTATTGAGAGTAACTCTCTAGTTTGAGCAGGTCCCTAATTTAGGTAAGTTTCCTAAAAATCCGGCGATGTATTACAACAGAATTTGTGGAGACTTTTTTTTGGCATATTAATGGATGTAAATAGATTTTTCGGAAGATGAAAACATACTGTGGGCTTAGTGAGAAAAACTAGAGGTAAATCTGTAGCTCAGCGTTAGCTCAGGGTTTTCCGATCACCTTCGACTTTTTGGATTAATAGTCTTCTTGAAGATTGAACTCTGGTTGCGGTTAAACATGGTATCAGCGGAAACTGGCAGTCTGTCAAATTGATCTCACCAGCAGCAATAGGGCCAGCTGTACAAGGTAGAGGAATCTTGATTGTGCTTGCATTTTAAGATAGTGATGCGTTTTCATATTTACATGATCAAAATCGAAATCCTCTCAATTGTGTTCAGTATGCATCCAAAACCTTCGGTTCTCTAATTTCTTCTGATGGACAGGACCCAACCATCAGCAAGACTCACAAGAGCTGTTCAAACTGACTCAGGACAAGGGGGAGAAGAAAAAGGAAATCCCCTGTGCTGCATGACTTCACGCGTGGCGACGAATAGCGGGACAGAAGCTCATTGGATCAGTCTTCTCACAGCCATGACAGAGCATGGCATATCGGTAGGATCATTCACATGCACACTCAGGTTCCTCCCTCCTGTGGAAATAACCAATGGTTATGGCTACTTCTCCTGTTTTCAAGTTCCAGACTGCATAAAACATGGATGAGTAACCTCAGTTCCTCCTGCCTTCTACAATCAATCATTTAGTAGTTGTTACTTGCGCATTTCATGTGATGCTTCTTTTATAGAGTCAAACCGTCGAAAAATTCATGCTCAAATCCAAGGCCTTGGAGTCCCAGTCCCAGGAGAGCAGTAAAATATAGATTCCAAAACTTCTCTTGGAGGAGATGCAACATGCCTGTAAAAAGTTAGAGAGAAGGGATTACGAGCGCGAGATGTAAACAAATATCTAGGCAAACTATCATACCTGTATTTTCTGTATGTCCCTCTGCTGCGACCAATTTTAAGCCCATGTCCACATCATTATGATTGGCACTGTCTTTGAATAGAGCGCGTTGATGTTTCATTCTGAGCATGTCACGTTGTCTTCCTGCTGCTGACTTTCCAAACAAGCCAGCCCTCTCGGTATCTCCTCTAGTCCATCCGAATGACGCATCATATGTGTCAGGTTCCAAGTTGCAGTGTGATGTGCTGACCCCAAGTTCTTTTTCTTGACCAATGGAATCTTGACGTGATCCAAACGGAGAAAAACAGTGTTCCCTATGTTCACGATGTTGGGAAGCCTCAAAACTCTGCGTTTCACTCTTTAGACCATCCATGGGGAGCAATTGATCAACACTTCCATTATTACTGTTCTGGTCTAGTCTAACACACACAGCATCATGTGGACGTTGATGCTCGATACTGTCATCGTCCAGTATCATCAAGGCATCAATGCTATGTTGTGTACATACCATAGATTGATTTGTTGAGGATGGAGTTCTGCTACAAGATTCAGAGTGTGAATCCGTAAAACCAGTTGAGTGGGTAAGGAGTTTATCAATTTCTGCTTCAGATGTCGAGCTTGAAGAGTAGTTTTTCTGACTTTCTTGCTCGTTTTTACAAATATCAGTGAGGCCTTTCAATGGAGAATTCTCTGCATCTGATCTTTCAGGACACAATACACCTGCATTACTCTGTCCATTGCGCCTGAACTTTGGGGGAAGAGGAACAGCTGGAACCCGTTTACTCTTATAACCACCACCAGCACTTGTTGCATTCTGCAAATTTAGCCCATCAACAACCTCTAGGATTTCTGCGGAATTGAATTTGCTATCAAGACTAGGAAGAACCATTTTGTGATCTAACTGTGCCTTTCCATCAGTCATCATTGGGAATCTTCTCTCTTCTGAGAGTACTATCATTTTGACATCGTATTCAGTCGTGTCCTGACTGTATACTGTCTCAGTATCTGCATTGCACATGGTATCCAAGTCGACCAGGCAACTGGCTCTGGAAATACTGCAATCAGACTTGTAATCTGGGTGACTCTTCATGGGGAAATTCACGGACCCCGCACGTTGAGATGGAGCTCTTCTCCTTTTTGTGTGGCCAAGGTGCTTTCGCTCAGAAATTTGGTGCTCGGTCCCTGATTTTCTTTCACTGCTTATTGTGGGCCTCATAAATCGTGGTAGTTTAAATAGAGGAGCTGCTCTCACATCTTTGGCTTTGTGCTTGGTGTTGCCAAAATCAAACTCAGGCTCTTCAGTAATCGAGTGATCATTTGCATAGGAAAGCGATGTCCCTATTAGATTTTCTAGCTTTCTTTTTAACTCTTTAATCTCTCTGCTTGCTCTTTGACGCTCATCTTCAATCTTTACCATAGTTTCCTGCAGGGTTTGCATTGCAGCTTCCTTACGTGTGCTTTCCTGTTTTGCGGCAGTTGACATTGGTAGTTAGATAAAGAGAGAGGTTTCTGAAGTCAGGAGATATTAGTTGCCACAGAAGCACTATGGATATTGGAACAGGAGAAACAGTTGCATCCATCTTAGAATCAAATTACAAGGCAATATTTGAATGTTGTCTCTACGTGTCAAACTGACGATTGTTTACTCATGGTGCCAAGCAGGTAACTCGTACTGGATGCTTATATGCTGTCAATTCGCCAGAATACCTAGTAACTATATCAGGCGATACCTCTTTCTCCGTTTGTTTAATTTCAGACTGCTAGAGCTCCGATGTTGGATACATGCCTGCATAACTTTTCCCTTTTTCTACATGCAAGATCTCCATTAGCAGCACATCCTGATCATCTGCCAAGTATTCTGGTATTTTTTCTTCGTCTACATTTTGCTGCTACTTTTTCAGTGAGATCTATGACACTCTTCAAATCCTTGTTTTCGTATTATCCTACATCTTTCATGACAGAAATCAATGGAAGCAAGGCCCCAGCAATTGACCATCTTTTTTTCCTCCTTTAACTTAAAAACTTCCAGAATGAAAAGAGTCAGGATCGTCTTTACTTACTATTGGGTCTTCGGTTCCCAGGTGGATGCTTCTCACTCTTTTTCCGAAACCTAGTGTACATATTGTCTCACAGAGGTCTTCCTCTTTTGGGCTCACATGCACCAGCATCAGCGTCTTGGAATCCTCCCCTAAATGCCAAGAGACGTAGGTATGTCATGCAGCAATATCCAAATCATGACAGCAAGAGAAAAGCTATGTTGTCATGCTGCAGTTCAAGAAAGATGAGTGCATAGCTCAAAACCTTCACCGTCATCTCAAAAGAATGCATTCCTTGCACTACATCTGTTAGCAATGCTCAAAGTTGCATACTCATACACGAATCTGAGTAATTTAACTTCGAAGCAGGTATTTCTTTCCTTTTACTTATAAGCTCTATGGATGTTCATTTTCAGTAATAGCATCAATGTCTCACTGAGATTAAGTAGATTCAGAGAGAGAGATATATTACCTAATGAATCTTTTAGAACTTGCGTCAGCTTGCTATTCCTGTCAAAAGTACAAAGTTCTAAATCAGGAGCGACCGACTTTGATTCTAAGAAAGCCCACTGGATAGTCTGCTTCAGTGGAGAGATAGACGACATGATTACTATATGATTACTGTCTTGGGCAATGCACCGTAAACATAATTCCTGTTGTTGGCATCCACCAAAAACTGATTGGAGAGAAAAAAACTTTCTCAATTGTTATATATATGTGATATGATTACTTGGAAAGCTGCACTTGCTGCATTATATAATACCTCAGAAGTCTGGGATTCTGCAATGAATTTCTTAGCCTTACTTTTTCCTAGAAACTAGTTGTAATGATGATCGATATCCTAGTTTTACAGTTTCCATTGTGGAGACAGAGCACGCAATAGCACTCAAGCATACCATGCGAACAAGATAGCCTGCACTCAGGTGCGTGAAATATAGATTTGTTAGCTCCTTGTAAATTCTCATTTACCTGAAAGGAATGTGACGCTTTTTCCTCTGGAGGGCATTGATGACATCTCCAAGAGCAGAAAGTGACAAGTTTATTGCTTTTCCCTCTTGAAGTCTCTTGCCCCATGCCTTTGTTTTCAGAACACGCTCACTACCTCCAAGATCAACCAACCAAACTTTATTTGATTCACGTCGCCTCTCATGTGCATTGGAGCATGTAATTTTTATGCGAATCATACTGCAGACATATGTTAAACAATCTTAAAGCATTTCAAATACATATATTTTTCTAGCTTCACTACCAGACGGGTATATTGTATTAGTGAAGCATTCCTAGGCCTTGAAGCTGTGAAAATAAGTGAGAACTCGATTGAACACATGTTGCAAGCTCTGATTATGGGTACTTGTGCTAGCCGGCTAATGTTCAGTCCACGAAATTGCTGATATAAGTATGTACAATTCTAGACAGAGGAAGTTATTTACCAGTGTGATCTGCTTGAAGTTAAGTTAGAATTTGTATAAGCAGTTGACCTGAATCGGCAACCCAGTTTATACAACCTTAGGGCTTGGTTATAGTCGCTCACTGGTATTGCCACAAGGTTTTCAACCTCAATTCCACCGCTGGCATCCATTTGGACTGAAAGGCTGTTCATTAATAGCATTGTCTAAGTTAGCAAGAATTTGCAGATCAACAAGGGAAATTGGAAAGCAGAGAGTTTTTTCGGTGGACAAAATACTATTTAGAAGTCACAGGTTTCTGAAGATGAACGGCTAAGTACTCACCATGGTGGCCTCGCATCTGTTGGTTTTTTAGGCTGTGGGACAAGCAAATCTTTGAGATTACCCAGATAAATCTCAAGCATACTGAAAGCGAAGAGGTATGTACAGTTGCCCTCCAAAGCATGCTTAAACAATGCTTCAATACTACGAGGAACTATTCCTGGAAAATCCGGAGTACCTTCCTAAATCACAATGGCAGCACATTTTCAGTCAGAATTGCCAAGTAAATGTTATTTATGACTTCAGTAATTATACAGGAGTACAAGTAGGAACAATTTTGGCAGTCATAAACATCATAAGTGCAGTTATCAGAAGTTTTATGTACCTAATTTGAAGTATATCCTATCTTAAAGAGTCACTTAAAATGATCTTAAGCTTCAAAACTTGGCCTTGTGTACATGCGACTTTTGAATGCATTGCATGATGGCTTTAATGCCTACCAAGAATATAGTTTTCCCTAATCATGTAATAACCTCAGGATATTGTACTCACCATCGTGAAAGTTTTCCCTGTGCCTGTCTGACCATATGCAAAGATGCAGGCATTGTACCCATCCAAAGCAGATTTGATCACAGGCTCAACTTCGCTAAAAACTTCACCTGTAAAATTTCATCTATCATACTTTTGATTAGACTATACACTACTTTCTGCACTGCAAAATTTATGGTGAATTGGATGCTCTCCTCAAGATCATATATAAGAAGAGATAATCACAGATAAAGTAGATATGACTTGTAGCACCTTGTGATGAACTCGGGTGGAAAACCTTATCAAAACTATAGCTTTTGTTATTGCCACATGCAACTTTTAGGAAAACATTGCTTGAATCTGTGGCCACGACTGGCTTGGCACACCCAATATTCTCAGTCATGGTCATCGGTCTGACACGGCAAAATACACGAATGTTTCCTGCAGTAGCAATATAGAGGGAGATTCTGGGTTTACAGCAAATAGGCAATTTTTTGTCTATGCACATGTAACAAAAACATACTTCTTTCTGTTCATCTCTTTGACTGACCTTTCATGTCCAGGTACTCATTGAGAACCTGCCTTCTTTGAACATTCAACCGTTTGATGCAATCATTCAGTTCAGCAAGTTCATCTGCAGGCACAAGGAACGTGCTTCAATTCGATCAACTCTTTACAGGAAATAGCTGATAGTGGGCTCTTCCTCCCATTTAATTGTAAGATGTACCATTGATTTTCAGAATGACCATGCTCAAGTCCGTGTCATTGGTGTTATTCTCCTTTTCTGTGTCAGATATTTTCAGTCTGATCCTGTCAGACGAACGAGGGGATGGCAGGGTTCTCATGATGCCACATACAGATTTGATCCAAGTAGAAGTCAAATGCGACTTCAACCCAAGTAGGGAATGAATTGTCTCGGCAAGATTCTTGGTAGAGCTCTTCCTCTCCATCGATGTCATATTCAGTTGCCAGTAGAAGATTAGTCTTTCCTTCCTCCTGTTCGAATGCTCATGTCATACCAATAGCTGAAGCCTTGCAAAAGTTTACTTCAAAAACAATGCAAAAAGTCTCAAAAATGCTTAATCAAACTAAAAGTAGTAGTTCTCAGAAAATCTGGAGGACCATCAAATTCCTTGATACATCATTTACAGCAATAATACTGGAATGCATTCTTAAATTTTCGCTGCCATTTCAGAAGTGACAAATTATTGCGGAATGAGCACTTACAGTGAAAAGGGTGTCTTCACCTCAGCTGGAGATTAAGCAAACACCTCCTTCATGCTCATTGAAGGTCTCTCAGACACGGGCATTCGAGACCCTGAAAAGGTCGATGTCTCCAGACAAGCCCCATCCAGAAAAACCTATTCATTGTGGAATCTAAGAACTATGAATGAGTGTATATACAAATCCCAGGTGGGTAATACAATATAACCATGGAATGAGTGCAGGGAAAAAAAATGGAAAGAAGGTAGTTGAAAAGGTAATGCAAGAGATTCTGCACATTCCGATGGAAGAATTTATGTCTCCCGTCAACATTGCTAGAGAGCCATTTTTACAAGCAATCAAACTCGGGAGGAGAAAAATACAAAGGCCCTGCCAAGTGCCACCAACTTTTCTCCCTCAAATTATTTTTGATTTCTCTGAGACCCCCATGTGAAAGCATGTAGTACAAGAATAACAACAACAAATTGCATCATACATATCTTATATACAGACAGCCATTGTTTGGTTTGTGGCTTCTTGACAAGATACTTTCAGCTGCATGAGAGAGAGAGAGAGAAAGAAGGGTCCCACAAATAATAAATGGGTTTCAGTTTTCGGAATGGAGCGTTCTAACTTTGGCATTCTTTCCATACAGTGTTTATTGAGATGAAGAGTGAAATTTTAGTGCAGAGTAGAAGAATCATTGCTACAGAAAAGAAAAAAATTACTCCCGGTTGGCGTAGCGGTTGGTTCCGGTGCAGGGGGCACTTTCAGCTAAACATCCGATACGCATGGGAGCTACGAGTAGTTCCATGGTTTTCAAGATAATCGAGTCATCGCGCTTATGCCTAAGGATTATAAAAAAAAAAGAAAGAAAAAGAAGAAGAAGAGAGTTTAGAATGACAATTATGAAAGTTGACAGCTTTAGAATATTCTTCAGTCACTCCTGACAAAAGAAAATGAGAACCCCAAATTTAAAACTACATTAGAATGAAAGCTTCCCAGACATCTTTAGATACTTGCTCTTGGAGCTCACCTACCATGGAGTTTTTCAATCCTTTTCGTCATCCCTGCAAATTTTATTTTTGTTTTTTGTTTTTTTTGGGTTTTCGGAAACTCTTGCAGATAATGTTTTAATATTTTCTTGGTCCAAGGCAACGATCATGGGTGGAGTCATGTTATGTGTGCAAACTACGTTAAACATAGACCAATCGACGGGCCAAGAAAGTCCCTCTTCATCTCACGATGCTAACCCCGAAGAACGAGGACCAAACAGCTGACGATCGCATGCAGACTATGCACAGCAAGTCCAATGTCCTCTGCTTTGGTTTTTGACTTCGATTTCGTACTATGAATTGGCAAGTGGGGCTCGATCTTCTCGAGGGAAGGAGCAATATTTCTGGGCATCTTTCTTTGAGTCTATTGGCGAGTTCTTGATAAGGATGAACGCATTGAATGAAGAACCCCGGATCGTCTCCTGCGACCCGCTCAAAAACTTGAACCCCTCAAAAACTTAAAAGAGAGAGGAGAAGGATGATGTAAGAAGGACGTGCTTATTTGAGATATTCTTTGAGCATAGAAAAGCGGGTTGGATCTAGTGCTAAGCCCAAAAGTCCTTGCCTTGCTGTCCCATAATTTTAAAAAATTGGACTTGTTAACCAGTGTTACCGGACCCAGAAGTAAAAACTCGAATGTTCCGAAGTAATTGTTAATTGGAATATTTCTATTTTCAAGATATTCATTATGCATTACACTGTCGCGACCCTTTCGAAGGCGTGGACCACCTAGGGGTTGGCTGACGGATTACTAAGCTTAAACTTAGCTCGGAATCTCCCAAGCTCACACCAATTTACAACTTATGGTTCGAGTTCTTAACATGCAAATCAATTTTATCTTGGGGCTGCCATTAGTCAGGTTTCCGTGGGTCGATTAGATGTACTTTTACGAACCAGAGATATGATTAGCTCAAAAACTTAATTATGCTAAATTGCTCTAACGCCCTTTCAGTACCATTTCATTTATTTTGAAAATATTTATACAGGCAACTTGGATTGATCTTAACTTAGACACTAATATGCAGGGAGTGATCATGCATGTGCACAACCATTAAAAATAACAATCAATAAAAAAAAAGTAAGCAAATTGCGAAAAGACGAAGAAATTGGACACACCAAAACAATCAAATATTTTTTGAGGTTTTCTTTATCTTAAAGTAAAGTTCTATCTATATGACATGCAATTTCCTAACATTCAAGCTATATGACATGCACATGATATTTTTGATATTTTTATTAAAATTCGAAATTAATAAATACCTTGATTAAACTAGCTAAAAAAGAATAGTTATCAAATCTAGTTTAGGGATTAACTCGACCGAAATCCTATCCTATCGTAGAAAATTATTTTAAACACACGATATGATTCAAATATACAATATTATCTAGAATTCTATCTATTAAGGAAAATCATATCTAGAATCTATTGTAATTTATTCTAGAGTCTATCTAACATGGAATCCTATTTAATGAAACAATGTTATCCAGAAATCCTATCGAAACCTAACATCTAATCTTTTTGTATTTTTTTAGATAAGGAAATAAATCAAACAAAATATGCCTTCAATCAAAAGATAACATCCAATCAATTCAAATAAGGAAACATTATTTAATCAACTTCATATTTTTGCGAGGATCCATAACATGATATTAAGCCTTAAAGATCAAAATAACCGGTTCGATTCCTGGTCCCAATTTTTGACAATTAGTGGGTATCAGTCCGGTTCCCGGTTCCAAGTGTGGAACCGCCCGCCCACCCACCCGGACCAAACCGGTAATATAATAATAAATATAATATATTTATTTAATTTTTATTTTAAAAAAAATTCATAAATCCCAAAACTAAACCTAAATTGCTCAATGCTCACAACCTCACATTGAGCCGAAAAACCCCTTCTTTCGCTTTCGCGTCACACTCACTCTCACTCTCTCATTCTTCTCGGTTGATGCTCACCTCACCATCTCCGACTCTCCATCTTCGTCTCTGTCTCCATTTTTTTGTCTCTTTCCTTGGCTAGTGGACCGGTTCCATGGACCCACTTAGGAACCTGACCAAAATAGAGGTCCGATTTCCGGGTGGATCCATAGAATCAATGGGCGGTTCCCAGTTCCAATTTTTCGAAACCAAACCTTAGTGGGCGGTTCACGGTTCTAGGGTGAGAACCGCCCACCCGGAACATGCTCATCCCTAGTTCCTCTAATTAAGCTTAAGACCTTTCGCTAATCCTAACCTTCACGGGCTAAACCCATCTCAATTAAAGCTCAATAGACCCTCCTCTCTTGAGGAATCTCATCCACTACATGTCCACGCGCTTGGCAGAATTTTGCTCACTTGTGAGCTCAGTCCAGACAATTAAGGTCAGAACCATTCACCGCCGGTCCAATAAAATGGATGAAATATGCTCCACATGACTATATGCTATTTAATAATTATCTTTGCTAGGGGCCGAGGTCGGTCCCTAATTTTCTTAATGCAATGAATTATTAATGGGAAGCCAAAATTTAGATGTCAACAAACACGAGATCAATAAGTGCGTTGGAATTGGTAAAATTTCCTCAAGCGGTTATTTAACAAGTGCACCTCGGGCATTCATTAACAATATCCTAAAAAACATAGGGAAAGAATAAGAAATGTACCTCGTTAGTTTTACCTAATGACTACCTATGTAGCTATATTTTTGTAATTACATTCACATGCCTCCAAGAAAACCTCATATTGAAACGAGAAAATTTGTCCCTCCTTGCCAACTCATTTTTGTATTTTGCTTGGATACGGGTGGTTTTGTTTTTAGTTGATTTTGGGTATTTTAAGTATGTGTGAGAATTTAGGATATGGGAATGTAAATTTTCAAAGGAAAATGACAATTTTGTGAATATGAATATAAGGATAATTGATGTAAATATGTAAGATTGTTTTCAAAGGCGAAATTCATATGTGTTTGGCTCTTTTATATTCGAATTCTAATCACAAAGTGACTGCGCCCCAAGTGAGCTTAGTGGACTGCAGAGTATTAGGTCCGGGGTTCAATCCTCATGAGCACCACATATACATGTATATAAAAAATAAAAAAAGGAGTGAGACAAAAAAAAAAATGAGTCCAGAGGACTCAAGGGCAAGAAGGAAACTTTTTTCTCTAGAACCCCTTAATGTTAGCGCATTGGGCCACAATTGTGGGGCCCATGACCGGATTTAAAGTAAGCAAAGAAATTTGGAAAAATGTGCAATACACATTTAAAGTGTTAATGACACTAGAAATATTACAACTTTCGTGCGACATTTATTTTAATGTCAAAACTTTTTGACGGATCACTTGAATGCTATTTTGTTAGAAAAATTATCACTTGAGTGCCTTCAGTGATTTCCATTGCCACAAAATCGGACATGGCATTATAATAAAGTGTTCAACTTGGTTCACGGCAGAATTGAAGTGCGCAACATATATGTTGCTAAACGATGTCGTTTCTCCACCAAATTAACAAATTGGAGATAAATTTGGTTTCTTTGTCAAACCCTAATCCCCCATTCTTTCTCTCTCCTCCATCTTGAGTTATCGCGGTCTTTTTCCCAAGCCCTATAGCGTTGCCATCATCGTCAACTCTCATCCTCGTGTTGCCCCCTTGAAGCTTGCAAACTACTCGCGACTGCCACATATGGCATCACTTGCAAGGGTCGCGGCCCTCACTTTGAGCTGGGAGGGCCCTCGCCTAGTGGCCGGCGGCTCCTTGCTTGCCTGAACAATAAAAAAAGGAAAAAGAAAAAAAGAAGTAAAGAAGGAGTTGAGAAATTAGAGAGATATGTGGAAAAGAGTAATTTTATATATTTCAATATCTCATAATGAAGATTACATCAGCCTATTTTTAGGATTTATGAAATGACTAAATAAGATAATAGATCAATCAAGATACGCATATTCAAAGAGAGATATTCGCACAATCTTGAAAGATACAAAAATCATCATAATTATCCTAAATATATCTAACATCCCCTCAAACTCAAGCTCAAGGTGCATTGAAGATGTCAACTTGAATTTGAATACAAGTCTGAACAGTGTCCAACGGCTAAAATGTGGCGGAAGAGGCGACATTAGGCAGCTGTTGGTGAAACTTCTAGATCTAGAAGGTCTGAGAGCGGTGAGTCTAGTGGTGGTGTGGCTTCTTAAAATAACACACAAAACGTCGAGAATTGGAGGGGAAAGAGCAAGTGGCCGATATGGTTGGCTTGCAAAACAGCAACTGAGCGACGCGTCTTATACGGCTAACATCATAGCATCAACTGGCCTATACAACTGGCTTGGAAAAATAGCTACTGAGCGATGCAGCCTATGTGGTTGGCATCGAAAGAAAAGCCACCTCCATGAAAGGCTCGATTAGGTGTTGCAGCAGTTACGGTTGGCATTAAAACACGACCATCAACTCGACTAAGCGCTTTGTCATATGAGAGGGCTCTACAAATTATGTGACAAATATACATAGGCTATCAGACAAGATAAATAAATTTGAAATCAACGTTGATGGGAGGATATTAGGACTTTTTGAAAAACAACAAGAAGCAAAATTAGCTATAGATGGGCACTTGGGTATGTACCGGTGCACTTCATGACCAACTAGCTCTGACACCAAGTTGAGAAATTAGAGATATGCGGAAGAGAGTAATTTTGTATATTTCGATATATTTTAACGAAGATTAAATCAACCTATTTATAGGCTTTATGAAATGACTAAATAAGATAACATATCAATCAAGATACGCATAATCAAAGCGAGATATTCGTATAATCTTGAGAGATACAGAAGTCATCATAATTATCCTAAGTATCTCTAACATAAGGAAAAAGAAAAAGGGAAAATACCACAAAAAAAACCCCAAACTATGCTACTTGTGACAAATTTAATCTGAACTTTTTTTTGTGACACAAAAAACCCCAAATTATGCCACTTGTGACATATTTACCCCACAATACTTTGGCATAAGGACATTTTCGTCTTTTTTCTTTTTCTATTTTTTTTTCTTTCTCTCTTCCCTCCGCCGGCCATGGCGGAGGGAAGCCGGCGAGGGCAGCCCTCGCCGGCGTTGGGTGAGGGTTGCCCTTGCCTGACGCCGGCGAGGGCGACTCTCGCCCAATGCCAACGAGGGTTACCTTTGCCAAATCCGACGAGGGCGACCCTCACCCAACCCCAACGATGACAAGGGCCGCCCTCACCGGCTTCCCTCCGCCATGGCCGGCGGAGGGAAGAGAGAAGAAAGGAAAAAAAATAGAAAAAGGAAAAAGACGAAAATACCCTTGGATCAAAGTATTGTGGAGTAAATGTATCATAAGTGACATAATTTGGGGTTTTTCGTGTCACAAAAAAAAGTTCAGGGTGAATTTGTCACAAATGGCATAGTTTGGGATTTTTGATGGTGTTTTCCCAAAAAAAAAAGAAAGAACTAAAAAGAAAAAAGAAAAGTTAATAAAAGAATTCGAAAAATATTTAAAAATTTTAAAAAATTATCCACGTCAACGCCGGCCATATTACGTAAAACGGCCAACGTCCACGTCATCAATTTCCGATTAAAATTGGCCGGATAGATTCAATTGGCAAAACGCGAAAATGAACTCAATTGGCATAATTAAAAGGTTTAAGAGTTGATAATAAAGTGTCAGTTCTTGTTTGTTTCGAGTTACGTCGTATCTAGTTTGGGTGCCACTCAATAAATTCGCATCGTATTTGAGTAACATTCTTACGTTGTGTTGGGAATTGCCATCCCCCACATCAAAATAAAAGAAGGTATCGAGCGACGTTTTTAAAAGCGTTTCACGGTATCTAGTTCATAAGTATGAAATTTTTTTTTCTTTATGTTTCTTCCAATTTTTTTCCTTGTGCGATCTCTTTGCAATATCTATTTATTTGCGCTACCTTTCAAAAAAATGAAGTAAGATTTACTGAATTACGACAAATGATGGATGGTAATTTCGTAGACTAGAAGATTGCCTAGTTCGGCTCAATCGAGTTCCCTTTAATGATTCGGCTTCACGTAACCAAATGATGATGACACTCATAAAGTAATGAAGAACACCAAGAAGGGTCAGCATACTTAGCATCGTAATCCCAGTTTTGCTTACATAATGTATTGGCATGTACCTCAGGAACCATCATAATTTGTCACATTCCATTGGATGATTGGATGGATGGTACAGGCCGATAGGGCGATGCCACGTATCAACACTCTCTTTTAGTGTTTGCACCCTCTTGAATGTAGGCATTTCGTGCCCAGGTCGTTCCATAAGCATAGTCATGGCCACGGTTCGGAACCGATCGATTCCGGTTCGGAACCGGCGGTTCCGGTTCGTGGCCAAGTATGAACCGGACGGTTTCGGGCCGGTTCCGGTTCAGGTTTGGAACCGGTTCCGGGCCGGTTCATAATTTTTCTTTTTTGTTTTTTTTCTTTTTCTTTTCCTTTTCTTTTCTTTCTCCGCCGGCCTCAGCGAGGCCGCCCTCGCCGGCGTCGAGCGAGGGCCGCCTCGCTCGAGCCGGGCGAGGCCGGCCTCGCCAGATCGGGCGAGGGCTCGACCTCGCCGGCGGCCCGCGAGGCCGACCTCGCCTCGCAACCGGCGAGGTCGGCCTCGCCCGACGCCGGCGAGGCTCGACTCGCCGGCAGAATCGGCGAGGCCGGCGAGGTCGAACCCTCGCCGCATCCGGCGAGGCTCGACCTTGCCGGCGGCTCGGGCGAGGCCGACCTCGCCTCGCAACCGGCGAGCCCGCCTCGCCCGACGCCGGCGAGGCTCGACCTCGCCGGCAGAATCAGCGAGGCCGGCGAGGTCGAACCCTCGCCAGATCTGCAGCTTCTTCTTTTTTTTTTTTTGAACCGCGCCCGGAACCGGTTCAAAAATTTCTAGAACCGGAACCGGGCCCGTAGGGCACGGACCGGTTCCGGTTCCAACCGCGGGCCCGGTCAACGGGCCGGGCCCCGGTTTGACCGGGCCGGTTCCGGGCCGAAACCGGCCCGTGGCCATGACTACATAAGCAGGTAGCAAATAAATCGAAATGGACTGCAATTAGTACAACTGTACAACATTTATCCGAATGCTAAATCAATCAAATCTAGCTATATGGTATAATTTGGCAAGGCCATAGGTCGTGCCGACTATATAGGTGACAATGCTTCGATGTATCCATCCTCGATTTATATATAGCGGGCTTCAAATATAATGAGAACGGTAGTGCTTCTCTTCTGGCTGGCAATGGAGTCATATGTTATGATATTGAGTTTGATCTCATGACAACGCAGGTCTTTTTTATGTTTCTTCTACGATGCTACCTACAAATCTGCCTAACGAGCCTTAATGATTAGAGCTACATTAGCTAATTGATGACACTCCTATGTGCTTCCTTTGCTTCCCCGGCATCTTATTAACAACTTTACATTTGAATACAATGATGACACATGCAAAGCTAAATTTTTTTTTAATTCTTCAAATGACGGCAAACTTAATTTATTTGACACTCGACAACACTTAGTCATGAAATCAATTATTTCGCGAAGGTAAAAAATGATTTGAAAAATATTTCTTTAAAAATGATTGTGTCATATTGCTTAGAATACCAACGAAAAACATTTTTGCCATCTTCAAATCCAATCACAAAAGGCATTCAAACTTAGTGCTCCATCCGTTGTAGCATCGAGAATTAGTGGGGGTATGCTCAATGATCGATGGTCCTAGTCAAGCAGTTTAGAACCATCGCATTTCACCAGATACTAACTCGCGCGCCCCATCCCGAATCCAACAAAAAGTACAGTTTAGATGTCCACGTCATCTCTTCGGTAGGCATTGTTCTGGACTGTGGAAATACAAAGGACATTTATTTGTATTTCTTAGAAAATTACACATTTGAAATCCCACAACAAAAAGGAGAAAATTTAAAAATTAAAAAAAAAAAGAGAAAGAAAGTAAGAAGGGGGGGGGGGGGGGTAGAATAGATTGGGCCAAGTGGGCAAATGGACAAGGCCCACGAAGATAATCAATTTGGGCTTGAATCGGAGCTTATGCAGATATTTCGTTTTTGGCGTTCACTTGACAAAGCAAGAACAGCATACAACGAATTCACGAATCATGGCCCGAAACGTGGCGCAAAGAAAAGTTTAGAATGGATGGAGACATAAATCAGCTTTCATATATATATATCATTTGCTCTTATTGATTTTGTTCGACATTCATATCTTCTATTCACACGATGATGCATGACTTGCGAAAGAAGAAAAGGTTTGTGAAAATAACACAAATGGTCCATGAACTTTGGTCAAACATGCAATGTGATCCCTGAACTTTTAATTTGTTCAATATGGTCTATGGATTTTTGGTGCATGTTCCATTATTGTCCCTGATTTTTAATGAATGAAATGACTACCCTGAATATTTTCATATAATTCAGGGACTACACTGAATATATATTAAAAGTTTAAAGACCGTATTGAACAAATTAAAAGTTTATGGACAACATTAAATATTAGGTTAAATTTTAGGGACCACCACGATCAAATTAAAAATTCATAAACCACATTGCATATTGGGTCAATGACCATTTGTGTCATTATCCCAAAAGGTTTTGTAGGCAACTATAACTAGTAATTCTCTTTCCTTTAATCCAAGCTTCTAGCAAATGCAATCTTTGGTGATTCCCTCCGAAATGAAGTCACACTCATCATAATAAGACTAATCAAAGTCCTTTTTATTGATTAAACGGGTCAATCCCGAATGTTAAACCTTAACAAAACATATAGTTCTAGAGATGCGGTATAAAGCATAAATAAATAGATTGATGGCTTAAAACCTGTTGCCGCATAAGCGTTTTGGACCCTACTCGATCATCGCTCCTGTGATAAGCCGAGACTAAGCAGAAGAAAAATGCGAGAAGACAACGTGATCATGCACCACAGACCCACAAGAAATGAACTGGAGAGACTTCACAGGCAGAGAGATACAACACACGATTCCATAAATCGTGTGATTGTAGGGGAAACATCATTCTCAACAGTAGTTCTTGAAGTATGAAATCTGAACTAGCAATGCAGTCCGCGTCTGATGCAGTCCAGTCTCACCTTTTCCCTATACTTGCAACACATTTCTGAAGACAATTAACTCTTTTTCATTGTGGACGATTTGATCTCCTGAAAATTACTTTGCTGTCGAGAGATCCCAACAAAAAGGGACCTTCTTGAGTTATATCAGCTATAGTGTACTAAGTTAGAAACGTGTTATAGGCTAATTCCTTCTTGGCCCAAAATCAGCAAAACTATTTATAACACAGCAAGTACTCCAACAAAGTTCCACAGTGTCCAAACCAATTCGACGCCAATAGATGAGAAAGAAGATGATTGGACGCTGCATTTTCTCCTCATCAACGATCAAAATGTTCGTAAACCCAATTCTCTACTAAGTCCAGGTTCCCTAATTAGCAATAATACCTGTTCTTGACCAAGAACTAGAGACAAAAAGGACCTGACCTGGTGATTGACAAAAGAATGAAATATTTCTTCAGAATTTAAATACAATGTCTCAAGCCTTTTGAGTCACCGGTAAATAAACACAGTTTGGACGAAAATTTATAGTTAGCCACAGATGAGATTGCAGCAAGCGATCCAAAAGCATACTTAATCAGAAGTGAGCACTACAATTAATGTATAAGACACACACATTGACGGAGAGGGAATTGGGAGAAGATGATCTCATTCTTTCTTCTTCACCAACTATGTATTGCAATGCCGTAGGGAATGGTAACAATTCATAACTATTGATCTCCACATACCTCTCGATAACTCAATAAGCACATTCATTCTCAAACAAGATTGACAACTTTTGTGGCTTTTGTATCATTGTAGTTCAGACAAAAGGTATCCCTTTATCAAACAAGTAGTATCAGAGGGGATTCATGCTTGGTATCTTACTTTCTCAAGGAGTATGAAGCCCTTAGACAATGGCTTGAGAGAGATGCGATCAGGACATCTTCTCGGCCTCAAGATGCAGCAACACCAATGATGCAAGGAATAATCGACTTACATCAAGATATCTTTTTCTTCCTCATTCTGATTTTGGGTCGTATCACACTGATCTTGAAAGCAGTTTCAAAAGTGAATTTTCAAATAGAGGTACATATATACTGATAAGGGTAAATCTTCTTTGAAACTAAAATAGCTTGTGATCAAACATGTGCATCAAGGGGCAAGGGAGAGCTAAGAAAACGAGCCGTAGCATAATGGAACGTCCTCTTTTCAGAATCAACATGAATGAACCATGAAATGAATCCAACGATAACGTACCTCTCGAGCAATCTTGGGCAAATATGGATCGGAACTCGAAGCCGGCGATTCATCTGTGACCGTAAGTATCACCAATGGCCTGGCATGTGGAGCAGAAAGAAGTATGTAGCCAAGGACCACTTGCCAACTTCATAATTCCATTAATTCAACATACACGGAGAGAGATCCAATCCAAGTAAATGAGAAGAAAGAGAGTCGGCAAGTCATCCTTGGCTGCACAACATTCTTTCGACACCTACACGCAATGCCATACATGAGAGAGAGAGAGAGAGAGGGGACTCATCATTTTCCTCTCCATGAGAGCAGAAGATCTCAGTCGTAGCCGCAACCACAAGCTCATCAAGGTTCCAAGTACAGGCCCAAAGATATAAGGGAAAACAACCCCTTTTCCCCTCTTTTTTCTTTCTTTCTTTTCTTTCTTGTTTGATTAAGGATGATGCTACCTAGGGTTTTCTCTCTTGCTATGGATAGAGGGTCAACATTGGAAAAGAAAAGGGAGGACACAAGAGTCTTTATATGAAGACTTGAAGGATAAGGGCTGAATCACGGAGCTACTCGGACTTCAGAGGATTCACAACTGTAAACATAGAAGAGTAAGTTTGAAATTGATGTATGTGTGAAAAAAGGAAATTTTCAAAGTACGATATATCTTTTACTCGAAAGTAATTGTTTTTATAAAAGAGAGACTAATCATCTTATATTTATGTGATACAAATAAGAGGGAAACATGGAGCCACCCAAGAAAAACCCTAAAGCTGCGAAACATAAAAGCCCAAATCAACAACATATCATAGCATAAAAAAGAAGAGGAGAGCCGGAGCTTGTGCTAGAAGAAGCAAAGGGGGAGCATTGAAAGGACATCGGTTTGCCTCACTAAATAAATCAGCTCAAAAAAATAAAAAATGGAGGCATTATCTAGAATCGAGGTTCGAAGAAGACAGCTGCTAGAAAGATCCATTAATATATACAGTCGGTACGTTAGGGGATAAGGTTCTCTCTCTCTCTCTCTCTCTGTAGTCCTCTCTTGAAGTTCGCCACACCCCTTACACTGTAAGATATGACTGATAAAACCTATAAAGATGCTTGCTGATGATACTGAGTCATTAATTGAAAAGGAAACCCACATGCATGCAGAAAGAGATCCGGCTACATATCTCAGAAAGGAAAGTCCATTAGCTTGACCGCATGCTCAACCATCCATTTTAGCTTAAATAAAACCAAACTAAGCTATAATGACTTCTCATTTCCGTGACCTATAAGTTAACATAAATATTATACTAACAAGGAACAAATAATAAGGTTTCGGGTCAATTCGGGGTCACTGTCTAGCATTTACTAGGGACAGTCAAAAAGGGGAGGACATTACGATGGCGATATGGTTGTACTGGTTGTGGGTCGTCTTCTGGAAGTGCAGAAATAATGTAGTTCACGTGCACACTCTTCAGTATCTCCACAGGCCCTCCAAAGGGCAAGTTAATTATAAGTGACATGAACGGTGTACAAAAATAGGGGGATTATTCAAAACTACTCTTGCAAAGCAGAGAGAGAGGCAAATACAGATAACGGAGCAGGAGCGAATCTTGTTTCCACTGACATTAGGAATAGAAAAAGGGTCCTTGCTCTCACTGTCTTGAGCGCATTGTTTCGAGATAAGCAGATGGACGTGTATCATATCAGTGAGAGAAAGAGAGCATCTAGAATACAATGTATATAATATACATGTTGAGATTGAAATGAGGTTATAGGGAGAGCAAAGACTCCGGGAGACCGATACTTTTAAAGGGAATGAAAAAACATACAAGAAGCGCCTAGTAAGGGTTTCGATTGGGAGGATTTTTGTTCGCAGCTAGCTAATATTGTTTTCATACTTGTAGGTGGCGACATTTTTGCTTGTGACTAGTGACGGGAGGGGGGACAAATCTTAACTAGATAAGCAGGAGAAATAAACAGCTACAATTTACACAAAATCCGTATACTAATCAAAGTATACAGAATTGCAGATTAAAATTACATGGCACACCTTACGATCAGGAGGGGCCAGCAACTTGCCGAGAAGACAACCAGCCTATCCTAAGTCCATCATTGCAAACACTGTATAGTCGGCGAGCCAATAGCGAATCCAAAAGACCAAGTATGATTCTGACTTGTTTATGCAGCTTTGAAAGTTGATCAGTCTTTTAGGATGTCTGATAAGCGAAGATAACAAACATTGTTTCAATGGATGATCAAGCGCGCGCTCGCTCGCTCGCTGAGTACTATACACCTGTGTATCGTGCGAGTGCAGTTGCGCAGGCGTGCACGCTCGAACATGTGAAAAGATAGTAAGTTTGTCTTGTAGCAGAGAATTAAATTGCCTCTGAGAGCCATGTGGCAAGTGGCCTTGATATTTGCAGAGAAGATTTGGCCTTTGCCTTATCCCTCTCGTTTTTTTCCTTTGACAATATATTTACTCCCAGTCACAAGGCGTCTGTGATGGCAGATGACTGTAAATGCAGCAGAAATTGAAAAGGGGAAATCAATATCAGTATTAACATAAGCTGCAATATATCACATGAGACTGTCTGCTTTTTTAAATACAATAACAATTGGAGCAAGAACATTCTACATTTTTTTAACGTGTTCACTCCTAGAATCCCAAGAATGTAGCATCTTCTTGCTTCTGTTCGAGTACAAAATGACTTCAGGGTTTTTTCCAAGCAAGGGATCTTAATTGCCATTGTAAATCATTTGATGAAACTAGAATTGGTCGTCCTGGTAATCCAAATCGCTTATTTTATTACAATGCGATATTTAGCGCAAGCCAATACCAAGGATACAGTCTATAAGGAGTTGAGAAGATGGAAGTCGGTAATGCTGAGTTACTACTGACTGGTAAGGCACTTGGACCTTCCAATTCAAGGTCACAAGTTCGAGCTCTCTTGTCGCCACAAACCACATAAACAAGCAGGGAATTGCCACACCCCAAATGATGCACAAGACAAATAGAGAGATGATCGAAATAGGCACCTGAATGTTCATATGATCACCAAAACAAAAATCCCAAAAACTGCCTACTGGCTTATAGATCGATCCAAACAAGGCCAATCTAGGTACAAAAAACATTGTTTGGGTGGATGATGTGGTAGATAAACCAACAATTCAATCAAAATGCCTGTGAAGTTCATGGAAGTGGCACGATGATCATATAAGTTCTGCCTCTTCAATATATGATTTCCTTATCAAATAGAGTAAGTTTAGGACCTTGCACATCATCCTCCTAGCTCCTCCGAACCAATAGGAATGATTGCGTGCATATCAATTTTTCATCATGCGACACCGACACGTGGAGAACTAAGTCCATCAAGTTGAGTTTTTTTTGTAATTCGACGATTTCCAACTCAAAAGACAGAGGCCACTCGTTTAAATCTTACTAACCGCACGCAAACTACTTTGGGTCGGGACCACTTCCCCAACCAAACGCCCGGACTTAACCGGTCTATGGGACCAGCAGGTTTTTCCTCGGGCCTTCAGGTAGCTTGGTCTCTACGTCGGTGCCCCAATGTCATCAAAAGAAAAAGTCTGAAATGCGAAAGTGGTTCGAAACATTCACATGACGCGGGCATGGGCTTTTTGAGCTGGGCTTGCAAAATTCAAAACCGAAGGGCCTTCGTATTCAGAACTGCTCGGGACAACCTGCGCCCCCTCGAAGCTGACAAGTGGGCCTTTGAAAACTTTCAGAAAAATACAAGTACGTTATGCTCGATTGGACGGTCCGATGTTTACGTAGTTTAAGACCTTCAAACGTTTCGTGTCAACGAGCAGACTTTCTCGGACAAAAAGCGCGAGTTGCGTCCACGTGGTCATCCCTCATTGGGCGACCGCGAGAAGGGTAAGACCGCCACCGGGGCCCCACCCGGTGACCGTGATGATGTACCTAATGGTCAACCCAATCGGGGCAGGCCTCTTCATGAACGTCACGTGGGACTCCTCCCCCTTTTCTTTTTCTACTACACGTCCAGCTCACCCCCATTATTTCCCTTTTCCGAAAAGCAAAAAAATAATAGATAATTATTATTATCATTTATAAAAAAAAGAAAAAATCTTATTTTACTTGGGTCATTCATTAAAGTTCACTAAATGTTTTTTTTTAAGGTTGCGGATGCGTCGTTGGTCTGTTCCGAAGCGCGAACCACCGCAGGATTGAGGAAGTGTGTAACTTCAATTTAGCATTTACTCTAATTACGGCGATGATGGCGTAATTTGTGTTCGCTTTGCCTTACACACCCCGGGCGGTCGACGAGAACCTCACCGTCGCCGTTTCATACCGTAGGGGGGGATTATATGTAAAGTTGAAAAGCGGGTGCGAGGCGGAGCCGTTCAATTTGGTCTAAAGAAAAACAATTAACTGCAAAAAAGAAAAAGAAAAATCCCACGCGAATCATAAAGTTATGTTTAAAACACCCTTATTTTACCATAATTGAATTAATTGCGAAGTGGCCAATAAATTCATTCGAGGTAATTATCAAATAGTCTATAAATCTCTTCTCTTTTGTAACAAATTCAATCAGACCTTTTTATCACATCATGGCATACCGTAGTAATATATATTTCCATTGTTGGAGAAGATTTCTAGCAAAGTAATTTGATTTATCATCAGAAGGATCCATTATTTATTTTTGTTCTCATTTTCCCGTCAAAATAGACACTAATTACAATGTGCCCCGTTCCATAAAGTAGCTATTATTTTAGGAAAAATATCATAAAAAACCCCTAAACTATACCTACTATGACACATTTATCCTTAAAAAAAATTTCCGTGACACTTAAAATCATAAACTTGTATCTGTGTGATACATTTACTCTCCATCAAAATTCTGTCAATGTAAACCGTTAAAACTCTTCCTATATGAATGCTAGAAAGAAAACAATGTTAACAAAAAATGACGTTATTTTAACTGAAAAATTATCTAATGAAACTTTTTTTTTTTCGGAAACAGAAGGTAAATATGTTACATAGGTATAAATGTGAGATTTTTTTATGTGTCAAGAAAAAATTTAGGTTAAATGTGTTGTAACAATATGGTGTTTTTAATATCATAAAAAAGTGCGTCACATTAAGTGCAGTTTGGAGTTTTTTTAATGACTTTTTCCCTTATTTTTAAGATTAAAGGTGCTAATAAATCGAAAAAATACGCGGAATAAATACAAAACGTTGGTTGTTCCGAACCGCAACGCTAAAAAAGGAAGAGAAAAACCAGACCAATCGTCTTCCTCGTTCGAGAGCCACCCCCGGGAGATTCGCAGCGTCAGTTGAACACACTGACATGTCGACGCTCCTTATATTGCTCTGTCTGCATTGCTCCGAATCGCTGTCCCCTTCACTTCCTCGTCCATGCTGAGCCTCTCTCCCGTGCGTCCCAGTCGCGCCGTCGCAGCGCGTCGCCGTTCTCCGATCGGTCCGTTCCCTCGCCGCTCCCCCTCCGCCGCCCGGAACCTCCGATCCCTCTCCACGGGAGGAGGAGCGTCCGGGATTTGCATGCGCCCCCGCGTGAGGAACCGGTCGCGGCCGCGTTGAAGTCCGAGGGCGAATTTCGTTGGCGGAGCATACGATGCGTTGCTGCTCCTCGGGAGCTCGAGTGCAGCAGTGGCTTCGTGATTACGACAGGCTTCAGAGCTTGGCCGTCATTCTCATCTACATCCAGGTGAACCCCCTTGGTCCTTCCTAGGGTTTGTGTGATCTTCAATCGCTTCCTTTTTTTTCTGATGGTGCTCGCCGTCGCTTGTAAGTGTTCTTGTTTGTTGATTTTTTTTTTTTAAATTTTTTGCCTTTGCGTGTTTCTTTCGTAGATTGCTTGCGCGCTGATCGGATCTCTGGGAGCATTGTATAATGGGGTGCTGCTCATAAATTTGGGGATCGCGCTCTTCGCGCTTGTGGCGATCGAGAGCAGCAGCCAGAGTCTGGGTCGGACCTACGCCGTGCTTCTCTTCTGCGCCATCCTCCTTGATGTCTTCTGGTTCATCCTCTTCACTCACGATATATGGTGAGCGCGGACGATGACTTAAATTGGTTTGTTCGCATGAAATTCATCCATTTAGGATAATAAATGGTTACAGTGGTCAAAATGGTCGAATTCCTTGCCTTAATGGAATTTTGGTGCACTCGTTCTACTTCTTAGTTGAATTTTCGCTTTAAGGGTATAATGAATTCCATCAGCAAATGAGCAGATTAATTTTCATGTCTTTTTGAGATATTGCTGATTTGTTTACTAATAATCTCTGAGACGGTTCGACTTGGTTATATGGCAACATAGTATGTTACAGAGGTAGGAGTTTTCTCTGTAAACTGTTACAGACTAATTTGTGCTTGGTAGCTGTTGCTTAATATGTATCTCTTGGTAACAGTGTGTAAACTGTTACACGCTTAATTTGTAGCTGTTGCAACATACAATTTTCCAAGGCTCTTATATTTCCCTGCACCCGGAATGAATTGTCTGTGAACTTATGGTCTACGAAATTATTCCATATGACAATGGTAGATCTTACTTGTAGTAGACTCCTGCCCAAGAAACTTACTTATGCTTCCTGACTGGGGTCTCAATGTGTTCTTGACATGACTGGAACCTTCTTATTAGTGCCATCTGAGATGGGCTAACTTCTGAAAATGCCGACATACATCTTTACTGAAACAGGAGGAAGTTTAACAATATATGTTCAAGATTGTCCATTATTTACTCAAGTGGAAGTTACTTGTCGTGCTTCTCATCCACATTGCTTTAGAGCAATGGTGTACACATCCTTTGCATTTGCATCTGTTTTGACTAACATGTTAATAGTGTCCTTTTCGATGCTCAAAATGCCTAAAGATATCATTCATCTTAAGCTCTTCTCACTCCCTATTCTGCTTTCCCTTTCTCTTAGCAAAAGTGGAAGTTAAAGACTCTGATTGGTGACACGCAGGTAAAGTCAGATGAAGTCAGTTTTATAGCTTATGCTGATAGGTTGCTGAAGATTATGGACTGGATTATTTTTTCCCATTTCTGTCAATGTTAGACACCTTCATATTTGACATTGTTTGAGTAGCAATTGCCAGGACAGTGTGTTTATGCACAACTCTGTATCTAGTGGAACTGGATATTCTTCATGTCTTTGTGAAATTTTCTTTTTATTCAATTGGCTCCCAGACATGAACTTTTTCCCCCTTTTTTTGCAGGAACATCTCATCTGAAAGTTATGGCGTGTTTGTAATCTTTTCAGTGAGGCTTACCCTGGCGATGCAAATTGTTGGGTTTTCTGTGAGGCTATCATCCTCATTCATATGGATCCAGATTTACAGGCTAGGAGTTTCATCTTCGGAAACCACAGCTTCTCAAGAACCAGATTTTGATTTGAGAAATAGCTTTCTAAGTCCTGTGACTCCTGCAGCAGTTGGACGATCCTCAGATTCTGACGATGTCTTAGGAGGCTCCATTTATGATCCTGCTTATTTTTCATCTCTTTTTGAAGATAGGCGAGACAATGGATTCTCAAATGGGGTGAAGTGTTTTTTGACAAACTTTGTTGTTTGTTTATCTCTATCACATGCGTACTCTCTCTTTCTCTCTGCTTGGATGCTTTTATGTGAGATGTCTGCTGCATTTCATCTGGATCGAAAATGCCTGTTTGTGCATGAAGTTGAAATTATTGCTGACTTCTCGCTTTCCAAGAGAAATATTTTGTCTGCTTGGAAAATTGTTTATGCTTAGAAATCTCAACGTTGTATCTTCTGTCTACTGGAAAGCTCTTAATCTGCAATTCTTGATGACATGTTGTGCTTGATCATCAAGGTTTGTGCACTTTTTTTTTTGTAAAGGGGCTTTTTCTACCGACAATATTGGGGATATTTATTAGATTTGGTGATTGGCACTGTTGCTAATGGAGCAGAAACGGTAAGATGCCCTCTGTAAATCATGTCTTGCATATCTGTGGTCACTGAACTCTCTCTTTATGGATTTTTCATAGTTATGGTTGGGGAGTGATCAGTATGCTCAATGTGATGCTGTTACTTCATTTCATAGATTTAAAATGTTGTGGATTTTTTGTGGAATTGTCTTAATAACTGGTGTTTTGCCATATGTCAACCACCTGCATTGGCAGCCTGAGGCCATGTTTTAACTGTGTGTGGGTGCGCATGTGCATGCCTGCGTGTGTGTAATCTTTGTGAACATGGTATTCCTCTTGTTGTAATCTCTTATAGCTGTTTACCCATTTGAAGGATGGAAATTATTGTTGCTCAGCCCTGATTGTTTTATTTTGAGTTTCGGTTCTTTGAAATGTACATATTGTTCGAGTATTTTGTGAATGAAGATTGTTTTACAGGTTGAAAGTTTAACCAACAAGCCCCAGAATGATATTAGCTCATTAACCAAGACGTAACATGCTGAGAGTTCATTTATCAACTGTCAATCCCCAAATATCTTGAGATTCTCTGGGCTCATTCAGTGCAGTCACACTGTGCAAAAGCGTGGCCTTCATGTAAGCACCAATTTGTAGCCAAATTCTTTCCCTAATGGAGGATAGAATTCCAACTTAAGATGATTCAACGTGGATTTCTATCCTGAAATTTTGGGGGTCACAACGAATTTGCTTTTGGAGCAAGAGCAGCTCCAGAGTTTATGTTGAGCCGGAAATCAAGTACAGAAACAGAACGCCTCAGAAGCTTACTCGTTACACTCGGATAGATTGCGCACTATACTTTTTGTTCTCATTGGCTGCACTTCTTGGAAGTTGAGATGCCTTCGCTGTTACATGTCTGGTAACTTCTCATCTTCAATATGACCTTTGATGTCCCTGAAACAGATTGGTTGTAGCTTCATGTTCATATAATTCTTTCTATTTTTCTAGAACTGTGAGGAAGAATATACAGGCTTGAGATGTACCTCGAAAATTTCATGGTAAATTAGTTTCTCCAGTTTAATAATTTCTTTCATGCGGGCCAGCAAAAGATGCTACTTAGTTCTTGAGTCGTTGTTCAGTAATGTGTCCCGACTTTGAAATGCGACTACAGTTTCCGAGGTTGTGGGTTAAAATTTGGACGATGAGAAGCTTTCTTCTCCCCCTTCACGAGTCTGACATAGTTTCCTTGGATGTGGAAGTACTAAGCTCAATTATGAATGGTTGTTTCGGCCATCGTTGCTTGATGGACACGAATTCGCTCTTGAACAAGCTCGATTGATTGTCTTGATGTTATCTAAGAAGTTAATGCTGGTGGAAGTTGCAGGATTCTCAAAAGCCTAGTACCAGCACATAATTCTAAGTTTGGTTGTTTGAATAACATGAGTCCAAAATCGCAGCTTCCACCAAACCTTGTCGAATCTTCAAGTAGATATTTCTCCATCAGCATGAGCAGAAAACAAAGCTTATACGAGCCTTACAGCAAGTGAATAGATCACATCACGGCCCACCGAATTCTCCATTAGCTGGGTTATCGTGGTTGGCACGCAATGGGCCAATACTTATGTCGACAGGTCCATGATGGAGCGAGTCGATCATGTATATGGACAGAGTCTTGTGTCTCGCGAAGTTGAATGACCAGGCTTATGGACCACTGTGCAGGCAAAACTACTCCCGAAGTGATTATTGTATATTAGTACATCATCGTCAAGAGCTGCACATCCTTTATTGGAGAGCAGCTAAGGATGCAAAATCAACATTCCTCGCGTCGCTGTCAAAATTTGCGTGGGCTCACTTTACCTTTCAGCATGGTGGGAATTGTGTCTTAACATATGATGATTATGCCGGAAATCACGAATCCCCTCCATAATTATCTACGATCAGGAGGCTTGAAAAAGATGTCCAAACATTCCTTGTTGGACGGAAATGATTCACTCTTATTGAAGCCAACAACAAAAGAGAGAATCATTTGTGCTGCGTTTGGCACCTGCCTGCCTTGCTCTTATCTGTCATTCAGGTCAAAATTCCAAAGGCAGTTGCCGAAAATGCCCATGATTTTCTTCTATACATTTTAGCAAAACCATTGCCAAATAATACAAACGTGAAATAAGTAAGTTATTAGCCAATTGGGATATATTAATTTCTCCACACCCCACCATTTCTTCAATGTGAGAATTTTTTTTTCCTTAACACAATTCGCATGTGCATCTTAACATCCTCTATAGATTTCTAGATTTCTTTGCACGATTACATGCTTCGAATTTATTTGTTGCTCGTAGTTAACATTTCTCAATTTAACTTTTCTTATATTCTAGGCCACCCGATAGAGTTTTAGTGGGAAATGATCAATAAATTGCTTCGGAGAAATGTCTCCTTTTGTTGTCTAATGTACACAGCATACAGAGCATATTTTCGAGTGTCATACACTCATAGCAAATATCTAGAAATCATTTAATAAAAGAAAATGTCATTGATATCACGAAAAGGATATCTATTATTAAGTAAAATCACTACGATTTAAATTTACTCCGGCTTCTTATATAAGGAACCTCTCCACTTTTAGTTTTTGCTTAATCAAAATCCTGCGACACACAAACACTTTAACGTCTTCTTTTTTATAAAATTGAAACACTCGAAACTTTTAACAACACAAACGTTATTAAATAGATTCCCATATAATTTTTTTAAAATTTAAATAATATATCAAATTTTAACAAAAAAAATATAATCTTTCCCCTTTACTTTAATACCAACAAAAGGGACGAAATTTTTCACTATTATAGTGTTAAATAGGGTTGAGCGGTTCCAAGTTTCAGAAGGTTCCGTGTAGATTCCATTTGGAACTTGGACCTGGAACCTACCTTGACTAGTGTCTATCATGGAATCTAGAATTTACCATGTCACAAGTTCCAGGGTCTACCTAGGTTATACCTGTATTATTAATTGAACAATTGCAGTGAATTATCACATTTAATTACTATAATTTTCTGTTATAATCCACTGACCACAACTTATATTTAGATACACGAAAAATATAAAAACATTAGCAAAATAAAAGCCTTCATCATAAAATGGAAGCTGGAACTAGTAATTCCATATTATACACTTATTATCGGACGTTATGAAATACCTTAGGATCACGTGAAGACATAAATTAAGAAAAACACAAAAACTTGTTCCAAGTTTTATCTATCTAAAACTTGAAACCTATCCGTCGAAACAGGCTACTCAAATTTTTGGAAACTGAAACCTACACTACATATTCTGAAATCTGAAACTGGACAAATTCCCATCGGTCCAGTTCTTCGAACTTGGAACTATGCTCATCTCTAGTGTTCAATGAGTGCGGTCATGGTATATTCTTCGTTCCGGTTGTTGTTTTTTACTTTATGTTGGAATTCTCCATTTTTCTAAAAGGACAGCCACACAACTTGTCAACTTTATTGGCCAAAAACAACACTCGACGTGGGAGCGTTTCAATCGCTATGTAATGGGATGTTGGCCCCAACGCTTAACGCTTATCCACCCAGCGACAAAAAAATCCTCTGGAAAAAGTCCATCAATTCTGGCCGTCACTTGGTGCTGACGCGTCGCATCCTGGGCCTTCAAAAGCGCCACGTCGGCGGAAGCCGTCGCTTGGTCGCGTAAACTAATGACCTTAAAATCTGATGAAAGGGTGTTTTGCGAATTAGTGCTAATTCACATAGTCAATAATGGTTTTTTTTTCCATGTCGTATTTCTAATTCATCACTTTTGCTCAGCCTCTTGCAAAACGCGGAGTCAAATTCCAAACTTATGATACTAGCATTCCTACCTCCAATCTCTTTATTAGCAGGGCTGCATGCCTATTAATCTATAATAATGAATTTCTTGATTCGATGGCTTTAGCATAAATATGGATATTCCTTACCTAATAATATAAAGCTATTATAAGTAAACTATATTTGAATATCATATTACAAATTTAACTTTTATTGCGTGTTTAGTTTAATACGAATTTTGTCGTTACTCAAGTAGCGAGATTTGTCGGTACTTAAGTCAATATTTTAAGATTTAGCACTAGTCGCCCATGTTAATCAATAGGCCAGTGGTCACGGTTCTTTCGAAGAAACAAGCACTAAGCAGTGGGGTTGGTTCTTTGGGGAGGAAAGAATGGTGATTGGCTCCGACCCAACAAGAGAGATCAGCAATCACGTAAGAAAGACTCGGCCTTTACCACGATGATGAATGTATACGATTGCGATGTTCATTGGGTAGAGGTAAAAGAAGGCAGAAAAAGTAGCAAAGGATGTGTAGAAAAAGCACGCAGGAGAGAGAGAGAGAGAGAGAGAGAGATGGGTCCTCTATTGTGAGGTGAGAGAATCTTGAGGCTATCGGCATTTTCTGAAGCATTTTCACTTTCGTTGCACCTTCGCCATTGGAACTTTTGGTTGCAACCGTAAATCCCACAGATTCTCGGGCAGAAATTTTGGGTGCTGTTCATTTTCTTCTCTTTCGTTCTTGGCTTGAAATAGATTCTTTTGTTTTTCTCTGCATGCCCGGTAATGCTCTGTTTTTCTTTGTCTTATGATGTTGCATTTTCCTTAAAATAATGGTAATAATAACAGCGGGTAGTTTTTTTGAATATTTAAGGTTGCGTGTCAAATCTGCTCTTTCTCCTCCTCCTGATTTTTCATGCCATTAATACCTTTCTGTGGTTGGCTTTTGGTTCTGTGTTTTATGCGGCTTCCAGATTCTTCTGATTTTATTGCAGGGGGATTTCACCTACCCATTTTGCCCTCAAAGCTAGCAGGATGGCCTAGGATTATTACTTATACAACGAAGAAGTCTCGCGGTTTATGAGTTGGTGGGAAATTCTGGAGGTCGGGTTTGAAGTGTTTCTTGGAGCTCTTGTTTCATCTCTCCGTTGGTAAGCCAAGAGCTCCATGATTTTGTAATGCTTTTGTAAAGATCCTCCATCTTTGTTTGTTGCTCTCTCTTCTGAAGGTAGAATGCACAAATGGGTTCCTTGTTTTTTTTATTTCTTAGATGATCATCACATCACATGCTCCTGGTGAATTTGATCTGTGATTGTTTTGACTTAATGTTAAGTTTCTTTCTTCTGGGTGGTTAGAATTGGGTGAGAAACCGTCTTTTGGGAAAGTAAGGGATTTCGATTTGGCACCTGAGCGTGCTAGATCTATTTAGTATTGTGATTGTGACCATAGCCCTCCGTTTGAGATGAGGTGTGTTCTTTGTTATCTTCCATTTTATTCAATTTCCAGGCGGTCTGTGTTCATTTCCCTCGTTTTAAAACGTCGCAGAAAGAAAGATTCTGAAGGAGGAAAGGTTGTGAAAAAGAAAATGGAAGAACCGATGGCAACAAGATATTGGTGCCATATGTGCTCTCAGACGGTAAACCCCATCATGGAGGTTGAGATCAAATGCCCGATTTGCGAAGGCGGCTTCATTGAGGAAGTAGAGGCTGGCACGGGGGATAGTCAGGGACATGATTCCGACTTGGGATCAGATCAAGCACTCTCGCTTTGGGCCCCAATCTTGCTCGGCATGATGGGCCATCCCCATCGCCGCCGGATATCGAGACGTTTGGAGTTTGATGACGAGGATGATGATAACGAAGATGGCGAATTGAGCCATGAAGGGGAAACCGAATTGGACCGAGAAATTGAATCCATAATCCGAAGGAGGAGGAGAAGCTCTGCTACTATTCTGCAATTGTTGCAAGGCATTAGAGCTGGAATCGCTGCGGAATCTGACGATGCAAACGGAAATAGAGACCTAGACAGAGAAGATGGAGAGAGGGACAGAGATAGAGATAGGGATAGAGAACAAGAGCGGATAATCTTTGTCAATCCTTTTAATCAAACTATCATAGTTCAGGGTTCATCCTATGATTCAACACGGAATGAGAACACCATTGGTTCACTTGGTGATTATTTCATAGGCCCTGGTTTAGATTTGTTATTGCAGCATCTGGCAGAAAATGATCCCAACAGGTACGGGACTCCACCGGCGCAGAAAGAGGCAGTGGAATCAATGCCCACTGTAACAATCAAGGAGAACTTACAATGCTCTGTTTGTTTGGATGACTTTGAGATTGGAGCAGAAGCAAGGGAAATGCCTTGTAAGCATAAGTTCCATAGTGCGTGCATATTGCCTTGGTTAGAACTTCATAGCTCTTGTCCCGTTTGCCGATTTCAGTTGCCTGCTGATGAGGCCAAGCTCGATTCTGATGGGTCTAGAAATGGCAACAACAGAAGGCAGAGGGAGAGAGAGAGCGAAAATGGTCATGAAAGTGGTGAAGATGGAAATGGCGATGAAAGAAACGGAAATAACGGGAGGTTGTCCATTCCGTGGCCTTTCAGTGGCTTGTTTTCGTCGTCGGGATCTCAATCCGGTGGAGGGAATTCTCCATCGTCCTCATCAGCATCCCAGGCAAACGGCCATGAGAGCTCTTCATAAACGGATCAAAATTAAGCGCAAAGTTCTTAACAAACAGATGAGGCCTTAGCATACTTTTTTGAGTATTCGACTTTTGTTGTTACTCTATGCTGTATATTGCCTGAAGTTCTTGCAGTCGCTACTTGCTAGTGTATATAGTTTCTCGCTTTACGAACTCTGATTCGTAATGAGCAGATTGTGGTTACTTCTTTTCCCTCTTCTTCCTTTGCACGTATGTACGTCTTTGAGCCTTGTTAACTTGCCTTGGCATCACACCCTTTTTCTTTTCCCTTTGACCTGCAACTTTGTACCGCTACAACTGCTGTTACTTCTAGATTTTCTGGCTTTTTGGACATCTTCATTGATACTGTGAGTGAATGGGTGGGTGAACGTTTGTGGGGGCTAAAATTTAGGTGGGAAGCCACGTGAAACTGTGAAGGAGACATGACTCATCATTCATTGCTCAAGATTCCTGGCACTTTTTCCACGAAATTGCCAGCGGGACTAAGCTGTTAATGTCTTGTAGTTGACGATTCTAAAGCAGGCCTGCTTTTGTAAATCTGGGGTCAATACAATATTATTTCAAGGGCGATACCGCCAACACATCAGTTCAAGCCTGACTCATTATGACAACATTTTGCAGTAAGAAAGAAGGGTTTGATTGAGACTGGTTGCTCCAATTGCTGGTCTCCTGCTCTACTTCAATCTCACGCTGGGTAGCCCATGTGGACTTTATCTTATTGACGAATCTATCTGAGGTGAAGTTGCAAGTTGCTTCGAGCTCAGGACTTTCTTCTTTTACTATTCAAAGGAGTTTTTAAGTCATTTGATAGCGATTTGTCCAATTCATTCAATAGTGTTTAATTTAGGATCTAAGCAACTACTTTGAGTAGACTAAGGCCGTTTGGCAACGTGCCAAATAGTGAAAATTTCTGTTCTTTTGTTTCCAGAATCAGTTTGGGAACAGAAATCCGCTTGTTAAAATTTTTGTGCCCGGGCACAATTTTGCAAAAAATTGGTCCCAGAATCAGTTTTGGAACAGAATCAGGAAGCAAAAAAAAGTAGATTCTTGATTCTGAAACAATTTTTCCTAAACTGATTCTTCTTTCTTTTTTATTTATTCTTTATCTTCTTCCCGGCCCACTGCCGGCTCGCCGGCGGCGACCGGCTAGGGCCAGCGATGGTGGCCCTCGCCGCCACCGGTGACGGCGAGGTCGGCCTTGCCCAGATCTGGCGAGGCCGACCTGGCTATCGCCACCCCCAGCGATGGTGAGGTCGGTCTCGCCAGATCTAGGCGAGGTCGAGCCTCGCTCGGCCAAGGCGAGGCCGACCTCGCCGTCGCGGGGGGGTGGCGACGGCCAGGTCGGCCTCGCCATGGCCGGGCGAGGCTCGACCTTGCTTGTGATTTGGCAAGGTCCACCTCGCCGTCGCGGGGTGTGGAGACGACGAGGTCAGCCTCGCCAGACTTGGGCAAGGTCGAGCCTCGCTCGGCCATGGCGAGGCCGACCTCGCTGTCGCGGGGGGTGGCAACGGCGAGGTCGGCCTTGCCTTGGCCGGGCGAGGCTCGACCTCGCCATGATCTGGGAAGGCCGACCTTGCTGTCGCCGGGGGTGGCGACGGCAAGGTCGGCCTCGCCTTGGCCGGGCGAGGATCGACCTCGCCGTGATCTGGCAAGGCCGACCTCGCTGTCGCCGGGGGTGACGACCATTAGGCTGCACATGGCAACCATTTTGTGCCCGGGAACAGATTCTGCTCAGAAATGATTCTTTTTTATTCCGTGCCCGAGAACAATTTCTAAGCATTTGAAGGCGTTTGGTAACTGTCCAAAATTTCGATTCTTAGAATAGAAAAAGAACATAAATGCATTTGGTAACTATACAAAATTTCTTTTTATTAATAATATTTTGATAATATTTTGAATTTTTTAATATTTCTTTCTTTTTTTTCCGGCCCTTGCCACCGACCTCACTAGTCGCGACGGCGAGGTCGAGCCTCGCCCAGCCATGGTGAGGCTGACCTCGCCATCGCGGCTGAGAGCCGCGCTCGCCCAATCGGTGAGGGGGACCCTCGCCGGCTCTAGCCTATGGTCGGTGGTCGGCAACGGCGGCTGGCGGTTGGAGGCTGGCGACTGGCCGGAGGCAGGCAGCGGCAAGCCGGAAAGAAAAGGAACAACAAACCAAGAAAAAAGAAGAAAAAATAAGAAAACCAAGAAGAATCAGAAATGAAAAAATTATTATAGAATCAAGAAGCTACTTTTTTTTGTTTCTTGATTCTGTTTCAAAACTGATTCTAGGAATAATTTTTTGCAAAATTGTGCCCAGGCACAAAAAATTTAACAAATACATTTCTCTTCCCAAACTGATTATGGAAACAAAAGAACAGAAATTTTCACTGTTTGGCAAGTTATCAAATGGGCCCTTATAGACTTTTCGAGGGGAGTTGCAATATTTAGTCATCCAATGTTAACATAGATCTTCAAGACATGTCATCATGCTTTAGAAATCTTCAAAGGGATCATTGCATGTTTGAGAGAATTATACCCTTACGATCACTATCGATCTTTCACAAAATATGGCATTTATCTATGTGCCGCCTGTCATGCCGTGTTAAATTTTACCTGTTTTTTCATGGAAGTTTAACTGGGTGAACGTCTGAATAAAAATCCGGAAATTTTTCTAATACCAATCCAATTAAAATTGATTGGAAAGACCAATGGTCAAGCAAGTATTTTACGCCAGAGATGATTCCCTTTTTCATCTTTCAAGAGCTTTTCTAGTTACCAAGTCATTCTTGATAATTCCAAACCAGCAGCAGGCGAGATGATTCCAGTGCAATCGCCTTTGAACACCAACTGATATTCTCAGAGTTCCCCCCTGTACAAAAGCTCAAGTGCTCCAATGAGGTCGCATGATGAAGAGATCTCGCTTTGAAGGTAGACAGATCAGTGCTCGAGTCGATGATGTAATAGTCTCGTTGCTTCTGATATTACTGATCATGAATGACTAGGATTATCTCAAAGCAGATCGATCCTCGCCGCAATTTCCCTCCAACACATTTTGTAAGAAAGACATCCGCGATACTCATTACAGCCTTCAGGGCATAATTCCTTTCCAATCTAACGCAGTAAAACTACCATAAGTGATTCACTAGTCTCCAGTTATGCCTTTGTAAAAAAATTGCATCACTATGCTAAAAAAAAAAAACTAGCAAAACGGCAAAACACCACCCATGGATCGTATGCGGGTGAGCCACTTACAATTATCGGGCAACATACAGTGAGCTCGATATGCAAAAAGACTGCTGAAAATGCCTCCATATTGAAAAATTAAAGAGAGCTCGAATATTCTCCGCAGCTGGAGATATAACATTAGCAGTATCATCTGCCATCATTAATACATTCTTTCATTCAAAAATTGCTCCGAGATTGCAAAACCAATCTCCTACAAAAAGAAGGTAACTAGAAAGATAGATGACGAGGCAATTACTTCACAGTCAAGATTTTAATTACTGAGGCAGTTCCGATACGATGCAGAGCCACAACAGAGTCTCCATTTTTGCAGAGTCCATTGGATTTGCCATACTCGAGTGCAAACTCTAGAGCTTCTTCTGTCGTCTCTTCATTGGAAGCCCGAGCAGATGCTGCACATAAAAGCGGAACTAATCCACGGAAAATAAGACTATGCCTGGCTGGACCTTCATCACTGCATGCCCACTCAAAGTTGTCCGTCTTAATCTCCGGGACAACCACGGACAGGATTGGCATGCCTGGCCTGTACTTGGCCACCATCTTGGCAGTACTTCCGCCTCTTGTCAGGACCAGTATCAGAGCTGCCTTTGCAGAGTTTGCAGTTCTAACAGCAGAAGAAGCAAGACTCTCTAATGGGCTCATGGGCACAGGTGAGTGTTTCATTATCCTCTTAAAGACATCTCCATAATCAAGTGTGCTTTCTGCTTCCACGCATATTCTGGCCATGGTTCGAACTGTGAGCTCTGGATAAGCTCCAGCAGCAGTTTCACCACTTAGCATCACGCAGTCAGTACCGTCGAGAACAGCATTAGCTACATCGGTAGCTTCGGCCCTTGTTGGACGAGGGGACTTGATCATTGACTCCAACATTTGTGTTGCAGTAACCACCGGTTTTCCTTGGATGTTGCACTTGTAGATCATCGCCTTCTGTGCAAGAAAGATCTTTTCAATAGGAATTTCCATTCCGAGGTCACCTCGTGCCACCATAAATGCATCCGTGTTGGCAAGTATTTCGTCAAAATTTGCCACCCCTTCTTGATTTTCAACCTGAGAAGCGTAAAAACTGGAAAATTATTTCGTCAAAATAATCCAGGAAGAACAGGAAAGAATTACCTTAAAAAGCGAACATCTTGCAACTTGTTCAATAATACACTAATAATGAGAAATAACCAAACTGCAATCAAATGTCATCTGAACAATCCATCCTAACATTCATTGACATCTGATTTAAAAAAATATAGATTTTTAGGCACTTTGACCTATTCCTCCAACTCATGGTAAGCAGCAAGGGAACCCAAGTGAAATACGCTTAAGCATAAATGTCTCTGGACATATCAACATACCTTTGACATAAGAAGGATGTTCTTGGCATGCTCCCCAAGCAGCTTGCGAACCTCCAGAAGATCTGAACCTTTTCGAACAAATGAAAGAGCAATCATATCGATTTTGTTGGGTACTCCCCACTCTAATATATCTTCCTTGTCTTTATCTGTCAAGGTTGGAAGGTCCACTATGACACCAGGAAGATTGACATTCTTCCTCTCACCAAGAACTGCAGTATTCTCACAGCGGCAGTGAACCAATCCAGCTTCTTTGTCACAAGATAATACTGCGAAGGTGATTGTTCCATCAGCACAGAGTATCACACTTCCTGGCTTCACATCCTCAGCCAACTTCTTGTAGCTCATGCATATCATGGTCTCATCGCCCTTTATGCTGTAGTCTGTAGATATGGTAATCTCCTGGCCCTGTTTTAGCTGGATGGGTTTACCATCCTTCAAAAAACCAGTTCGAATTTCGGGACCCTGTTGCATGTAAATTTTAAGGATCAGGAATCCTATTAACTTTCTGCATTATTTTATGAGAGATTCATCTCAAGATTGCCCGTATGATGAATAAACGAACTAGATTTAAAACAAGGCCTCTCATGGATATGCTAATTGCACTAGAATAATGCTGAAAGGGCATCCGGTTATCATTCCATTCTTGGCTCAGGTTCTGCACTTGCCGATATCCTACTACAGAAAGATGCTTTTAACTGTAGAACGGCATTTTAGGAAAAGTTTTAATTCTTTTTACTAATTTAGACAACAGCCTAGTGGTTCCATAGGAATTGCTTTGAGAAAAATTTGATTTCAGGCAGAATTTCAATTTTGATTGTTGACTTAAATGTCTTTGAATCAATGTATTCTAGAAGATAATATCAAACTAATCAAAGCTGTGCCGTTAGACAATATTAATGCTCGATGCGACTATTCCCGTTGATCCCCCACAAAAACAGATAAAATCCCTTAATAGAATCAATAACAAACCAAATCACACGGAGGATCATTTCCTCCCTAAATTAGTCAAGTGAATTAATTCAACTAAGCTCATTCGGAAAATCCACTGACTACAAGGCTCGACTTGAGAATTACAAAAATCAGCGCACCAACAGCAAAAGAAAAATGCAGAAGCATATGCAGGCCGCCCGCAATGTATCCGACAACCGCCTTGTCAATATGACTGTACAGATCTACAACTTTGTGACTAGCTGATGCAGGAATTTGCTCTCAGACATTGTTCATCAAAAGATCTCTTCCTTTCGAACATCATTGGCGAGCCCCAACTCTTACGACATAAAACAGCCGACCCACCATACTACTTTCCATATTTCTCCCAAACCCACGGAGGCATCAAGACTTAGTTTCTAAACACCATCCAATAGTGGCATCTACACCATCCTCGCTCTAATTTTCCACGCATAGCCCAAGAATTTCATGTTAAGCACGTCGTTTTCTCTGATTTTTTCCCCTTTTTTCTTTACCTTCTAGTGGCATGCCAATTTTTCCACACTAGCACGCAATGGAAACAAAACAAACATACAGATACCTGAGCCAAAAACAAACAAACACACACATACTGGCGCGGGGGGCCACTCCGGACAAAGACAAAACCCGTCCAAATCTGAGGTTACAGGTAACCCAAGTCAGCAGAGATACTCGACAGATAGAAGGCCAGGCCAAAAGACAAAAATCGTAGCATCCACCCAGAAATCGGGACCAGATAAGGAAACAAACAATAAACCCACATCCAAACAAAAAGCACCGCAGCATATCCGAAAGCCGAAATTCCCCAAACAAGACAACACTCGCAGATCAACGCGCACGGCAGATCATTCGAACCAATGATCAAAATCGGAAATGACAATGTCACGCCGTATTGGCAGCCATTGGCTGACATCATTCCCTGTCATTTTGACGAAAGAGAAACTCCGCTTTCGATCGATCCGATGACAAAGTCAGCCTCGGCGATATGCCCAAGCCAGTCGCCGGAGATTCTTCTCTCTCTCTCTCTCCCTTTTTTTTTTTTCTTTTTTCTCGTGATCTTTATTGATTCACGTCGTGATATATCTACGGCGAGGAGCGCACCTTGGTGTCGAGCATGACGGCGCAGAGGATGCCGGTGTTCTCCATGCCCTGGCGGAGGTTGTCGAGCGTCTCCTGGTGGTAGGTGTGGGACCCGTGGGAGAAGTTGAAGCGAGCGACGTTCATGCCCGCCCTCAGCAGCTTCTCGATCATGGGCACGGACCTGGACGCCGGCCCGAGGGTGCACACGATCTTCGTCTTCGGCCTCCTCTCGACCCCCATCGCCGCCGCCGCCGCCGACGACGCGCCGTCCATCCTCAAACTCCGGTCGGCACCTCCGGCGGATCGAACGTTGCACAGAGAGGGGGAGGTACAGAGAAGATCGCGGGAACAAGAACGGGGGTAGATGGGAAAGGCTGGAAGTTTGACGTGCAGAGCGAGTGAGCGAGGGAGGAGGAAGTTGTAGGGTTGTTCTTGTTTTTTTTTTTGGGTCGATCTGTCGTTTAAGGTAATGAACGAGGAGGGGGTCGTATAAATAGGTAACGACTAAAACGAACCGCGAAAACAAGGCAAAGGAGACGGCGTGCGGAGGGGGTGGCACATGTGCATGCCGCATCGAATTAAGATGCTTCCTACGGCGCACCCCGGCTGGTCGTTTCAAGGGCAGCTTTTGCCTATTTTTTCGGTTGTTTCGAAAAAATCTGAGTGTCGTTTTTTTATATGTCGTACTTTTTTTGGTTTAAATTATGATGACGAGTGCTGTTCTCGAGACATTTGTTAAGGTACTAATAAGAAAATTTTGCTATTTCGATCACATGAGACGCGCTCTTCAACGAAGACACGTAAAGAGGACGACGTCTAAAAGGGGTTCATAGTTAGAACAAAACTTTAAGCGCTCGGCTCGCATGGTTTTCTAACCCTGCGGATGTGCTCGAATAATTCCATGGACACCATGTTTGCCAAAGAAGCTTCCTGAGTGGTATTTTTAGGGGTTTCTTCGTCGTTCTCTCTTTGGGGACATCACTTGCTTGGAGTGGTTGGAACGAGTGCATCGTACGCATGGAATCGTTTTCCAGGTTGTCTTTCTATGGTGGCCGTTCAGCAAGGGCCGCGTTTTATCAACCAATGAGCTTGACTCTGCTGTTCCAATTTGCGTAAAAGGAATATCCTCAGTACATGCTTAACGATAAGAAATTGCCCCTCTCGAACAAAGGACCGTTTTGCTTATCTATAGGCTTGGAATGCTTTACTTCTTTTTTTCTCATTGGGCTAAGCTAGAGGGATCCAACAAAACTATGGGAAGCAGGATTGGAGGAAATCAAGCAAAGCACAGCATTTCAAGGCTCAAAGCACAAGAATGGTTTGCGAGCTCCACATCCCCATTAATCGTACACATATTGTCGTCCATTTCCAAGACCCGAGAATCGGTTCTTCGGTGTAGCTGCAATATGCAAGCAAAGGATGCAGCAGAGAGCCATTTCACGCGAAAATGGGTCTGTACGGTCGTCCGTCCGTTCGAGGGTCTGGTTCCCATTCAAGAACCTTGAGAATTTTTTTTAACCAACAGAAAGAGGAAACCTTTGCAAAGCATAACGGTTTAAAATCGAAATCAGAACTACATCAGAGCGCAACACAAACCCACATTCGCATCAGCAATGGCATGAACCTGGGTTATAGGGGCTGCGGTTTTGGCTCTATATGCTTAACAGTAGAACAACTAAGCCTCTTCAAAACAACATGATCGACCAGTCAAGTTGGTGAGCTGATGATCATAGAGATCAATCCAGTTCCCCCAGTTAAAGTTCATCATGAGGCCGCGGTTTTTTGTTCTCCATCAGTTCCAACTTGTGTTGTAGCTCCTGTCATATTTCACAATAAAAGATTATTGCCATAAAACTGACAGAAGCCATAACAGGAGAAATTATGAGGTGCGACCGGACGCATACCGTTAGTTTATCTTCTAAACAGAGAGCAGGAGTAGATAGTAATGCTACATATCTGCATGCATATTAAAGCGTCAGAGAGAGAGATATTCTTACTAGCAGCGACTTGGTTCGTCTACATCAGTAACCTCGGAGAGAGAGAGAGAGAGAGAGAGAGAGAAAGAGAGAGAGATTCTTACTCGCAGCGACTTGGTTCATCTACATCAGTAACCTCATTTTTCAACCCACATCTTAGTCGCACCTGCAAGCAAAAGGCTCCATGTATCAGAATCCAAATGCAAAGGAACTTTTTTTCTGTATGAAATGCACTTGGCCCCACTAGTCCCTCCTAATACAGGGATAACTTACACTTAATTTTGACAGAATTAATCTAGGTTGTCTGAGAAACAACTTATTTGGTAACGAGCACCAGCTACTCAGATTGCAATTTCAACTTTACCACATAATCTATGGGAATCTAATGGAGCTGTTCAAGCCATGATGTCAATGATTTCAGACTCGTTGTCCTAATGTACCGAAAGCATTTGCAAAAGTACAATGAGGCAAATGCTCCAGGTGCTAATTCAATAAGAGGTCAGATAGACCGCAGAGAACAAACTGTAGCTATAGAATCATGGACTCTTCGGAGGAGTGCAAATCAGAACCTTTAAACTTCTATCAGGACCACTCCAGCATCCGTCGCCATTTGAGAAAATCATGACCCGATACGCATCACCAAATTTGTCCCAGTGCCTACATGCAAACAAGGATCCAAAGTGTACTGTAACTGATATAAGCAAGTTTGGTGGAATGGACGTCAATTTTCTAAAATGGAAGTCACATAAACAGAGTAAAATAATCAACATGGCCAGAAATTTTTAGATTTCAGGAGCTTTAAAAAATGCATCCCTTGATTATTAACAAAAGAAAGATGTCACCAGGGATCAAAACTACAAAGTATAATCCATGCTTCACAATTTTGTGATCATTAAATTCATACCCCAGCCGAATCGTGGAGTGACCCTCCTCCTGTGAAGCTTGTTTATAGGGGCAGACTTTGTAAACATACCTGAAACGAAAGGCCAATGACATGAGCAATATATTTGTACTGAATCACAACAAATTCAAGGGGAAACAATGTCAAGGCAAATGGCTAAAAGAAAAGGAAAATAATCCTTACTTATTTTGTTTGCTCTCAAAACAACGTCCATAGAATGAATAGAACTCCTTATCTTGCCCTGCAACAATATCATCAAGTTCATTTATGAGAGACCAGTCGATGGGGAGTTTCTCCTGCTGAGGAAAAAACAACTGCATCATACTCACCAAAATCATATTGCAGCTTATCTGATAACTTTGATATTCTCGATTCTATTTTAGACAACATGGCACTGGATTCATCATACTCCTTGCGTACACGAGCAGCCTCTATAAAATAGCAAGGATGGCAATTTAAGAACGCTTATCAATTTTTAAGTCTGCTATGGGACATTAAGCTTCAAAGTTACCAGATTTGTCCACTGGAGTCTGGAAAAGATTGACAGCCTGGAGAACGTTTCGAACTGTTTGCTGTATCTTCTCCAACCAAGAAGGACTAGTCTGAATGGTTGTATCTGAAATTTTCAAGGATTTGTTAACCGGTATAACTTGGAGAACAAAATAAGAGTCACCATTAGCTTGCCAGAGGCAAACCTGACAAGTCTAATTCATCATCTGATCGATACTCATGGGACGAACTAGTGTCATAATGATCTTCCACAGGCACATCCTCATCTACATCATCTTCTACATCCTCCTCCTCATATCTTTGGTCATCATCATCAGCTTCAGAAGCATATCCGTCATCTTCTTCATCATGTCCATCGTTTGACATTTCTTCAGGGTTTTCTCCTTCACTATCTTCCGAAAAATCGTCTTTACCTTCCTTCTCCATCTTCTCTCCCGTCCAACGAGAAGCAACAAGCCGGCCCAACTCTTCCTTTGAAAGTGTTTCGGTATGCTCAGATAAATCATTATTCTGCAGCCATGTGGAGAAAATGATGTTTTCCATTAAATACATGGGAAACAAAAAATGCAAAAAACAGCACCAAGCAGAAGAAGAACACTGAGAACTTAATTCATTTCAATACAGAGCTTGAGAATATTAAGTACACTCCTGGTTCAGCAGCCCACGAAGACTTTGCATATAGGAAAGTATTTGCTAAAAAGATAGCACATAATATAGAAAAAGTTTCGATAAACAAAACCTTACTTTCCAGCATACACATATAATTATACGTCCACGGAATCCACATTAAAACTTGAGCGAGGTCACAAAGATATATTATTTCTTCATACCACAGTATGTCTAATTGTCTATGCAGCACAATGCTGCAAAAGGACGATTGCCAGAACCTCCAATCAATCAACAATGATTGAACAATGGACAACATAAAACTTGGGATATATTACAGAAAAATCCGATGCATGCTATTTCTTATTAACAGCAACAAAGAAAGGCTTGGTTTCAGCAAGGCAAGCAAAAGTATTTTGCTCACTTTATAAAGAAGAGAAAGTAGATTGCATATGAATATATATATATATATATATATATAGAGAGAGAGAGAGAGAGAGAGAGAGAGAGACACACACACACACACACACACACACACAATGTATGACAAACATGGCATAAGAACTTTGTACTTAAGCATGCTTCACCAATTCATACACACCATGTTCAAACAGTCATCAAAATAGCAAATGTGAGCAGAGTAGGGAAGGGTTCTTATTCTGGAACATGTTTCTGTCATGATTATGAGCATTTGTGTGTTATGAGAAATCATAAGGCAAAGCAAATAATCTCAAATACATACATTTTTTTTCCAATAGAATGATGAAAATGCATACATATTCACGATACATGCATTCATAGCCACATCCAGTAGAACTTAATGACAGAAGGATGTTCCTCTAAACTTCCAGTCAGTGCAACCAAAGACTAAAGAAACATACACTTGCTGTCACTTGTTCAGCGTGCAACTCATCTTCAGCTGCAATTTCAGACTCTTTTTGGCTTACTTGGGAAACAGATTCATCTATGCCTTCCACTACGTGCTGTATAAAACAGACAAAGAACCAAAGTGACGAAACGCTAAACTCATTGGATATTCTCTCGCTGGAAGTATTCATTTACCTGGCCCACACCATTAGCCTGTTGTCCCTGGCTTACTGCATTATCGTCATTTTCAACGTCTTCCAAAGTTTCAAAGTCCTCCTCCACATTCTATAGAATGAATGGATGTCAAAAATAGTAAAACTTAATGTAAGAGAAGACAATCACGGTTAGCAAAACAAGCCACCGAAAATTTTTTAAAAAATGCAATGCACAGAGCTCGTTCATAAGTGGTACGTGCATGGTACTAGCAATGATCTAGAATCAAATCTACATGCATCACTAGAATATAAGGTAACTCCGGTCTAGACTGGACAATGCACTCACGGTGGTGGTAAATATATATCTTGGACAAAGCAATGCACTTCGAGATGAAAGTAGCAAGAAAGTCGTAATTGCAATTTCTTAGTGGGACAATTTGCGAGCGCACCGCACAATCACAAGGAATATCATTTGAAGAAAGTCAATACTTTTGCCCTTCTCCATTGAAAAAGGCAATCTTCATTCATCTGTGTAAACCTTGCAAACTTGTCTGGGTTTATCAATAGTATCCTCACTCATCTTTCAAGCTTTGATATGCTTAAATGATGCTTGATTACATATTCAGCCAATGCAAAAGAATAAAACAAATTCAACAGTGAAAGAAGCTATTCCAGTGAAAAGGCCAAAACATCTCTACAACATTTACATTTCCGATGCAAGAAATTTTAGTACCCGAAACATAGATATCACAACAACAAAAGATCAAGTCTTTTCCCACGGAGATGTCACAATCAAGAAATGACAAGTATCAAATATAGTCTACCAAACATCCAAAATATAATTTGCAAAACGATTATGATGAACATCATTTGACCTGATTAGAAGGTGAATCCTCTACTAGCCCAATTTTCTCATGGTCCATGCTATCTACGCCTCTGTCCTCAATTTCAGTTTTTATATCCCCTTCCTTTTTCTCCCGTTTAGCTTCCTCCTCTGTATTTATTTTCTCCTCAGCTTCTTTCTTTTCCTTCTCTTCTTTTTCTTTCTGCAAGCGTTCTTGCTCCTCTGCCTTCTCTATTTGTTCTTTACGCTCTGCATGCGTAATGAACATAACGAACACGAATTTTATATATTTTAGTAAGTTCACGCAATTACTCCCAAATCACGTATTTGAATTTCGTTGAACAGCAGAGATAAGTGAAAACAGATGAAAAAGTAGAAGCCTCATATGCATTAGTGTTATTTAGGATGCAATCATATTTCTTGTGGATAGCAAATTAGATTTGAACTCTGATTGATGCAGGCATCAGAACAGAACATCGAATGGAATTTTATGAATGCGGGCTTGATCTAAAAATAAGTCGTCCAAGGAACATTTTATTAACCCTTGGTCCCAAATGAATATACCGGCAGAAAGTATAAAGAAACGAATGCATACGCCATAAAAGGAGAAGAGTAAAGGATGATGACAAGTTCACTTCACACCTTTAAGCTGTTGTACAAGCCCTTTCAGCATTTTCTCCTCATTTTTAAGCCTCGTCAGCTCTGCCTCATCCTTTGCAAAAGCCAACTTTGCTTGTTCAACTTCCTGTTTACGTAGGGTGACGCCCTCTTTGAATGTTGCAATCTTGCTCCTCAACTTATCCCTAGCAACTTTCCCTACTTCCCAACATGTATTTGAGCAATTTACTTTGCCATCATACTCGTCGCTCCCATCGCAACAGTCTGCATAACATGGCAGGTTCAACTTTCAAAAGGAGAGCGTTTTTCTTTAACCAATTCAAAGTTCAATAAAAAAACAACAGAATCAACCAAATATTACTTTTATATGCCAGTAGACCGCAAAATTAGATGAGGATCATTTTTATTGTACTTTGAGGCAAGTCGGAACAATTATATTACAACATAAAGTCTGACTTGAAGAAGGCATGCTTATTTAGTCAAAGATGAAATGGCAGAGAGAAATTATGGAATAGAGAAGAATTTCACCCGACTACTTACCACAAATACCATCATTCACTCTCGAAGAATAAACTAACACGGGAGTATGTCCTGCATTTCTGCAGTAAAATTTTGCACCTGGGCATGCTGATGTTCCTGAAATCCACAAGGCAATAGAACATGGAAACCATGACAGTTCTCGGGCATTAGAAAGCATGCCGGTTCAATAACTTGAGCAAAAAGGAGAAGGAAGGAAGAAGTAATTGGACCATTGCATAGCTTCATTGGTGATCAATAGATCATGGAAACGGTGCCGAGTTCTCGGACATCATATGTTCTCTAACGCATTACCGATTAGTTGTAGGTTAGGTTAGGTTTTACCATTAACATACATAGAAAGAAGACCAATCCCTGGTTCGACTACGCAAATGTAGAAACAGGTATCACGAGCCAAATTGCCAAGAAGTAAGGAAATTTACAAAAGAAACGAGAGAGAGAGAGAGAGAGAGAGAGAGAGAAACACCAGCGGAAACAAACCTGGCTCGTCGGTTCCGTCGGGGCAATCGCAGAAGTCGTCGTTGAGCTGAGCTCTAGCGAACTTCTTCGATCCGTCCTTGCACTTGATCACATCCGACGACTTGTAGTACTTCAAATCTGGAAAAAAAAAATGAAGAAGAAGAAGAAACCAGATCGAGCTCACCGATTCATCAAACCCCGCGCTACAAAGTGGGACGAGCCGTTGGGCCCAAAAAAGTCGACGATCGAAAGAAAGAGGGATCCACGGACCTTCGGGAGCAATCCCGACGAACGGATCTCCGGGGAGAGCGGGGGAAGCTGATCCGGCGACGGAGAGAACGCAGAGCGACAGCAATGCGAGGAGGGTCCGAGTTCCGGCGGCTTTCATGTTCTTCCGAAAGCAATTCTCCGTAGACGGCGGCGGCGGCGGCGGTTATTGGTCCAACCGAATCGATTGAGAGTTGACGATGGCGGCAAGCGGAGGAACGGCGCCGGGGAGACGGTGGGTCTGCAAGTGCGCTCTCTGATGCACACAAGCGCGAGGAGAGAGAGAGAGAATCTGCAAGCAGCGCTTGCTCTATCGGACGACGTCGTTTTTAAGGGGACGGATGGGGGATGAGGCCGCGTACGGACTTTTCTGCCGGGGGAGCGACGTCGTTTTTTGCTGATATTTGTTCTATCCTTTTTGGCTCGGAAAGAAGACGAAGAAAATATATAACAGGAGCGGCTCCAGATACAGTAGATAGAGCTTCCTTGCTTCTCCTGTGACCGAGGCCTGCAAGCTGACGTCACCGGAAAAATGGAGGGAACCTCCATCCTCGGCTGCTCCACTTCCTCCGCGACTCTATGCTCGAGGACCCATCCGCGGGAATCTGGCCACGGCCTCGCCTTGTCCCCGTCTTCGTCTCCGCTTCCCGCGAAGTCGTGGCCTTTCAGCTTGTCCGTCAGCTTGGGCGCTTCAAAAGAACGGCCTTCGGCGGTGCTCTGCTCGCGGGCCTCGCTCCGGACCTCCGTCTTGGCGGTGGAGGAGGCGGTGGAGAGGTAGAGGGGCTCGATGGCGCCAGCGAAAGAAATGCTGCCCAAGATCGATAAGAGTGGCCGGTTCTGCAGCCCCAGAGCCGCCCGTGAGCTCGCTTTGTATGCTCTCTCTCTCTCTCTCTGGGTTTTTTTGTTTTTGTTTTTTCGGGAGAGATTTCTCTGGTTCTTGTTTTATCGTATCCTGTGTTGTGGATAGAATGGAAGAACCAGTTGGGGAATGATTGTTCGTGGTCTTTAACTTTGTTAGAGCTTCAGCGATTCTTCGTTTGGGACTACATGTACTGAACTGCTTGGAACTTAATGGGTTTTGTGAGTGAATGTTGGTGGTGGTGCTGGAGATAGCAGCAACGAAGGAGTTGGCCCTGGTTGTGGTGATTTTGGTTTTGATTGTGATAGGAACACTAGTGTTGGCATTTGGCAAGTCCAATGCCCTGCAACTCGTGATTTGACCAAATATTAAGTCTCAGTTATTCGATTCTAGTATGGAGTTGGATTGCAATTATAGTAGAGCTCATTCTTGCACTGCAAGTCCAAATGAATGATGGAGTTGGAATCAGAGTTATCAAATTGCCAGAATTGGATTCAGGAGATCGGATACTTAATAACTTTCTTTTGTTCGTTTCTTACACAACTTAAACCAAACGTGTGAGACTTGCCGCAGCCATTTTTACATCCATCATTAAAATATAAGTAAACTCAAGGTATTTCGTTGAGTTTACAACTTAGACCCCACTTCTACTCTCTTGCTTTTCTGGAGAGTACAATTGATGACACACACTTCATGATGGTATTTCCTTGAACTCCTGGTACTGGTTCTCATCCACTATCCCTTTCTTTAAGACGCTTGTTGTTCTAGACTAGCAGTTTCTGTTGGATGATGATACTGTTGTATTCTTTGAGCCTAACTATGCTGGTATGCTGGGACAGATCAATTGCATATGCTGCTTGTTTAGAAGGGTCTGACCCCGTTCGGCTTTTTGAGAAGCGAATGAATATGAGAAGAGGTAATGCCCTCTCTTCTCAAGACGATCAATCCGCATGACTGATCTTGTGGTTTGTTAGAACTCTGAGTAAATATACATGGCATTCCAATGTTATTTTCTTTTTGGGATATGTGCACTAAAAGTCCTAAAACTTGTCACAAAAGTGCAATTGAGTCCTAAAATTTTCAAAAAGTGCAAACAAGTCCTAAAACTTGTCACGAAAGTGCACTTGAGTCATAAAACTTTCAAAAAGTGCAAATAAGTCCTAAAACTTGTCTCGAAAGTGCAAACAAGTCCTAAAACTTATCACAAAAGTGCAACAAGTCCTAAAACTTTCAAAAAGTACAATCAATGGAAGGACTTGATTGAACCAATTTGACAAGTTTTAGGACTTGTTTGCACTTTTGTGACAAGTTTTAGGACTTGTTTGCACTTTTTAAAAATTTTAGGACTCAAGTGCACTTTCGTGACAAGTTTTAGGACTTGTTTGCACTTTTTGAAAGTTTTAGAACTTAATTGCACTTTCGTGACAAGTTTTAGGACTTTGAATGCACTTATCCCTTTCTTTTTCCATGTAAGAATATGATCGTCTGACTACTTTCGTGTGCAAACACACATGCAGAGCCTGGTTATGAATTTGACAAGGCATCATTGCTGGAATACAACCACATGAGCTTTGGAGGGCCACCTGTCACAACCGATACAACAGAAGAAGCTGATGAGCTTATGCAGATCGATGAAAAGGAGAGTGCGATTGGTATGAAGAGATTTTTAACTGCTGATTGCTTCTCCCATTCTCCTCGCCCTTCATTGTCCGTCAGTCGAGAGGTGTAAGTTCATGCTGTTTTCTTTGTTCCTGCAGAAGCTGAAGTCTTGTCAGCACCACCAAAGATGGTATACAGCAAATTGATACTGCGGTAAAGTCATCAGCAACTCACAAATTTATGCACGTTGTCATCGTGAATCTTTGTCGCATTTGTAATTACACATGTTATTAAGTTTGCTTTTGCCTCAGTTTTACAAGGAAGCTATTGGTTGCAGTGATGGATCAGTGGGATAGCCATGTGCTTGTCATTGACAAAATTGCGCCTGAAAATTGGAAGGTCGTCTTTTTTATAGCTCCTTGTGTGAAATTTCACATTTTAAATGTTTGCTATAGGTATATCATTCTTAAGAGTGTTGTTGACTTGCTTTGTTGCAGTCCTGCACTTATGATAAAATTATTGCTTGAGATCTAGTGTGTAGCAAATCACCCTGTTAAGCTATACATTGCCATTAGTCTTGGCTTTGTGACTTAGCTTTGCATTCACAACATATGTTTTTGACTTGGATCGGCGTTTGAAGAGGCTTTTCTATGGAGAAGCAGATTTCCATGACCTTTGATCTTGAGTCCTAATAACTCTCCTCTTCCGATTCTAAGTTCATGACACTCTATTATGACATGACATGGAAACATTTCATATTTAACGAGTGGCTGAACATTTTCGGTGGAACATAGATGAGGCAGATGATTGATGCCATGAAGTTTTCAAAATTATTATGTCAAATGGCAGTCTGATTCTCATGTTCTTGATGTGCTCTCATGAGATGCTTAAAGTATTTTCAATTTTTTAGCTTCCGTATGAACTGTGTTTTACTGAAGTTATTAATTCCTTTTCTTTTCTTTGGGTAGGCATATTTCTTTCCATTGGCATATATAGAGTCCTCCTTGAGTTTATGGACTTCTGGTGGATTCCTTTATTTAAATTAGATTGCCCCCCCTCTCTAAAAGAACTTATTAGCAAACTTAGCAATCAACAGTTTGCTGAAAGATAATGGAATGTCCTATGTCTTTACCTCTTATTTTCCATCCTCTGCACCTAAGCAATGTAATAAGCCTTTTAAACCCTTCTACATAGCACGCTTAGAATGTACTAGACCAAATATCATCTGCATGTTTTGTGTCATCTTTACAATCCAGCTTATTCTTGGTTCATCTTAAGTCAGTAGTACGTCCATAATAGCATAATTGCAAACTGTTTAATGGATGTGGCCAAATAATAAATTCGCTTATGGTTTAACATCTTTCACCAGTCTGATGTTGGGGCGCTATACTGATAACTCCGGCCCTACCATTTGACGATATTAACTTCTCTGGATGCCATGTTTAGTTTGTCATGTTATTTCTTACGATGTGAAACATTTGGATAGTGTCTATGTAAGGCCCTAGTAATGTCGGTGCCGCTTCTTTTGTTTATATCTAAAATTCGAATCACCTCCAAGATACAAATGAGTTTCTGCCTTCTGCCAAATCTCAGTGACAGTTGTTTTGCCTGTTTATATGATACAGATTGCCCCTGCAGGCAGCATCTTAGAGCTTTGTATTCTCCATCTCGCGATGTCTGAGATTACGGTTCTTGGAACTCGTCGTCAGATTGTCATCAATGAGGTAAGTTTACTCTCTGTATGTTGGGTTCTACTCTCTGGCTCCCTTGCAGACGACTAATCAGTGGTTCCATTGTGATTTCCGAAGGCTGTGGACCTAGCAAAACGGTTCTGCGATGGAGCGGCACCTCGCATTATAAATGGATGCCTTCGGAGCTTCGTCAAGGATCTCGAAGCAACTCCTTCACCTCTGGTGTCAGAAGTCAAGGAGCAAATCGCCGTCAGTGCATGAGGTCGATATATCTGCGGCGAGGAGCGCACCTTGGTGTCGAGCATGACGGCGCAGAGGATGCCGGTGTTCTCCATGCCCTAGCGGAGGTTGTCGAGCGTCTCCTGGTGGTAGGCGTGGGACCCGTGGGAGAAGTTGAAGCGAGCGACGTTCGTGCCCGCCCTCAGCAGCTTCTCGATCATGGGCACGGACCTGGACGCCGGCCCGAGGGTGCACACGATCTTCGTCTTCGGCCTCCTCTCTATTGAATTTCTTCAATATTTCTTTTATGTATTTCTCCTGCCCTAGCCACAGCTTCCGTTTCTCACGGTCCCTCCTAATCTGCATGCCCAAAATAAAATTTGTAGGCCCCAAGTTTTTCATTTTGAACTTTTTGGCCAGCAAACTCTTCACAGAATTCACCATCTTCACATTATTCCCGATCAACAACATATCATCCACATATAGCGTGAGAATGACAAACTGATCGCCCGTTCTCTTCACATAAACGCAATGGTCAGAATTTGAATGCACAAAATTAAGCTGGAGCATATACGTGTCAAACTTCTGGTACCACATTCTCGGTGACTGCTTCAGCCTATATAAAGACTTTTTCAATTTGCACACCAAATTCTCCTTTCCTCTTACTTCAAAGCCTTCTGGTTGCTTCATATATATCTCCTCCTCCAAGTTCCCATAAAGGAATGCCGTCTTTACATCCATCTGTTCTACCTCAAGATCATATGCAGCTGCTATAGACAGAACAAACCGTATCGAGGTCAACTTCGCCACGGGAGAGAAAATCTCGTCATAGTCAACTCCCTCAATCTGAGAGTACCCCTTGGCTACAAGCCTAGCCTTGTACTTCTCTACAGTCCCATCCGGTTTCAGCTTTCGCTTGAACACCCATTTACACCCAATTGCCTTTGTATCCTTAGGCAATTTACACAAGCTCCATGTTTTATTTTTATCAAGCGACTGCATCTCATCTATCATTGCGAGCTCCCACTGATTCGCATCATCCATAGATCTCGCCTCTTTTACAGAACTAGGATCATCTCCGGTAATGCTCAAAGCATGAAACGTACTTAAAGCACTAAGTGAGTATCGAAGTGGTACCTTTCTTTCCCGCGTCGATCTCCTGAGAGCCGGCATGCTATCTGTATCCAGGTCTTCATCTGAATCTGCATCCTCGACTTCATTAACCGAGTCCCCTTGCTCCGATTCAGAATCAGACTCTTCTAGCGTGCCTTGTGAAACCATCTCCACAGTTTCAGTTTTAGGACTTTCTTCAAGCACTACCACTTTCTTGGGCTCATCACCTTTCTGTGTGCCAACCTGGGGTTGTGATTCACGAAAGACAACATCCCTGCTGTATACAATGGTCTTTGATTCTGGATTCCACAGCTTATAGCCTTTGACCCCTTCCTTGTATCCGACAAATATGTTCTTCTCAGACTTGTTGTCAAGCTTACCCCACTTCTCCTTGGGTACATGAACATATGTGTCACACCCGAACATGCGACAGATTCGGCTTCTTCCCAAACACTACCTCATATGGTGTACGATCCTTCACTGATGAGGTCGGTGACCGGTTTTTCAAATAACTGGCTGTGGCTACAGCTTCTGCCCAAAATTCTGTCCCCAAACCTGCCCAACTCAGCATGCATCTTGCCTTTTCTATGAGTGACCGATTTAATCTTTCGGCTACCCCATTCTGTTGAGGCGTATATGGAGTCGTTTTCTGCCTTGCAATACCATTATCCACACAAAATTGCTCGAACTTATCCGAACATAATTCACCTCCGTTATCTGGATCTTGATTTTCCTACCCAATTGGTTTTCAACCAAAACCTTAAATTCTCTAAATTTCTCGAATACATCTGATTTACTTTTAATAAAATAAATCCAACTATATCTCGAAAAATCATCTATGAACGATACATAGTACCTGGATCCTCCAATAGATGGAGTCGGAGTAGGTCCAAAGACATCGCTGTGAATCAGCTCGAGAACCTCAGTTGCTCTTGTACCAGTGTGTTGGAAGCTAACTCGGTTCTGTTTTCCATGGAGACAGTGTTCACAGAACCCGAAACCCATAGAGCATTTTGGAATTCCTTCTACCATCTGACTTGAAGCTAAGGTAGACAGTCCTTTTTCACCGATATGCCCTAACCTCTGATGCCACAACATGGACATATCATGTCCATCTTCCTTGGCCTCTTCAGAAACGAACCCGCTACCAACAGTCACTGTTTCCCCGAGCAGCTTGTATAATGTCCCGTAACGGACTCCTCGTGCAATCACAATAGAACCTCGAGTCATCTTGCACGAATCCTTATCACAGCTAAAAATAACCCCCGAATCAGCCATCGTACCGACTGATAACAAATTTCTACTCATCAAAGGTATGTGCATCACGTCTGGAATAGTCTTCACCGTGCCATTACTCATCCTCAGCTTCACCCTGCCACGCCCGACAATTTGAACTGCAGTATCATCTCCGAGCATGACATCCCCACCATTATATTGCTCCTATTCACAAAACCAGTGTCTATGAGGCGTCATGTGGTATGAAACACCGGTATCGATCAACCATATATCCTTGTCTGACTGCGCCATACACGCAACAGCCAAATACATATCTCCTGCATCGACCTCCTTTTTACCCGATGATGATTCAGCTTCTTTCTTAAAAACTGGCTTGTTTTTACAGTCCCTCTTCACATGGCCCCACTCTTGACATTTCCAGCACTGTACCCTCCTCTCCCTACTCTTCGATCGCCCACGAGATTTGGATCTGGATCCTCTCGGATTCAGAGTCTTCTCTGCTGGCCTTCCCCTAGCCGCCAATGCCTCTTTACCGGAATTTCCCGATCCCTTTCTTCGTGTCTCCTCCGATAACAAAGCAGAATACACACTTTCATACGATAATTCCTTATCCCCACCACCGATCACCACAATCAGGTTATCCCATGAATCCGGCAGTGAACAGAGCAGTGTTATTGCCTTATCATCATCCTGGAACTTAACACCGATTGATACGAGTTGACTAATCAATGTGTTAAAGTTATACAGATGTGCAGAAAACGAGTCGCCCTCATGCATACGAAGATTATACAGCAAAAAGAGCTTATTAACCAACGACTTACTTTGATACAGCGACTCCAGTTTCTGCCATAGGTCCCTGGCTGTAGGTTCCCCCATCACGTTTGTCAGAATCGAGTCTGCGAGACAAAGCCGAATCAAACCCTTTGCTCTCCGATCAATCCGATTCCAGTCTTCAATCTCCTTTGGATCTGCCGGTTTGGAAGTTGAATCCGTTTCCTTCACCGCTTCCTTGCCTATCACGACACCAGGTTGCGCAGCAACAGGCCTTTCCGTTTCGATTGCCGACCAAAGATCTCGATCACAGAGAAGATCCTCCATCTTCATCTTCCACAGATCAAACCGCGTTCCGTCGAATTTTTCTATCTCAATTCGTGATCCTCCTGACATCTCGAATAAACCCTAATTCCTCGAACAACTCCTGCTCTGATACCAATTGAAGGGACGTATCGAGAACCGAAACAGAACGATCATGCAGAAAATCAGAGAAAAATAGACGATGCACAAATTTACCCAGGTTCACCCTCGATTAGGGCTACGTCCTGCAAAGAGATTTCACTATGTTTTCGGTTTACAGCCACTCAACTATTTACAATGATCAGAAAAACGAGCAATATATATATATGCCCCAAACGGGCCCAAAACCTAAACCTATATGAAATCTCTTAATCTCGCACTATACTGGCCAGCCCAAACCCGTTGAGGTTTAGGGGCGCGCGCTCCGAGCCCCGCCCGCTCACCGGCGAGCGGGCGGCCGTCCAGTCGCCGGGCGGCGGAACCCCGTCGGGGGCGCCGACCACTGAACCCCGCCGTGGCCGACCGGCAGAGGGCACCGTGTCGGGCGCGCCCCCGAACCCCGCATTCCGCACGCATGGGTCACATGTCGTCGGACAACACTCGGTTTCCCTAAGCTCACGTGGGCGTACCCGGTGTGAGAAACAAGGGTCCCCGAAGTATTCGCCAACTCCAACATTCTCCCACTTGGTGGATACTTCGCGCAAATGAGGGCCTTTCCAATATCATTCTTCTTCAATCCAATCGCAGTAGAGCACCATTCAAACTTCGCACCTGTGACGGCTTTAGTAAAGAAGTCAGAACTATTTTCTACCGTGTCGACCTTTACAAGCCGAACCTCTTTCTTCTCTACCTTTTCTCGGATGAAATGATATTGTATATCAATGTGCTTTGTGCGTGAGTGAAATGCAGGATTCTTAGCTAAATAAATAGCCCCTTGATTATCACATCTCACCTCTATGACACCTTGCTCAAAACCGAGCTCCAAGCACAACCGCCGTAACCATACGGCCTCTTTTCCAGCATGAGTAAGAGCCATATACTCAGCCTCAGTAGAAGAAAGCGCAACCACGCTTTGCATCCTGCTCATCCAACTCAATGCAGCACCAAACAATGTGAAAACATATCCGCTAGTGGACCGTCTACTATCAATATCTCCACCCCAATCAGCATCTACATGGCCTACGATATCAAACATGTTTCCATTCCCTGTACCTTCAAAACATAAAGAAAAATTCAAAGTTCCACGAAGATACCTGAAAACTCTTTTGATCGCATTCCAGTGTTCTCTACCTGGGTTAGACATGTATCGACTCAAGACTCCCACTGCTTGGGTTATATCCCGACGCGTGCACACCATAGCATACATCAAGCTACTCACTGCACTCGCATATGGAATTCGGGCCATCTCTTCAACTTCTTCATCCGTTTTTGGACATTGTTCCGCATATAGCTTGGTCCCTAAAGGTATAGGGGTACCAACATGCTTGCAGTCTATCACTCTCGACCCCCATCGCCGCCGCCGCCGACGACGCGCCGTCCATCGCCAAACTCCGGTCGGCACCTCCGGCGGATCGAACGTTGCACAAAGAGGGGGAGGTACAGAGAAGATCGCGGGAACAAGAACGGGGGTAGATGGGAAAGGCTGGAAGTTTGAAGTGCAGAGCGAGTGAGCGAGGGAGGAGGAAGTTGTAGGGTTGTTCTTGTGTTTTTTTTTTGGGTCGCTCTGTCGTTTAAGGTAATGAATGAGGGGGTCGTATAAATAGGTAACGACTAAAACGAACGGCGAAAACAAGGCAAAGGAGACGGCGTGCGGAGGGGGTGGCACATGTGCATGCCGCATCGAATTAAGATGCTTCCTACGGCGCACCCCGGCTGGTCGTTTCAAGGGCAGCTTTTGCCTATTTTTTCGGTTGTTTCGAAAAAATCTGAGTGTTGTTTTTTGATATGTCGTACTTTTTTTGGTTTAAATTATGATGACGAGTGCTGTTCTCGAGACATTTGTTAAGGTACTAATAAGAAAATTTTGCTATTTCGATCATATAAGACGCGCTCTTCAACGAAGACACGTAAAGAGGACGACGTCTAAAAGGGGTTCATAGTTAGAACAAAACTTTAAGCGCTCGGCTCGCATGGTTTTCTAACCCTGCGGATGTGCTCGAATAATTCCATAGACACCATGTTTGCCAAAGAAGCTTCCTGAGTGGTATTTTTAGGGGTTTCTTCGTCGTTCTCTCTTTGGGGACATCACTTGCTTGGAGTGCTTGGAACGAGTGCATCGTACGCATGGAATCGTTTTACAGGTTGTCTTTCTATGGTGGCCGTTCAGCAAGGGCCGCGTTTTATCAACCAATGAGCTTGACTCTGCTGTTCCAATTTGCGTAAAAGGAATATCCTCAGTACATGCTTAACGATAAGAAATTGCCCCTCTCGAACAAAGGACCGTTTTGCTTATCTATGGGCTTGGAATGCTTTACTTCTTTTTTTCTCATTGGGCTAAGCTAGAGGGATCCAACAAAAGTATGGGAAGCAGGATTGGAGGAAATCAAGCAAAGCACAGCATTTCAAAGCTCAAAGCACAAGAATGGCTTGCGAGCTCCACATCCCCATTAATCGTACACATATTGTCGTCCTTTTCCAAGACCCGAGAAATGGTTCTTCGGTGTAGCTGCAATATGCAAGCAAAGGATGCAGCAGAGAGCCATTTCACGCGAAAACGGGACTGTACGGTCGTCCGTCCGTTCGAGGGTCTGGTTCCCATTCAAGAACCTTGAGAATTTTTTTTACCTAACAGAAAGAGGAAACCTTTGCAAAGCATAACAGTTTAAAATCGAAATCAGAACTACATCAGAGCGCAACACATAAACCCACATTCGCATCAGCAATGGCATGAACCTGGGTTGTTTCGACCAACAAGATATAACCTGGGCGGTAATAATTGAACAACCTGGTGGCATGGTCATGGCGACCAACAAGAGATAACCGGGCAATAATAATTGAGCAACCTGGTGGCATGGTCATGGCGTCCTTAAGTGTCTTACCTCTTCTTAAATGGCGAATACATATATGAGAGCACAAATTCCATTGAGTAGCGAAGAACTATTCCTTGCAATCATAAATAGCGGATACTAATGTCGATACTGTCGTTCTACAATGCATGGCATCAAGCAGGTTCTACCTGTGGTTAGAGACCTGAGTGCAAAAAAGTTGGGCCCCAGTGAGAAAAATGCAGTCATTTTGAATTTGATGGAACCTCCTGTCCAACTATAGGGGCTGCGGTTTTGGCTCTTTATGCTTAACAGTAGAACAACTAAGCCTCTTCAAAACAACATGATCGACCAGTCAAGTCGGTGAGCTGATGATCATAGAGATCAATCCAGTTCCCCTGTTAAAGTTCATCATGAGGCCGCGGTTTTTCGTTCTCCATCAGTTCCAACTTGTGTTGTAGCTCCTGTCATATTTCACAATAAAAGATTATTGCCATAAAACTGACAGAAGCCATAACAGGAGAAATTATGAGGTGCGACCGGACGCATACCTTTAGTTTATCTTCTAAACAGAGAGCAGGAGTAGATAGTAATGCTACATATCTGCAAGCATATTAAAGCGTCAGAGAGAGAGATATTCTTACTCGCAGCGACTTGGTTCGTCTACATCAGTAACCTCGGAGAGAGAGAGAGAGAGAGAGAGAGAGAGAGAGAGATTCTTACTCGCAGCGACTTGGCTCATCTACATCAGTAACCTCATTTTTCAACCCACATCTTAGTCGCACCTGCAAGCAAAAGGCTCCATATATCAGAATCCAAATGCAAAGGAACATTTTTTCTGTATGAAATGCACTTGGCCCCACTAGTCCCTCCTAATACAGGGATAACTTACACTTAATTTTGACAGAATTAATCTAGGTTGTCTGAGAAACAACTTATTTGGTAATGAGCACCAGCTGCTCAGATTGCAATTTCAACTTTACCACATAATATATGGGAATCTAATGGAGCTGTTCAAGCCATGATGTCAATGATTTCAGACTCGTTGTCCTAATGTACCGAAAGCATTTGCAAAAGTACAATGAGGCAAATGCTCCAGGTGCTAATTCAATAAGAGATCAGATAGACCGCAGAGAACAAACTGTAGCTATAGAATCATGGACTCTTCGGAGGAGTGCAAATCAGAACCTTTAAACTTCTATCAGGACCACTCCAGCATCTGTCGCCATTTGAGAAAATCATGACCCGATACGCATCACCAAATTTGTCCCAGTGCCTACATGCAAACAAGGATCCAAAGTGTACTGTAACTGATATAAGCAAGTTTGGTGGAATGGACGTCAATTTTCTAAAATGGAAGTCACATAAACAGAGTAAAATAATCAACATGGCCAGAAATTTTTAGATTTCAGGAGCTTTAAAAAATGCATCCCTTGATTATTAACAAAAGAAAGATGTCACCAGGGATCAAAACTACAAAGTATAATCCATGCTTCACAATTTTGTGATCATTAAATTCATACCCCAGCCGAATCGTGGAGTGACCCTCCTCCTGTGAAGCTTGTTTATAGGGGCAGACTTTGTAAACATACCTGAAACGAAAGGCCAATGACATAAGCAATATATTTGTACTGAATCACAACAAATTCAAGGGGAAACACCATGTCAAGGCAAATGGCTAAAAGAAAAGGAAAATAATCCTTACTTATGTTGTTTGCTCTCAAAACAACGTCCATAGAATGAATAGAACTCCTTATCTTGCCCTGCAACAATATCATCAAGTTCATTTATGAGAGACCAGTCAATGGGGAGTTTCTCCTGCTGAGGAAAAAACAACTGCATCATACTCACCAAAATCATATTGCAGCTTATCTGATAACTTTGATATTCTCGATTCTATTTTAGACAACTTGGCACTGGATTCATCATACTCCTTGCGTACACGAGCAGCCTCTATAAAATAGCAAGGATGGCAATTTAAGAACGCTTATCAATTTTTAAGTCTGCTATGGGACATTAAGCTTCAAAGTTACCAGATTTGTCCACTGGAGTCTGGAAAAGATTGACAGCCTGGAGAACGTTTCGAACTGTTTGCTGTATCTTCTCCAACCAAGAAGGACTAGTCTGAATGGTTGTATCTGAAATTTTCAAGGATTTATTAACCGGTATAACTTGGAGAACAAAATAAGAGTCACCATTAGCTTGCCAGAGGCAAACCTGACAAGTCTAATTCATCATCTGACTGATACTCGTGAGACGAACTAGTATCATAATGATCTTCCACAGGCACATCCTCATCTACATCATCTTCTACATCCTCCTCCTCATGTCTTTGGTCGTCATCATCAGCTTCAGAAGCATATCCGTCATCTTCTTCATCATGTCCATCTTTTGACATTTCTTCATGGTTTTCTCCTTCACTATCTTCCGAAAAATCGTCTTTACCTTCCTTCTCCATCTTCTCTCCCGTCCAACGAGAAGCAACAAGCCGGCCCAACTCTTCCTTTGAAAGTGCTTCGGTATGCTCAGATAAATCATTATTCTGCAGCCATGTGGAGAAAATGATGTTTTCCATTAAATACATGGGAAACAAAAAATGCAAAAAACAGCACCAAGCAGAAGAAGAACACTGAGAACTTTATTCATTTCAATACAGAGCTTGAGAATATTAAGTACACTCCTGGTTCAGCAGCCCACGAAGACTTTGCATATAGGAAAGTATTTGCTAAAAAGATAGCACATAATATAGAAAAAGTTTCGATAAACAAAACCTTATTTTCCAGCATACACATATAATTATACATCCACGGAATCCACATTAAAACTTGAGCGGGGTCACAAAGATATATTATTTCTTCATACCACAGTATGTCTAATTGTCTATGCAGCGCAATGCTGCAAAAGGACGATTGCCAGAACCTCCAATCAATCAACAATGATTGAACAATGGACAACATAAAACTTGGGATATATTACAGAAAAATCCAATGCATGCTATTTCTTATTAACAGCAACAAAGAAAGGCTTGGTTTCAGCAAGGCAAGCAAAAGTATTTTGCTCACTTTATAAATAAGAGAAAGTAGACACACACACATATGTATGACAAACATGGCATAAGAACTTTGCACTTAAACATGCTTCACCAATTCATACACACCATGTTCAAACAGTCATCAAAATAGCAAATGTGAGCAGAGTAGGGAAGGGGTTCTTATTCTGGAACATGTTTCTGTCATGATTATGAGCATTTGTGTGTTATGAGAAATCATAAGGCACAGCAAATATTCTCATATACATACATTTTTTTCCAATAGAATGATGAAAATGCATACATATTCACGATACATGCATTCATAGCCACATCCAGTAGAACTTAATGACAAAAGGATGTTCCTCTAAACTTCCAGTCAGTGCAACCAAAGACTAAAGAAACATACACTTGCTGTCACTTGATCAGCGTGCAACTCATCTTCAGCTGCAATTTCAGACTCTTTTTGGCTTACTTGGGAAACAGATTCATCTTTGCCTTCCACTACATGCTATATAAAACAGACAAAGAACCAAAGTGAAGAAACGCTAAATTCATTGGATATTCTCTCGCTGGAAGTATTCATTTACCTGGCCCACACCATTAGCCTGTTGTCCCTGGCTTACTGCATTATCGTCATTTTCAACGTCTTCCAAAGTTTCAAAGTCGTCCTCCACATTCTATAGAATGAATGGATGTCAAAAATAGCAAAACTTAATGTAAGAGAAGACAATCACGGTTAGCAAAACAAGCCACCAAAACTTTTTTAAAAAATGCAATGCACAGAACTCGTTCATAAGTGGTACATGCATGGTACTAGCAATGATCTAGAATCAAATCTACATGCATCACTAGAATATAAGGTAACTCCGGTCTAGACTGGACAATGCACTCACGGTGGTGGTAAATATATCTCTCGGAATATCAAGCTTTTCCATTAATATCTTGCAAATACAAGAGTAAGACTAAGTTCAAAGTATGCTGACAAAGCAATGCACTTCGAGATGAAAGTAGTAAGAAAGTCGTAATTGCAATTTCTTAGTGGGACAATTTGCGAGGGAACCGCACAATCACAAGGAATATCATTTGAAGAAAGTCAATACTTTTGCCCTTCTCCATTGAAAAAGGCAATCTTCATTCATCTGTGTAAACCTTGCAAACTTGTCCGGGTTTATCCAAAGTATCCTCACTCATCTTTCAAGCTTTGATATGCTTAAATGATGCTTGATTACATATTCAGCCAATGCAAAAGAATAAAACAAATTCAACCGTGAAAGAAGCTATTCCAGTGAAAAGGCCAAAACAGCTTTACAACATTTACATGTCAGATGTAAGAAATTTTAGTACCTGAAACATAGATATCACAACAACAAAAGATCAAGTCTTTTCCCACGGAGATGTCACAATCAAGAAATGACAAGTATCAAATACAGTCTACCAAACATCCGAAATATAATTTGCAAAACGATTATGATGAACGTCATTTGACCTGATTGGAAGGTGAATCCTCTACTAGCCCAATTTTCTCATGGTCCATGCTATCTATGCCTCTGTCCTCAATTTCAGTTTTTATATCCCCTTCCTTTTTCTCCCGTTTAGCTTCCTCCTCCGTATTTATTTTCTCCTTCTCGGCTTTCTCCTCAGCTTCTTTCTTTTCCTTCTCTTCTTTTTCTTTCTGCAAGCGTTCTTGCTCCTCTGCCTTCTCTATTTGTTCTTTACGCTCTGCATGCGTAATGAACATAACGAACGCGTATTTTATATATTTTAGTAAGTTCACGCAATTACTCCCAAATCACGTATTTGAATTTCGCTGAACAGCAGAGATAAGTGAAAACAGATGAAAAAGTAGAAGCCTCATATGCATTAGTGTTATTTAGGATGCAATCATATTTCTTGTGGATAGCAAATTAGATTTGAACTCTGATTGATGCAGGCATCAGAACAGAACATCAAATGGAATTTTATGAATGCGGGCTTGATCTATAAATAAGTCGTCCAAGGAACATTTTATTAACCCTTGGTCCCAAATGAATATACCGGCAGAACGTATAAAGAAACGAATGCATACGCCATAAAAGGAGAAGAGTAAAGGATGATGACAAGTTCAATTCACACCTTTAAGCTGTTGTACAAGCCCTTTCAGTATTTTCTCCTCATTTTTAAGCCTCGTCAGCTCTGCCTCATCCTTTGCAAAAGCCAACTTTGCTTGTTCAACTTCCTGTTTACGTAGGGTGACGCCCTCTTTGAATGTTGCAATCTTGCTCCTCAACTTATCTCTAGCAACTTTCCCCGCTTCCCAACATGTATTTGAGCAATTTACTTTGCCATCATACTCGTCGCTCCCATCGCAACAGTCTGCATAACATGGCAGGTTCAACTTTCAAAAGGAGAGGGTTTTTATTTAACCAATTCAAAGTTCAATAAAAAAACAACAGAATCAACCAAATATTACTTTTATATGCCAGTAGACCGCAAAATTAGATGAGGATCATTTTTATTGTACTTTGAGGCAAGTCGGAACAATTATATTACAACATAAAGTCTGACTTGAAGAAGGCATGCTTATTTAGTCAAAGATGAAATGGCAGAGAGGAACTATGGAATAGAGAAGAATTTCACCCGACTACTTACCACAAATACCATCATTCACTCTCGAAGAATAAACTAACACGGGAGTATGTCCTGCATTTCTGCAGTAAAATTTTGCACCTGGGCATGCTGATGTTCCTGAAATCCACAAGGCAATAGAACATGGAAACCATGTCAGTTCTCGGGCATTAGAAAGCATGCCGGTCCAATAACTTGAGCAAAAAGGAGAAAGAAGGAAGGAAGAAGTAATTGGACTATTGCATAGCTTCATTGGTGATCAATAGATCATGGAAACGGTGTCGAGTTCTCGGAAATCATATGTTCTCTAACGCATTACTGATTAGTTGTAAGTTAGGTTTTACCATTAACATACATAGAAAGAAGACCAATCCCTGGTTCGACTACGCAAATGTAGAAACAGGTATCACGAGCCAAATTGCCAAGAAGTAAGGAAATTTACAAAAGAAAAGAGAGACAGAGAGAGAGAGAGAGAGAGAGAAACACCAGCGGAAACAAACCTGGCTCGTCGGTTCCGTCGGGGCAATCGCAGAAGTCGTCGTTGAGCTGAGCTCTAGCGAACTTCTTCGATCCGTCCTTGCACTTGATCACATCCGACGACTTGTAGTACTTCAAATCTGGAAAAAAAGAAATAAAGAAGAAGAAACCAGAACGAGCTCACCGATTCATCAAACCCCGCGCTACAAAATGGGACGAGCCGGTGCGCCCAAAAAAGTCGACGATCGAAAGAAAGAGGGATCCACAGACCTTCGGGAGCAATCCCGACGAACGGATCTCCGGGGAGAGCGGGGGAAACTGATCCGGCGACGGAGAGAACGCAGAGCGACAGCAATGCGAGGAGGGTCCAAGTTCCGGCGGCTTTCATGTTCTTCCGAACGCAATTCTCCGTAGACGGCGGCGGCGGCGGCGGCGGTTATTGGTCCAATCGAATCGATTGAGAGTCGAAGACGGCGGCAAGCGGAGGAACGGCGCCGGGTAGACGGTGGCTCTGCAAGTGCGCTCTCGGATGCACACAAGCGCGAGGAGGGAGAGAGAGAGAGAGAGAGAGAGAGAATTCTGGAAGCAGCGCTTGCTCTTTCGGACGACGTCGTTTTTAAGGGGACGGATTGGGGGATGAGGCCGTTTGCGGACTTTTGTGCCGGAGGAGCGACGTCGTTTTTTGCTGAATATTTGTTCTATCCTTTTTGGCTCGGAAAGAAGACGAAGAAAATATATAACAGGAGCGGCTCCAGATACAGTAGATAGAGCTTCCTTGCTTCTCCTGTGACCGAGGCCTGCAAGCTGACGTCACCGGAAAAATGGAGGGAACCTCCATCCTCGGCTGCTCCACTTCCTCCGCGACTCTATGCTCGAGGACCCATCCGCGGGAATCTGGCCACGGCCTCGCCTTGTCCCCGTCTTCGTCTCCGCTTCCCGCGAAGTCGTGGCCTTTCAGCTTGTCAGTCAGCTTGGGCGCTTCAAAAGAACGGCCTTCGGCGGTGCTCTGCTCGCGGGCCTCGCTCCGGACCTCCGTCTTGGCGGTGGAGGAGGCGGTGGAGAGGTCGAGGGGCTCGATGGCGCCGGCGAAAGAAATGCTGCCCAAGATCGATAAGAGTGGCCGGTTCTGCAGCCCCAGAGCCGCCCGTGAGCTCGCTTTGTATGCTCTCTCTCTCTCTCTCTCTGGGTTTTTTTTGTTTTTTGTTTTTTCGGGAGAGATTTCTCTGGTTCTTGTTTTATCGTATGCTGTGTTGTGGATAGAATGGAAGAACCAGTTGGGGAATGATTGTTCGTGGTCTTTAACTTTGTTAGAGCTTCAGCGATTCTTCGTTTGGGACTACATGTACTGAACTGCTTGGAACTTAATGGGTTTTGTGAGTGAATGTTGGTGGTGGTGCTGGAGATAGCAGCAACGAAGGAGTTGGCCCTGGTTGTGGTGATTTTGGTTTCGATCGTGATAGGAACACTAGTGTTGGCATTTGGCAAGTCCAATGCCCTGCAACTCGTGATTTGACCAAATATTAAGTCTCAGTTATTCGATTCTAGTATGGAGTTGGATTTGCAATTATAGTAGAGCTCACTCTTGCACTACAAGTCCAAATGAATGATGGAGTTGGAATCAGAGATATCAAATTGCCAGAATTGGATTCAGGAGATCGGATACTTAATAACTTTCTTTTGCTCGTTTCTTACACAACTTAAACCAAATGTGTGAGACTTGCCGCAGCCATTTTTACATCCATCATTAAAATATAAGTAAACTCAAGGTATTTCCTTGAGTTTACAACTTAGACCCCACTTCTACTCTCTTGCTTTTCTGGAAAGTAAAATTGATGACACACACTTCATGATGGTATTTCCTTGAACTCTTGGTACTGGTTCTCATCCACTATCCCTTTCTTTAAGACGCTTTTTGTTCTAGACTAGCATTTTCTGTTGGATGATGATACTGTTGTATTCTTTGAGCCTAACTATGCTGGTATGCTGGGACAGATCAATTGCATATGCTGCTTGTTTAGAAGGGTCTGACCCCGTTCGGCTTTTTGAGAAGCGAATGAATATGAGAAGAGGTAATGCCCTCTCTTCTCAAGACGATCAATCCACATGACTGATCTTGTAGTTTGTTAGAACTCTGAGTAAATATACATGGTATTCCAATGTTATTTTCTTTTTCCATGTAAGAAGATGATCGTCTGACTACTTTCGTGTGCAAACACACATGCAGAGCCTGGTTATGAATTTGACAAGGCATCATTGCTGGAATACAACCACATGAGCTTTGGAGGGCCACCTATCACAACCGATACAACAGAAGAAGCTGATGAGCTTATGCAGATCGATGAAAAGGAGAGTGCGATTGGTATGAAGAGATTTTTAACTGCTGATTGCTTCTCCCATTCTCCTCGCCCTTCATTGTCCGTCAGTCGAGAGGTGTAAGTTCATGCTGTTTTCTTTGTTCCTGCAGAAGCTGAAGTCTTGTCAGCACCACCAAAGATGGTATACAGCAAATTGATACTGCGGTAAAGTCATCAGCAACTCACAAATTTTATGCACGTTGTCATCGTGAATCTGTGTCGCATTTGTAATTACACATGTTATTAAGTTTGCTTTTGCCGCAGTTTTACAAGGAAGCTATTGGTTGCAGTGATCGATCAGTGGGATAGCCATGTGCTTGTCATTGACAAAATTGCGCCTGAAAATTGGAAGGTCGTCTTTTTTATAGCTCCTTGTGTGAAATTTCACATTTTAAATGTTTGGTATAGGTATATCTTTCTTAAGAGTGTTGTTGACTTGCTTTGTTGCCGTCCTGCACTTATGATAAAATTATTGCTTGAGATCTAGTGTGTAGCAAATCACCCTGTTAAGCTAAACATTGCCATTAGTCTTGGCTCAGTGACCTAGCTTTGCATTCACAACATATGTTTTTGACTTGGATAGGCGTTTGAAGAGGCTTTTCTATGGAGAAGCAGATTTCCATGACCTTTGATCTTGAGTCCTAATAACTCTCCTCTTCCGATTCTAAGTTCATGACACTCTATTATGACATGACATGGAAACATTTCATATTTAACGAGTGGCTGAACATTTTCGGAGGAACATAGATGAGGCAGATGATTGATGCCATGAGGTTTTCAAAATTATTATGTCAAATGGCAGTCTAATTCTCATGTTCTTGATGTGCTCTCATGAGATGCTTAAAGTATTTTCAATTTTTTAGCTTCCGTATGAACTGTGTTTTACTGAAGTTATTAATTCCTTTTCTTTTCTTTTGGTAGGCATATTTATTTCCATTGGCATATATAGAGTCCTCCTTGAGTTTATGGACTTCTGGTGGATTCCTTTATTTAAATTAGATTGCGACCCCCCCCCCCATCTCTAAAATAACTTATTAGCAAACTTAGCAATCAACAGTTTGCTGAAAGATAATGGAATGTCCTATGTCTTTACCTCTTATTTTCCATCCTCTGCACCTAAGCAATGTAATAAGCCTTTTAAACCCTTCCACATAGCACGCTTAGAATGTACTGGACCAAATATCATCTCCATGTTTTGTGTCATCTTTACAATCCAGCTTATTTTTGGTTCATCTTAAGTCAGTAGTACGTCCATAATAGCATAATTGCAAACTGTTTAATGGATGTGGCCAAATAATAAATTCGCTTATGGTTTAACATCTTTCACCAGTCTGATGTTGGGGCGCTATAGTGATAGCTCCGGCCCTACCATTTGACGATATTAACTTCTCTGGATGCCATGTTTAGTTTGTCATGTTATTTCTTACGATGTGAAACATTTGGATAGTGTCTATGTAAGGCCCTAGTAATGTCGGTGCCGCTTCTTTTGTTTATATCTAAAATTCGAATCACCTCCAAGCTACAAATGAGTTTCTGCCTTCTGCCAAATCTCAGTGACAGTTGTTTTGCCTGTTTATATGATACAGATTGCCCCTGCAGGCAGAATCTTAGAGCTTTGTATTCTCCATCTCGCGATGTCTGAGATTACGGTTCTTGGAACTCGTCATCAGATTGTCATCAATGAGGTAAGTTTACTCTCTGTATGTTGGGTTCTACTCTCTGGCTCCCTTGCAGACGACTAATCAGTGGTTCCATTGTGATTTCCGAAGGCTGTGGACCTAGCAAAACGGTTCTGCGATGGAGCGGCACCTCGCATTATAAATGGATGCCTTCGGAGCTTCATCAAGGATCTCGAAGCAACTCCTTCACCTCTGGTGTCAGAAGTCAAGGAACAAATCGCCGTCAGTGCATGAGGTCGATACCTCCCTGTTTGTCCCCCATCAGAAGTCAGCCATTGCCAAGAGGCGGTGTAAAGTACCTTGTAATACTAAAGCAGACCATTCTTGTGCTGAAATCCATGCTCCAGGCATTATTAGCAAGGAAGGTTACTTTGAAGTGGCAGTGAAACGAGACCAGCAGATTCGATGATAACTGGATGGTGGATTAAATTTCATGTACAAACTTGTGGTGACCAAATCGTCTTAAACTGATGAAGTTGGATTTGTCATTGGATGCCATTTCCTTTGGGAAACAATGGCAGATGCTGCTAAGAGAAAACTAGTAGTCTACCATCGTCAAATGCGTTCGCGAGTCTCCGTGACTTAATGGGGGCATCACGATTCTGCCATGTAATAGAACTTAGGCTGTTGGGGCTTGTGATACTAGTTCCGGATGTTTCGGAAATCGCCACATCATTTTTCATGTTCTGACTATCATGCATATATCTGTACCATCCAACGTAACTTTTCCGGCTGGCTTGGTTCGTGAAAACATTTTCAGTTTTTAAATTTCATTAAAAAAAAAAAAGGTACACTAAAACGTGGAAAACGCGATTGGCTAACAATGATTAAAGAAATTTTCATCGAAAATGAAAATTGTGACAATGCGATTGGTTGTGTTTTCTTTTTTGGAAACATGAGTCATGTGAATTGCGACTTGCTCCTATAGTGGGTACAATTAAAACTTGGTACATCTCACGTCAAAATCATTTAGTTATAGCATAAGATTCTTGTTTACCCTCCAATGAAATCTCAATGGTCGGACTCTCTAGGGTAATTCGCCATCGAAACCCCCAAAATACCAATTTCCCATCCTCGGCAACTAGGACCGCAATCCTCCACTTAAGTTGCCCACCATTCCTGTCAACTCAAACGGTGAAATAATGCTGCTCCGTTAATTCCGAAATAGTCTTGAAGCTTCCCTTCATCCATGAAGCTTGTTGATCCGAGGCTCAAAATCTCAGAGGAGAAAGTCCTCGATGTAAACGCGATTGGCATCTTCAATGAGACTCAACCCTCGTATGAAAGGGAAAACATGCAGAAGAAAGGATGAACACCAGTGTTTTCACTCCTTACCAAAAAAAAAACACCAGTGTTTTCACTCAGCAGACAAAGTGGAAACAGAAGGGTTACCTTCACCTGTTTCGATTGGACTCGCTTTCCAGATGATCACCAGACAAATTTTCATGTCTGTTTCCATTTTCAAATGAAAATGAAAACAGAAAAGTTGAAATTTTCACAGCAACCAAACAGCCCTTTCTCTCTGCTTATCTTTCCATGTACAATGCAGTCGACCCTCAAGGGCTTAACAATACACCAGGAGGAAGAATTCCCTGTGGACGTTCTGACCAAAGGCACGAAACCACAAGAACACAAGGTATGAAACTCATCCTTGGCATTGGAAAGCTTTAGACAGGGAACAGTTAAATGACATATTTGTGCATCACTTCCTCAAAAGCAGTCAGAACAGGAAGGATGCCCATCGTGCAGTGTAGAACCATACGTTTTTGGGCTTCCCATCATCAATAATGAGATAGATAACATCCATGCCAAACAAAAAGTAGTGCGCAACATCAACAGAAAGACCCGTTTCTTCAAGGGTCGACTTAGGCATTTTATTAAAACAGTCCAAAACAAATGATGTATTAAAGCGATCATCCACTGCAATAAAGCTTGAAGCGGTTCTCATTCAAACAGGAGGTCCCAAGTATTTGAGAGACGAAAAGTACTCCACAATTAACCTAAGTAGGAAGGAAACAGACAGCAAAGTCGAACCAAACAACTAAAAGGAGGGGAAAAAGAAGCAAAAAGGAAAATATAAGAGAAAATGCTATAAAAGAAAAGGCATGTAAACTAAAAGCCAGTCGATAAACCCCAACCCAAACTCCTAGAAAACAAAAACAAAAACCAAAAAGTTAGGTGCTAAAGCGCTAAAAGAAAAGCCCTCTAACATCGACTAATAAGTACTCAGTTCCAGAAAACTAGCCAGCATCAACAGCTTCTTCATCAATGAAAGGATGCCTTTCCATCCCACCAAGCATTATTATGATTCTCTAAACCAAAGACCAATCCCAGCTGCTTGAGCTTGTAAACCAAAGACCAATCCCAGCAGCTTGACCTTGAAAGAGAACCGACCAGCCCGTTTCAGTTCACTAGATAATTCTGCCAGTAATAGAAGGTAAAACACTACCACCCACCCCCTTATGCACACGCAGCTTCAATTGGCACTAATTTGCCACCCCGTTTGATAGGGCCTTCTTCTCAGGAGCAACTGCTTTCACAATTTTTGCATCATCAGCCTTTTTCTCAGTTACTCCATCATCAGAAAGCTTTATATCCCCATTAGCCTGAGCTGCCGAAGTTTCCTTGACAATTTCTGAAGCAACTTCCACTGACTTCTGCGGTTTTAGCTCCCCATTAGCCATCTCTTTCTTCTCACTTGTCGGCTTTCCTTCCCATACCTGCAATAACAAAATAAAGAAAATAATTCAACAAATCGCAGATGAAAATCACCCAAAATAGCTATCTCTTAAAGCAGAAGTGGACAGGCAAAGAAAGCACGTAAAAGGAAAGAGATAGAAGGCAACTAAAAATAAGTCTTGCCTGCTTTTGAAATTGCTGCTGCCTTGCCTTTTTCTCCTGAATTGCTTTCTGACGACTTTCATAAAACTCAAAATCATCAAAGAGGCAAGTCTTGACAGGATGGTCTTTGAATATCTTTATCATCTTAAGACCCTGCAGTAACTTCACCTGCAAAAGTACAGCCCCGTATAGTTACCAAAGGGAAAGGATTTAGAAAGAAAGAAATCAAGCCAAGGAACAAGAAAATACCTCCTGTGTATCCCTACTGTTCGTCACAGGTTTGTTCTCGTTGTTTTCTAGTGTAATATGCTTCAACAAGCTATTAGGCACATCCTTAACAATGTGCCACTTGACAGGGAAACAGCCATTCCACTTGTCTTGCTGCCAGTATTCAACACTCTTGTGGAAATCAACTGGGCCAACCATTTCCGCAAGACCAACAAATTGTCCACTGGTATTGACCTACAGGATAAATGGCATAAGTAAAATTATTCGTGTGTTCTGACCAAAAGTAAAAACGGAGCAATTGTCCAAATATCTTACCGAGAAGAAAAGGAAAACAGGGCAGCTGCCAGGTTTCTCCTGAGCCTCCCGATACGCGGCATCAAGTTTCTTGTTACCATTTGGCGTGCTGGCCCATACACTGTATTTTATACTTTTATGGACATCATCTTCACTGTAAGACTTGATGATGAAGAATTTAGCATCTTCATAATCTTCAGGAAAATCGACTTTGTTATACTGCTCGCGGTCTGGAATCACACTCGCCTTATTCTTCTCCTCCTCATTCGTTCCATTGGAGGGAAAAGTCTGCCCCTTAACCGCCAAAATAGGTGTAAAGCCCTTTTGGTTCTTGGATCCCTTTGCCCTGGGGCCCCTGTTCAGCTCGTTCAAACCATCCACATTCTCATTAGCATACCCGTAGTAGCCATTGCCATGCCCCCTGTTTTTGTACTTGTCAACAGCCAGCCAGCCACGCCCATTTGTTCTTGAATCATAGTTACTTGACCCAAATCCCATGCCAGATCTAATTGTGCTTCCATACTGACCGTATAATTTGTTAGGGTACATCCTGTTCATATATCCACTGGATACCCCCATGCCAGATAAAGGTCTCGTTTGATGCAGACCCTGTGAATCAAAAGGACAATTAAACAATAAGTATCACGCCATTTCAGCTTATCAAAAACTAGAAAAAGTATACTGCACCCAAACTTGCACATTAAGGCAACTATACATATCAAAGTTTTATTGTGTTTATCTACATAAAATACTCATTTCCTGGCGGGCTGCTCAGGCGGTGGAACAGGAACAAAGAAATAGTCACGCACCATGAAATTAGAATTAGGACGGAAGTGCTGATTCCTCGAATGACTGTTGTTGGCACTTGGGAATGAATTTGTCGCTCCACTGGTAGACAACGGTGCAATCTGCCCGTCGGGGAATAGAGCACCTTCGGCCCACGGGAGAGGCGAATGAAACCCATCAAATCCAAGTCTAGGATCCTGGTTCCCGGAAGCCATACCACCAGGTAAAGAACCCCTTCCAAGTGAACCATTCGAATTATAAGATGAGTTTTGATTTGACATTTTCGAAGAAGCTGACCTGCTGTTTCCCTTCCCCACTGCATTGGTTGCAGTATTGGAGTTTCCATTCACTGTTTCAACCGGTAAAGGCTTCTGGTCAGAAGCAGGAGAAGTCGAAAGCTCTGCCGGTGGAGCAGCTGGACTTGGAGTGAATGGTGCACTAGTTGGAGTCATGGTAGACTGGAAATAGGGGGATGGATAGTGGTACTGCTGAGTTCCATAGAGTTGATCATTTCCAGGAACAGGCGAAGTGGCAGGTGAATACGGACCATATGGTGCAAACCCATAACCATGATACACAAGAGACCCATTATCCCCATAAAATCCCTGAAAATATTGAGCAAGAATGAAAAAAGAACTGATAAGAAACATAAGACAGCCAGAGACACTCTAGAGCAATCAAACAATGCTTCACGGAAAAAAAAAACAATCCCAATCGAACATTAGTCACTTACAGAGGCCATGTCCACTCCTCCCTCCGCGTTTGTGTATCTTGAAAAATTGTCCCACTCGCTACCAGTCCCTTCATAACCTAACAGGACACAAATCAATCATCAATACTCTCATCATAGCACTCAAAGGTTACCAACCCCCACAGCTGCAAAGAGATCTAACTTTTACTGTATAATCAGAAACTGAGAACCCAAATCTTACCTCCATAATAATAGGGGTAGCTATTGGGGACAAAGCACATGGTTGGCTCCGTCACAGCTGCATCGTATGACTGGATCTGGCCATTCGCAGCATTGACACCATCAACAGATCCATTTTGATTCGAAGACTGCATAAAGAATCGACGAAGCCCATCCAGTCAATGGCTGATAAACAACCTCCTCGTGTCTAAAATACTCGGAAACTCGATGCTTGGTAATTACCGAGAACAAGAAGTACACGTAAACCCCAAAACTGGGCAGGGTGCAAATTACCTTTTTGGTCACTTCAGGCATCTCGAGAGTCTTGGACTGAGAATCCAAGGTCAATTTCTGTATCAAGTCTGCAGCTTCTGTTGGCAAACAAAGTTAAGGAAACAGAAGATATTTCCCACCGGCACGAAGCGTGAGCAATCAACTTGCGCAGCGACCGTAAGCAAAACACGCTAAAAACTTCACTTTTCGCAAGTTACGAGCCAAGAGCTTTTTTCAAGCGAGGGTAGAGCGAACGTACAGGAAACGACAAAAACCGCGAAGAAAACCCCAACCAAACAACTCTCGCCATTCCCAAAACAAAAACCATTCCAATCGCACAAGAACCGACACGAAACCCGAAGGCGGAAACTATGGAGCGAGCCGCCGAATCACGGCATCCAGAGAAAAAGTCCAAAAACTCCTCATCAATCTTCGTCGCCCAAATAAAAAAGCACACAGCCCCTTCCTACTACACAGGAAGCAGCAGCAGCAGCAGCAGCAGCACCCATAAAATCGCGCACGCGAAGCGCAGCAACGATCGACAAATAAGCAGGAGCGCGCCGCCGCTGCTCGGATCTATCGAGACGCGAGCAAACGAGAACCGGAAATCCAAAACAGAACACGACGGATCCCGCGCAGCCGCGCGGAAAGACCCCCGATTCAAAAACGAGGGGGAAGGATACGGTCAGCGGAGGGAGCAACGGCGGCCATGGCTCGATCGGCGGGGCTCGGAGAAGCACCGGCGGGGGAGGCGGAGGAGGCGGTGGCGCTCGTAGGGGCGGGCGGCGACGGCAAAACCCTGACGAACAGTAGAATTCGGAGTACGGACAGGGGTTTTAGAGGGAGGGGGAGGAAGAAGCGAACAGCGAAGGACCAAAAAACCCTAAACGAAGAGAGAGAGAGAGAAGCGAAAGAGGGTGGGAGGGGGGAGGGAGAGGGAGAAAAGGGAGGGACAACGGGTCTCGCAGCCGCCTAGGGTTACGCGGGGGGTGGTGGTAGAGCGAGAGAGAGAGCGTGCGCGTGAAGGAGGGGAAATTTTCACTCCTTTTTGTTTCTCGTGATTCAAATAGCACCACGGCAACTCGGTTTCATCAGTTACCTCCCTCCCACTCTCACCCGCGGGTGAGCCTGGAGCCCCCCCCCCCACGTGGCGGCCTCCCTGTGGCGGAACCCGCGTCACCCCGGGGTGGGCGGGGCTGGAATGAAAGGGGGGCGGGTCGCGGAGACGCGGGTGACAGGCGGGTGACGCTGCTTTGACCCCTTTCGTTTTTTTGGGGCCGTTCTTTCGAAAGAGCGGGGGTAATTGTATAAGCGGACAAGCATTGGGTTTCCGTCTAGAAGAACGAGGGGGCCCAGTGAACTTAATGGAGAAGATATCGCCACATGTATATAAACCCAAAAAAGAGAAAAAAAATCTATTTTTTGATATTTCTTTTTTGGTTCACTTGTAATTTTTTTTCACCACGTTTTGTTCTCAATTTCTTTTTAAGTAAGTAATGTCCAGAACGGGGGAACGAGCGAAAGAGGGTATATTTCGATTAAGAAATAAAATTAAAGGGAAAATCTTGATCTCGATCCTGGACAATCGTTTTTTCATCGGCAATCGCCTCGATTCTTTATTTACCTTGTCGAACCGAAGATACGTGAAAGAAATAGGTGGAAGCGTATGCTTGATGTAATCACTAGACTTTTTGGCATACTATGTACGTCGAATCATGAAAAAAAAGAGTTGGTTAATTCCCTTTTATATTTCAAATTTTTAAACTTGAGCTCAACCAATTTTTACCGCACAATAGTAGAGACGAGTAAACCCTTCTTGAGCACTCTCAATCTAGTCAACTCGATTTCATAAGCATTCCAATTCGTGCGAATCTTGATCATTGTCAAATTTTTTCAAAAATTCAATTTTCATAAGCATGTTAAAATAACAAAGGAAAATGTCAAATAAGAACCCAAAGTGGGTCTCTTTTCTCAAATAAGAACCCCAAGTAGACAATGCTTCAATTAAGGATCCAAAGTGCCCAAACTAGTCTCAAATAAGGACCCAGCTCGCCGGCCGGCGACCGTCAGACATTTTCCGGCATCGGAATAGGGGTAATTTTGTCTTTTTCTTTTTCTTTTTCCTTTTTTCTTTTCTCTCTTCCCTCTTCGCCGGCCTTAGGCGAGGGCGGCCTTCGCCGGCCTCGAGCGAGGGCCGATCTCGCCTGCCCAGGCGAGGGCGGCCGTCGCCCGACGCCGGCGAAGGCCGCCCTCGCCTGAGGCCGGCGGACGTCGCCGGCGATGGCCACAAGAAGGAAGAGAGAAAAGAAAAAAGAAAAAGACAAAATTGCCCCTATTCCGATGCCAGAAAATGTTTGACGGTCGCCGGCCAGCAAACATTTGGTCGCCCCACGAGCTGGGTCCTTATTTGAAAATAGTTTGGGCACTTTCGGTCCTTAATTGAAACATTATCCACTTGGGGTCCTAATTTGAGAAAAGAGATCCACTTTGAATTCTTATTTGACATTTTCCCAAATAACAATAACAATAATAATAATAATAAATTGTATTGATTCGGGTACACTGGGCTATTTAATTACGGGCCTACCTACTCTCGGCCTAGCACTCTCTTTTCTGTGGAAACTGAAAGTCTATATATATGTACCCGCAAGACAATTTCCTGCATTTTGACCCAAAAAGAGAAGAAAAAATAATCTTACTATATGCCTACTTTTCTCCCCCCGCTTGCATAGGTTGCCATTCTTTTTGAGCATCTTTTTCTCCAAAAAGCTAAGTCCATCATCGCTCCATTGATTTCCTGTTCGGGGTTTTACCATAATTAAGCTTCTCGACTCTACACTTTTGAGATCTGACCCTGAGGAATATTGCCTGCACTTGGATCGTGGAGTATACGCGGACTCTCGACATGAAATTTCTATTGCCGTGGTCTCGGGTCCGAGCATTCCCAGAAAGAAATCCTCTTGACAGTGATTTAATCGGAGTTGGAACGGACCGTCCAAGTTAGCAAGATTACGCATATCGAGTACATGTGTCGCAGAATAAGGATTCTGCGATAAGCATACCAGTATCAGCCCTGTATCCACATAATCACCTTCGCACAAACTCATACCTAGAAGATGCTAACGAAAGATCACCACAAGGCCTCACACAGCATGCACCGTGTGCTGGAAATACTGCGTCCGTTAGAATCCTTCCACATACATGCAGGCTTTTGCAGCTAGGGGATTTTCGTCGAAACACACGACCCCGGACGAGTACAGCACGGCAACAATCCGAGTTTTACACAAGTTCAACCGAATCTCTACGGTTTCCGTGGCCAAAGACGGAGCATCCCCGGCCAACTTAATCACGAAACAACAAATTATGGGGGAAAAGGAAAATGCTGGAGAATTAGAGAAGACAAATTGCAATACGTGGAGTATGAAAAACTTCTTGGGGATGAAATCGGATTATATGGACATTACATTCCCACCTTGCTTCTCGATCTCCAAAAACCCAAAAATACAAGCAGCTTCATATTATGATGGCACGAAGCTTAAGTCATCACTCCTAGATTCACAAGATAGGAACCAAACAAGTAAAAGAAGAACAAGAAGAGAAAAAAGGGGAAAAAAGGCAAAAGAAAAGGAAGCCCTATAAAAGCATATAAAAAACATAATAATCCTCGACCCCCAACTTCTAGTCTCCTAGAGAGCAAAAAGTGATTAGGAGCTTAACACCTACAAGAGAAACCTCAAGTATCAACCAAGGGTACCCGATCCCAAACTACTGCCAGATTCAACTGCTTGACCAATAATGATACCCCTCATGCCTCAATGCTGCATAGACATTCCAAAATTAGGTGCAGTCCGGCTTGCAAGAGTTCCGACGAAGAATTGACTATCCTGCTTCTGTTGGATGTTTCCATGGAGAATCCTCTGCCAATAAAATTCCAGCGAGAAACACCCTCACAAGAAGCTCTGATCAGCAAGCATTTGCAACTCCATTTGGTACAGCCTTCTTTTCCGAAGCTACAACTTTTGCGCTATTCGGGTCATCCACTGTTTTTTCAGTTATTCCACCATTGGCAGTATGCTTCAGATCCCCATTCACACAATTTTGGGTACTTTCATTGGTGAAACCTGCGGCAACCTCATCTTGTGGTTTTAGCTCCCCATTAACCATCTCTTTCTTCTCGCCGGTAGGCTTTCCTCCCCACACCTGTAATGACAGGGTAAAGTAAATTAAATTCAGAATAGCGGAAATGCAAATAAATCCATCAGGACACATTCATAGCATCCCCGAGACGGAAATAATATGAAGGCAACTGGGAAAAAATGACTTGCCTGCTTCTGAAATTGCAACTGCTTTGCCTTTTTCTCTTGAATTGCCTTCTGACGATTTTCATAGAACTCAAAATCATCCAAAAGGCAAGTTTTGACCAGGTGATTTTGGAATATCTTTATCATTTTAAGACCATGTGGTAACTTGACCTAAAAGAAGCAACACTTGAATTATATTAGCCATTAAAACAAACAGGTAAAGAGAGCTAGAAAAGGCAAGAGCAAATACCTCCTGGGTATCCCTACTGTTTGTAACGGGTTTGTTCTCATTGTTTTCAAGAGTAATGTGCTTCAGCAAGTTGTTAGGCACATCTTTTACAATGTGCCACTTCACAGGGAAGCAGCCCATCCACTTGTCTTGTTGCCAGTACTCGACATTCTTGTGGAAATCAACAGGGCCAACCATTTCTGCAAGGCCAACGAACTGTCCACTGGTGTTGACCTGCATGTTAATAGCCACATCAAAATCCCGGACAACACACTGATCAAAGTGAGGAATGGTAAATGAAAGACGCATTCTCAGTCAAAATTATCTTACAGAGAAGAAGAGGAAAACAGGGCATCCGCCAGCTTTCTCTTGAGCCTCCCGATATGCTGCATCAAGCTTCTTGTTACCGTTTGGTGTGCTGGCCCAAACATTGTATTTTATACTTTTGTGGACATCATCCTCACTGTAAGACTTAATGATGAAGAACTTAGCATCATCATAGTCTTCAGGAAAATCAACTTTGTTGTACTGTGTGCAGTCAGGAATCACGCTCGACCTATTCTCCTTCTCAGCATTATCTCCATTTGAGGGTAAATTCTTCCCCTCAACAGCCATAACAGATGTGAAATCCTTCTGATTCTTGGAATCCTTAGCTCTTGGCCCTCTGTTCAGCTCATTCAAACCATCCGTATTATCATGACTATGACCCCAGTAGACATTGCCATTCCCCCTGTTCTTGTACTTGTTATCAACTGACCAACCACGCCCAAATCCAATGTTCGATCTCATCGTGCTATCATACTGACCATACAACTTGCGAGGGTACATCCCATTCATGAATCCATTGGCTACCCCCATGCCAGATATTGGTCTTGTGTGGTGCAAACCCTGTAAACAAAACAATGCGCAAGATCTATTAAAAATTCCTACATGATAAACCCTTTCAGACGACTAAAAATCTCTTGATACTCAAAACAAGTAGCAAAGCCTTTATGTGGAAATTTTATAAAGAAATATTATTTTGTATGACTATAAAGTTCAAAAAGAATGAGGGGAGCTGGAGGGTTAGGGGTTCAACAGAAGGCATATGCTACCAACCGGGAAATTTGAATTAGGATGACCATGCTGATTTCTGGCAGAACCCTCGTTGGGATTTATGAATGAATTCATCATCGCAGTGTTAGCCACTGGCCCTAGTTGCCCATCTGAAAATACTGAGCCATCAAAGAATGGAAAAGGGGAGCACAAGTCAAATCCAAAGCGAGGATCCTGGCACCCAGGAGCCATGCCACCAGGCAGAGAACCCCTTCCAAATGAACCGTTTGTATTATAGGGTGGTTTCTGCTTTGACATTTTTGAAGGAATCGACTTGTTGTTTCCTTTTACTGCCCCTTTCGTGGCACCATTGGAGTTTCCATTGACTGTTTCGGCAGGCAAAGGCTTTTGGTCACCAGCTGCAGAAGTCACAGGCTCCACTGATGGAGGCGCAGCAACGCCTGTAGTAAATGGAGTAGGGGTTGGAGTCATAGATTGATAATAAGGAGATGGATAGTGGTAGTGCTGCGTCCCATAAGTCTGATCGTTTCCAGGAACCGGGGAAGTAGCAGGTGAATAGGGGGCAAAAGGTGCAAACCCATAGCCATGGTGGTACATAAGAGACCCATTCTCCCCATAAAATCCCTGCAAAAATTCCCAGCAAAAAATGAAAATAACTGTTACACTAAAACTTTACGAACAAAGGAAAATGCAGTCAGGCTAGAACAGTAGAGCTTCCAGTACCACAAAAGATTTCGTCTAACTAAAAAAAAAAGAGATACTTACAGAAGCCATGTCAACTCCTTCGGTATTTGCATATCTCGAGAAATCGTCCCACTCACCACCGGTCCCTTCATAGCCTAAGGGCACAAAAAAAGCAAGTGTCAAATTCTTCTCCTCTCCCTTCAGAACTCATAACACCCGCAGCCGCGAGGGTACTTAACATACTTCAACAATATAATTGATGTTTTAGACTTACCTCCATAGTAATAGGCATGGGGTGGATAACCAGTAGGGACAAAGCACATCGTGGGTTCAAAATCAGGCAACGTTGGTGTCACAGACGGCTCGTATGGCTGGATCTGACCATTTGCACCCTTGCCATTAGTGATAGATCCCAAACGATTAGCAGAAGTCTGCATAGGTATAACATAATGAAGATTAAGTTACCCGCTTTTCACAGGGATGAATGCCCAATCAAGATATATTAATCTATGACACGTGCAAGACATGTAGAGCATCACTTCCACACAACAGCAAGAAGGTCTCCTCATACACGAAAGTCTGAGAAAGCAACTGTAAAGCACAAAATTCAAATTACCTTCTTTGTCGGTTCCGGGATCTCCAGAGTCTTGGGCTGAGCATCTAACGCCAGCTTCTGAAGCAAATCTGCAGCTTCTAATTCGAAGTCAAGAAAATTCCACTTTTCATTTCAAACGAGTAGAAAGAGTCCGAGACACAGATCACCCAAAAGCCAAATCAGCGACACGAGCAAAACCCACTCCAATTCGCACGACAGAGAACCCAAATCAATTCTTTGCAAGGGAATTGTAACGCCAGCTCGGGCCAGAACAGAGAGAAAACAGCCAATTACATACCAACATGGACCAAATGAAACACAAAACCAGAATCAGCCGGACAAAATTCAAATCGCAGCACCACGAAGAGGGACGGAGCAGACAAGGGGTGCGAACTCCCCTCCCCTCCCCTCCCTCCCAAAACCAATACCCCAAAAAGCCCCAACCTTTCGCGGCGCCCTTCCGCACACCCACAGGGCCAGTAAGCCCCCACAAACCACCCCCTCCAGCGCCACACGGCGAACAATTCTCCGCAAACAGAAACGTCCCACCCCCACCCCGGCTCAAATCCAACACCATTCCGCAACCCAAAAAACACAAGCGCCGCACCGCGCAAAAAAAACCAACCGAGCAGAGCAAAGCAAAATCAAACCCAGAAACGAACAGATCGCGGGAACAACCAAAAACCAGAGACACGAATCGATTCCAAGAAACGGGAAAAAAGGCGACAAAGAGGATACGATTCGCGGACGGAGGAGGAGCGACGGTGGCCATGGTTCCGATAGGCTCGGAGGCGGAAACCCCCTGAAGGAAATCGCGAGGTCGAGAGGGGACGGGAGGGGGGTTGGGGGTTTTGGGGGGGCGGGAAGGTTCGCCTCTCGCGGCGGGCTCTCTCTAGGGTTTTTCGGGGGAGGGTCGAGGAAAGAGAGGGAGAGAGGCTCTGGTCAACCTCGGGTCTCGATTCATATAGCACCACCGCGACGGCATTTCCGATCCGATCTCCCTGTTGGTGGGGCGGGGCGGGGCCCGCGCCACGCACGCATGGGATTCCGTCCTACGTGGCGACAGCTGTGTGGTTTCCCCGTTTTACGGGCCCCCTGCTCGGGGGTGAATTTTGATAACGCCCCTTCGGCATCGGTGATTTTGGCTTATATAATAAGGACAGTGAAATCCACAAATGAGGTGAGATTTACGAACGATGGTAATTCGAAAATGTTGGGGTTTAGAGTGTTGGAGGGGGGATGATGTCACGCTCCACTCCCACGGGCACACGAACATCCCATCGCGGTCGTTATGTTGCGACGTCCCAAGACGCGTCGCCGATCCATTCATTTCATCTTTCAATTATTAGCATACGGAAGCGTGTACTAAACTCCTGATAATTAAAAAGACAGAGATAGCACAGGAAAATAACCATCCATAAACATATCAACAAGATGCTTTTGTATATATACATCCTTACCCCAGGAAGTTAATATATTTACAAGCCAACACTACAGTACTTCCTATAGGACCAACCAATCATAAAGGGGTGGGTGGCCAGGGGTTTAACATCACGTTTCTACTCTAAAAACGGGTTTCCAAAAAGTAGACCGTATGCACCTTCGTTGTTACGGTCCTGAAAAATGTTAAACAACGGGGAATGAGATAAAATCTCAATGAGTCAACTAACTAATCCCCGATTAGGACGCTAATTCACCTTAGGCGTCCCCTGTTCCCACATTTCAATGACGATGGTAGATCAATAGCAGGGCGCCTCACACCCTTCCTTAGTTACAATACAGGTTGGCAACTCAATCATTACATAATAAATTAACCAGGCACATCTACACGCAGGCAACCTTACCTGGTCATGGCACACTTGCTGCACACAACAGGTTATAATATCACATAAATAAGCAGCATACATCACATGTAATCAGAACACATCACAACAGTTCCATGCGCAATGCATCACGCGTGTTCCGATTATTAACGACCCATCGGGCCACGGCACATCCTGAAAGATGGCGATTTTCCAGACCTACCCGGGCATCGTCCCGCCCCATCGGGCACGGCATCGTCCTGCGTATACATACGCCTCAGGACGGCATTCCATTCGGAGCATCGAGTCCAGTCTCTATCGCGACAAGGCATCCGAACATTTTCCGGGCATCCGATAAATCGAGCATCGTCCTGCGTAAAACGCATCAGGACGGGTTCAACCTCGCGTACAACGCATCAGGGTATTATGTGATCACACAAGCACACAACCACTCATGCCAAATTATAAGGTGTCTCATTTAACTCGATGCAAGAGTGCTATATGCTCATACGTCGGAATATATTCGATTTCACACGCGAAAATGCACAAAATATTCTTACGTGATCACGTGCCACCAGTTAATGCACCAACACTGCACACCAAGATTACATCATGCACTCAAATATTTCATCACATGACAAACGTTTCTCATCATGAACCTCATACATTATTCCACATCTCATTACCAAGTCTTATATTATAATATTTCAAAGGCCACTATGGTAGTGTGACACCCTTCTAACTCATAGCAACTTTCACACCATATTCCAGATTCTGCCATCACGTGCATAATCACATTTGTCCCATCATTGAACCTCCAATCAAAATTTAACATATCTCATTTGAAAGCTCAGAATGTGTACATTAAATAAACAGGAGACATCAAGTCTAAATTCCCAAGGTTTCATGTGAGAAATGGTGCATCTTTGAAATTGGGTAAATCTGAATAGTTTTGCATAGTAACGGAAATTCCTTCAAAATAAATAGTGAATGTACTCAGAAAATTCTAAAATTTGGATATGTGATAAAATACACCTGGATAAACATTTCTCATGAAGGAACCAAAGTCCAAATCCTTATGTAAGTGTCTTTTTTAATAACCCATAGGCAGACTAAAAATTGCTCACTGGGACAGAACTATTGTTCCAAAAAATCAGTTCTTTGCTATACACAAAACATCTCCAAAAATTGTCAATTTTTATATGTTGTAGAGAAAGAAGTCCTCAAGAACTTTTGTGAATGAAGCTTTTCCAAAATCGATCCAGAAAAGTTTGTAGAAAATCGAGAAAGTGTAAACATCACAGAATACCCATTTTGGACAGTTTTACACGGTCCAAAAATTAGACTTTCGTACTACTCATATCAAGTCCAAAATTTTTGAAATTAAAATAGATTAAACTTAAAGATATTTGGAACAACTTTTAAGAAGGAAGTTTCTGAAAATTCGGTACACAAAATTCTCCAAAAAAATAACAAAATGAAGAGGTACAAACGACCCGAATTTGGGTTTTCCAGAACAAAAACAAGAATTGAGTCCGAATGGGAAAACTACCAAATTACATCTACAATACAACGATAACTTGTCACAATTACCGATAACCTATCCCAATAACTTATCGTGTTAATCCTAATTAATTAACAGTAAATGGGTTTACTTCTAATTTAATCTATCCTTAAGCGTAATTAACAGCCTAATCAACGATTAGGTAGTTAACTCACCGGTTTAATGGCGATGGCAGCGCGGTGACGGCGAGATGACAATGGCACGGCTCACGGCTCGCGACGGTGAGTGGTGAGCGTCGTGAGGGCGACGCAGTGAGGTGGTGGCGTGAGGTGGTGATGGGCGGTGTTGGTGGCCGAACCAAAGGGGAGAGGAGAGAGAGGGAGACTAAAGTGAAAATTGAGTGAAATGAGTGGTGAAATTGTGAGACAAAAGTTAGAAATGCAAAAGAGGCTCATCTATTTGGAGGTCTCTTGCCAACTTCTCCTCCAAGTTTCATTGCAAGCTTTTTATGCAAGCTTCAAGCAAACTTCCCAAGCAAGCTAAATTACTTGATTCACATTCCTTTTTGCTAAACAAGCTTGATTGCTTGGCTAGGATTTGAACTTGCTCAACAAGCTAGAATGCTTGGCTAGGAATTGCACTTCCAAGCCAAGTTTTCCAATTATCATAAATTGCATTAATATCCAAGAAACAAAAGAAGAGAAGGAGACCATTTTGGTATTGTCTTCTTCAATTGGGCGGCCAACAAAAGAGAGGGAGAAAAAACAATTTTGCCCTGAAACGTCTTCAATTTGCGTAATCCCGAATAGTAATTTCGTCTTCGATTTCTGCTTTTGAAATTGGGGTCGAAACGAGGATGTCATATATGAGATCGGCTTTATTTCTTTTATAAAATTCGTGGGATCCGGTGATTTGACTTCAGTTATCTCGTTTATTTTCGAATTTTGTCCATAGATTTTGGTAAGGATGAGCATGATTTCAATGTAGAACCGGGAGTCGAGGGACCCGGACCGATTCGTTTCCAGATTCTAATGTGCCACGATTCGGCTCCCGGCTCCATTGTTTTAGAAATCGGGAACTAAACCGAGAATCGGGAGTTATTTCTCACTCCGTTTTTAGTCTTATGCTTGGGATTATAAAAATAAAACACATTTAAGCTAGCATAACCTTAGCATCTGGATTTCGGTTTATCAATCAATTGATAATTTTTTGGATAATGACATAAATAGTCCATGAACTTTCGCCCAATGTACAACGCGATTTCTGAACTTTTAGTTTGTTTAATATAGTTCATGAACTTTAGCTTAATATTAAATAAGGTCCATGAACTTTTAATTTGTTTAGTGCGGTTCACGGACTTTGGTTACATGTTCAACGTAGTTCCTGAATTATATGAACACTTTCATATAGTTCAAGAACTATATTGAACATGTACCAAAAGTCTATGGACCGCACTGAACAAATTAAAAGTTCGAGGACCATATTGAATACTGGGTTAAAGTTCATGGGCCATATCGAACAAATTAAAAGTATATGAATTATATTGCATATTGGGCCAAAATTGAGAGCTTGTTTGTGCCATTTCCCCATAATCTTTCCTCTCGCATCATCAACATCTCGTGCGAAAACGAAAAAGAGACTAGGAATTATTAAAAGAAAGAAACAAGCTTCATGGGTCCCCTGCATTTCTTGGGTAATCCAGAACCTTGTACCTTCCCCATTTTGCAGCCATTTGATTGGGATGTGTCTATAAGGGAAAAGATCCGTTCAAACATTCTCATTCTCTCTCTTTCTTTCCAACTAGAGATGGTCGGTGAATGCGGCACGTGTGTTCGAATCCCGGGTGCCGCAGGGTGACTTAACCGGTTCACGTGTGTGGTGGTTAGCACGTGTCGCCCCCAGGGTTTACCTCCCGGCTGTCGGCCGTGCGGGGTTCCCTGGGTCACAAAAAAAAAACATATAACCAAAATTTAACCATAAAAGTAATTGCAATACAAAATTAAAACGATAATCGCCGAGAGACACCCGCTCGGAGGTTGTTTGCTATAGTTTTCTCATAGCAGTTTAGCAGTGAAAATGGTTTCTGTGCTTTTTAAAGATGTTTCACAAACGCTTGGACAACTACAACACATCCAAAGCTACATCTACTTACAGCAACTTCTAGGACTTTTTCTCAGCTGGCCTGAAGTGCTATATAGCTCACGCATGCTTTTGTATAGATGTAGGATGATTACTTATGTTAGATGTACAAATTATCAAATCAACTCTTGATCAAATGGGTCAGAGAAAGTTAAAGCGGTTGGCTGAGTAGTGAAATGCTTGTGATCATGCATGCGTTCTCGAGCAGGAGGAGACCTCGGGTTTGATCCCCAATTTCCCGCCGGTTCAATCACCTTGGTTAGAGCATTGATAGATATTATATATATGGGCCGCCCATGTTGGGCTAACCCGGTCCATGGTCCATCACGCGGACCCATCTTCATTAGGAGTTTAAACAGAAGATAAGATGGAAGTTATTTTTTAAGAATGTATTTTATGAAAATACTCTTCTTCACGTTATAGCTCCAGAGAACGACGCTCTGCAGAAAAACTCCCAAAATTGGAACGCTCTCTCAAGGCTACAAATTGGTAGACATTTAATCTGTGGCAAAAAGGTATGTTTGTTGACGTGATATCCCTCACTCGATCGGTGATTCAAATATAAAATGGGCACGTTTTTCAACGTTTTGTGAATTGTTTTTGAGAATGTGTTTCCAACAAGCATAAAAAGTAGGTCCTTGCGAGGTAACACGGTCAATCCCACTTGAATGACATGTCTTTGATCGAACGAACGAGAGAGATGGAATTAGTCCAAACACGAAAGGTGTGTAGATATGGCTTTAGCTGAAATCTACCAGTGCCTTTGATTCTTGCAGATCTCAACAAGGATGTACCTCGGAATGATTTCTTTTGTTAATGATCGTGACAGCTTTGTAAAGAATCTTAACGTGAGCTAGAAACGAAACGCTCCAATGAACAAGGGGTGGAAAAATCAAAAGAGCCTCGAGAATGATCGAACTGATAACACCGTACCGTCAGCATAAGACTGCTCTCAGGTCGAATTGCAGGTCACCGGTCTTGATCTCTTTCAAGAACAAGAACCAATGTCTTCTCGTTCACCGGAATGCTATGTACGTTCTGAACTAGGAGAAGAGGGCAAATAGGCGAAAGTAGATATCGAAAATATCTCCGCCATTATTCAACTTCGGCCAGGAACTACTCTCGATCAACAAGATACAGTCTTACTGGAGGCATGGCAATGTCTTTCTTACAAGTAGAGCGACGGTTTCGCTTCAAGATTAGGCTGTAACAGCAGCCTAATGATTATTAAAATTTGAAAAGTGGACTACGAGATGAACAAGAAATGACCCACTTGAGCCTAGATGTCAGTAGTGTAGGACATGGACTCGGTACCATCACCAATGTTGTTCACACAAACGGTCAGTGGACTCCTAACCGTGTGGAACCCGTCGGACCACACGACCTCGCCGAAATCGTACCTGCCCTCAGATTTCTTCCGCGGGTTCAATGTCACGTAATACGTGTTCTCATCCTTATAGTGCGAGAAAACCAGCAATCGGGGCCAAATTGCTACGTCCACTCCACTAGGACTGACGACGCGAGGAGTATAGACCGCGTTCCTGTTCCAGCCGACGTTTCGCACGGTCCGCCTGATTGTCATCGTGGTCTGGAGATCCGAGACCGTGATCGAAGGGTAGTTGAGATTCGAGTTGCTGGTGTGCACGCGTGGGCAGGTGTGGTTGGTCCCCGGACGGACCACCTTTGCTATCTGTTCCTGGGTATAACCGATGTTGCAGAGGAAGATGACGTAGTCGCCGGCTTTCATGTCATAAACTAGCCCTGGATCGATGGCTTTCGTCGGGTTTATGTGGCCAGCGCCAATGTCAAATGGGTCGGAGGGTTTGGTCGATCCGCCCGACAGGAAATATTCGGACTTGGTGTCCTTGGTGTAAGCTGTATGAGTGGGCAAAAAACAGCAAATGAGCAGAGAAATACATGAACTCTATCCCGGCATTATGAAGTCCTAAGATAAGAAAAATTGTATGAGAAAGACAATTTCACTGTATCGTCCTGCATGTTAATTCATATGACAAAATGCCTAGGCTAATCCTGCACTTGAGCCGACAGCATCTTTCCCGTGAATTGACTGCTGCATCGGAACTACACGAATCATATTGGACGAGGACTGCTCGGTCAAAAGTACCCCTAGTTAATTACCGGTTGTCATCAGCGCCGATCTGATGGCTGCCGGCGACCAATCCGGGTGGGCCGATTTGACAAGTGCAGCTGTGCCGGTCACGTGAGGGCACGACATGGACGTCCCCGACTGAAAACTCCAATTCACCGAGCGTTTGTCCGAAGGAGACAGAGTTGGCGGCGTCTTCGGAGGCCATGCCGCTAGAATGTTGACTCCTGGAGCGCTTAAATCTGGCTGTTTGCCATATCATACATAAGATAATCAGCACAACTCCGATGTATCTTTGTCCTAGATATAGGAATCACGAGCTTGTTGAAGAAAGCACCGCCACTCTCTCTCCCTTCTCTAGAAATCTCTTAATATTACAAGAACATATACTCAACAGAGCTCTCTTTATTGATTTGACCCGCAAATCGACATACCTTGAGAATATCGGGCGATAGAGCGCTTGGTCCTCTGCAGGAAAAGAATGCCACTTCTGGTGCCGGCACCTTCCCGACTAGTGATTTGGCCGGCGTTATTTTCACCGTTGGGAGCCTTGAACATCCACAATGTTCAGCAAATTAACAACAACGATACAAGCATTCGTTAGAATTAGTCTTTAACTTGAGCAAATGCAGACTCCAGGCCAATCTCTCGGACCGACAATACTGCAATATTAGATTATCGTTCATCTTGGCTTTTCCTCTGAAAATGTTGGAAAAAATCAATGCACGTATACCTAACAATTTGAAGTGATCACTCAAGGGCTCGTCAGTTTAATATCACTAATGACTAATGGAATAGAAGAGGAGGTGTTCTATAAGGTGCGTGACCATACCATTCGGATGAACCGAGGTAGTGCAGGAGCTTCGTGCCTTGGTAAATGTCGATGTAAACCGTCGGGACCACATCGACATAAGGGACTTGCCTGCCTAGAGGCTCGACGAAGATCAACCCCGATCCACCGGCCTTCTTGACCGCAGCCGCTGCCTCGGCGCTCGTTATAAATCCCATTGTTGAAAAGCACAGGATGACTTTGCCGGCAGCCGGTCTGTTGTTCCATCCTTCCCGTAAACAAGCCCTGAAATTCAAAAAGAGAAAGAGAGGAAGAAAAGAATAAAATCGGTTATGAATTTGAGCAAGCTTGATTCGAAGGCTTTCGGTGAACAAAGTCCATTATGAAACAAGAACGTAATGCTTCACCCGTTGGAAAAAAACAAGCCGGCATCTATCAAGAGTGCATATACTTCGGTGGTGATCATGCTTTGTCCCTGTAATAAACAAGATTTCATGTAATTATTTCGATAGAGGTGCTTAATATATAGATTGGTAAATATCATACTACCATGACAGTCAAGTTGTTGTCGAAGACCATCTGCGTCGGGAACGAGCGGTCGATCGTCGAAGCCGCGACGGAGATCGACCACGGGGCCACATTCTTGACCCTCGATGGGTCCGGCGAGTACTCGTAGTTCCCTGCCGAGAACACCACCGTCACGCCCTTCTGCATGGCGTGGAAGCTCCCGATATCCGCACTCCAGTTGAAGAACGGGAGCAGCTGTCCGATCGTCGTGGAAATCGACGCGGATATTATGTGGACGCCGTCCTTCAGGGCGCCCTCGAAGGCCGCCAAAATGTCGGCCTCGCTGCACTCGCCGGCGCTGTCCCCGGTTTTGTTCCAGCAGACCTTGTACACCGCAAGCCGGGCCCTCGGGGCCCCGCCCCGGGCCGTGCCCGAACCGAGCCCGAAGAAGTTGACGTTGTGGACTATGGAGCCGACAGCAGTGGAGGCTGTGTGAGTGCCGTGGCCAAGCCGGTCCCGGGGCGAGCAGTACTCAGTGCCGGAAGAGGTGTCGAGAGGGCCGAGCTCCTGCTCCAGACCGGCTACGTAGTACCGGGCTCCGATGAGCTTGCGGTTGCACGTGGTCGACGGGAAGTCCTGGCCCGACATGCACTCTCCCTTCCAGGTCCGTGGGATCGGGCCCATCCAGGGCTCTTCCCGGAAGCTCGCGGATTCAGGCCATATCCCTTCGTGTGAATCACATCATCCATGAGTTATTAACCAACGTTAGCCCAAAGATGACATTGCTGCAACAATCCATATCCTAGTTTTGGTGCTTTATATGGCTGCGCTCATTATGTTTTAGTATGACTAAAGAGGGTCAATTCGGGTTCAAAATTCCTCAGTGAAATGTTCTTTAAGATTTTAAAGTAATCTTATCTTTTTTCTTAAATGGAAAAATAAGTGAGTTCTTTTATATATGTTTTTGTAGTCAAACTTTTATGGAAAATGGCACGAATAATTTCTGAACTTTAATCCAATGTGTAATGTGATCTTTGAATTTTTAATTTGTTGAACGTGGTCCATGAAATTTAACTCAATATGCAATGCGGTCCATAAACTTTTAATTTGTTCAATGTTGTCCCTGAACTCTTGATACATGTTCAATTTAGCTCCTGAACTATATGAAAATGTTCAATATAATCGTTCAATTAATTCAAGTTCAGAAACTACATCGAACATTTTCTCGTATGATTCGGGGACTACATTAAAGACGAATTCATACCAGGTTGGCTTATTAAATGACGATCAAAGAAAACTCTTCGCCGGCAAAAAGGATTCTGTGGATATCGTACACTAAAGACAAGTAAGTTCATACCAGGATGATTTATTAAATGACGCCCGAACTCATCTTGAATATAAAATATGGTCAATCTGTTTAAATGATGCTTCTAACAGTTTAACGAATCAATTCTGCTAAAAGCATCCGAGCTATCATAAGTCAAATAAAATTTAGTACAACCAGCCGAACACGAAAGACATTTAGTTTTTTAACCCTAACTTTTGCTTTCAAAAGTTGGTCAGCCACTTCACAGTTGGTTATCTTTTTCAAAGGAAAACAGATCATCTTGCTCGCGCAACACAATGCTAGAGCTGGTATAAAATTTTACAAGAGAGAGAGAGAGAGAGAGAGAGAAACCTGAGTCAATGACCCCCACAATGACGTCATCGCCAAAGGTTGATGAAACTGCACCATGAGGGGCTTCGTCATTATCAGGGGTCTCCTGTAATGGAAGGCCCATGAAGTCCCAGCTCCTTGTCGTGTCCAGCTTCAGAATCTTGCTCCTGAACACCGACACCACTCCTTCCTTTCCTGCATTACACACCCACACAACATTACCACACATAAGCACGATCATCCATGATATCTCATATCTCAGGTTCGTGTGGTCTCTCGAAGAGAACTTAGTTCATCGAAATGCTTACTGGCTATGGTGGCGGCTTGGTCCGGTGTGAGTTTCGCTGCAAAACCGGAGAACCCGTATGTGTAGGAATAGATCTTGGACTGTGCAGCTTCTTCTTCGCTGGAATAATAAGACCCAGGACCCAAGAAATAATAATAAATAAAGGTTCACGATCAGTGGGGCTTTTGATGATCAGTCTCATTTCATTATAGCACACTATCACAAGAAGAGGACTGCTGATTAGAGTTGACTTTATTTGAGTGGGGCAAGGGAAAGAAGACAGAAGAAAGGTTATGCACCTTTCGAAAACGTTAAGGAGGAGTTGCTGATGCAAGCCCGAGGTGAGTTGATGGTCATGCTGTGCGCTGTGCCCTAAGTAGACTATATGAACCTGTCATTTGAACAGAGAAGAGTGGGATACATTACTAACGCAAACAATAGCTAGCTAGACAAATGAAGCTAAAATTATTTCTAGGAAATCTTTTTCTTGGCAATGGTGTTTACCTCTGGTTCCGATGAGCACGTTGAGTAAATGAAAAAGAAGGAAAGTGAGAGCAATAGGCTCCAAAAAGAATGGAGATCATGGGCATAATGTTCTTCCATGTTTATATTCTCCATGTAAAAGAATGTTGCAGTTCTAGGGTTTAAATAGAGATGGGATGGAGAGATTGTTGAAGAAAGTGCGTGGAGTCTAAGGTTTCTAAAAGCTGCTACAGAGAGATGAGCCCTGACAATACCCAACTCCTGCTTTAGATTCATTATGTTGTTTTCCCTTCAAAGATATATGGATGGTAGATAATGAAGCAAACTATAGATAATGAAGCAAACTATCTCCTCCTCCTCCTCCTCTCTCTCTCTCTCTCTCTCTCTCTCTCTCTCTCTCTCTCTCTCTCTCTCTCTTTTTCTCTGTGCGTAGTGTGTGATCTTATGAAGTCTATACTGTCTCTATATATCTTGCAGGTGCAATTGCAGCTAAAGACTAAGTTTATGTGTAAAATAGCACAAGTGGATGAACATGATCATGAGAAGGAAAATGAGTATGTTTTGATAAGTATTTTGACATTTGCTTCAATATTCACTGTCCAGCATAAAATTTCTTGCTGAAATTCTTCTTCTTAAATGTCTTAGAATACTCTCTCTAGGTTTAGCTAGTGTTTACTTATCAAAAGTTATACTTCAGAAAAACTGACCTATATATGACTTCTTAGTGCTCTCCCAAAAGCAATAACGGCTTCTATAGTCTGATTTAGGGGTTAATTATCTGAAGGATCACTTTGTATCATTGCTAATTCACTTAGTTCTTGTTTAATGTCATATTGTCCTTAAAGACAACTCCTCTCAAGAAGAACACGATGTCGATATGAAAGGGAACTGTCGACCGCTATGTCCCGACATGTGGTTAGTAGGAATGATCATTTCAAATTGTAGCTGCTAGGTTTTTACATAAAACATATACAGACATGTAGGCACTCACAAGACTTGATAGACAGCCAACTTATTACATCACATTGTATGAAATCATTACTTAAATATGCTAGATTTTCACCACCGAACCGTATCAATTCAATTAAACGTTACGTAATCGCAAGTTTGCAATCAAGGTCCAATGCTTATCAAACACTCTACACCTGCCAAGTTAAATTTCACATCATGCAGAACCATCAGGCAGGTTAAACTTGAGAACTTTGCTTTGGCAAATGGCATCTGATTACATCCACAGAACTTCCCTATAATTGCATCCCCATGATTTTACTAAATTTGATTGATGTAAAGCACCTAGCTTGCTTTCATAGGCAGTAATTTCAAGTGCAACAGATCTATGGAGAGATCATTTATGTGCTCAGACCTTACCTTCCAGAGCAATTTTGAGTTCTCTGGATTGTGAAAAGACTGATGAAATCATTCCAAGGATGGGAAGAGAACATTTTGTCTTCCTAAGTCAGTAAAGTCATTTTAAGTGTATATATATATATATATATATATATATATATATACACAACATCTATCTTGAGTAGTCATAATGTTGGAGACACAAGGCCAGCTAGTGCCAAGTTTCAAGTAGACCTCAAAGCAAAAGCAGGTCTGCTCAAAGTCATACGGATATGCATATAATAGATCAGTTTGCAACTTCTTGCTGATAAAGATGATGAGTTCCCTTGCATATATATGTATACTCTTTTACCAAAAACTCGTAAAAATCTGCCATGTGAAATGCAAAAGTCATGTAACGGAATCTAGCAATGTAGGCACCAATGATAACATATACAGATTCATTGTAAATACAATGCATGTAAATGGATTGAAGACTTCGAATAAGTTGTCCTCTTCTGTAATATATAGGACTGATCAGGCGATCCAATAAGTAGTTATAGTTCAATGGTTTAAGGAACCCTACATGCAGGTTATGTTCATTGAAGAACATATCCAGAAAGCCAAGCTCCAGGAAAAGAAAAAAGTTCCTCAGCTAAAGAGAGATTAATTGTGAATGCTGTCCGGGCATACAAATACCAGCTTACAAAGTTGCTACCGTGGAAGGCTCTTGCTGGGTTTGAATATGACTCACTTGGTTAAATACTCATATAAAGGGTCACATCACTTAGTATGCGGAATTAACAGACCAATCTCAATATAGGTCATTAAGCAAATTAATTAGCAGCATCAGAACCAATCTGAGAACAAAAAGAAACCCTTTTGACCTCAAACCGGGTAGTTGATTAGCTGAAATTAGTTGACAAATGGCCTTATCTTGATGAAGGTGGGATCCACTGCTTCTGCCAGAGAAAAAACAAGTCTTAGTTTGGCCAATATTAACAATACCAAACCCACCAAACTGCCTCCTCTTTAAAGGCTAAGCTGAAAAAAGTAGTTCATGATTCTTGTCCTTTCCCATAATTCAATTGTAAGGACTCAGGTGGAATAAGATTGTCAGTAGTCAATTTGCAATATTTAGCTTAAGATCAAGATTCATCATGAATATAAATGGTCGATGGTCATTATAACTACTGCTTTTGCTCTCTGGTTTATAGAGATCTAGTATCTACCCAGAAGTCATAATGAGGAATCTATTGCAGTGAAGTGGAGGAAAATTTCATCTCGAGATCAGAGTGCGCAGGGCAATCAAGAGCAAATATGGAAATGAAAGTTAAGTGGCCAAGATAATGTTCCTCTTGCTTTCTCCAATCTCAATGTCCTTAAGTACCGATTCTTGCAGCTTTGATTCAGCACGTCCACGTATAGGAAACAGAAAAGAAAGAGGCACAGAGACATCAAATCCCTTGGAGAACAATGGAAGTGTATTTAGTCCAGTGCTTTAGGTGGGTATGTGTCAGCTATCTGCACTCATTTGCATCCATGAAGTAAAATATTGCTGCTCCAAGAACAAAAGAAGTCACGGTACCTTTTTCTGCTGGGTTTAAAATTTTGTTGGGCGGGAGTTGAAATCAGTTGATGAAAAAGAGGGTAATCTATCGTCATTACATTCGAATATTTTATTATAACGGTTATATCATATTGGAAATAAGCTTTCGCATGCTATATTAGACTCATGTCTTCAGTCCGATCAAAGACAGATCATCCATATAAAAAATACCCCCAAGGGTTGGGTTGCGCCTAAAAGGAGACGAAAGACTCGTGCATCTTCAGGTCATTTGGAGAAGCTTTATTTTGAGTTATTGAACTTGCATCACTTGGGTATCCTATATTGTCCTTTTCTTATTATACAATTATATGCGGGGGGAATTATAGGCGAGTATTTTATTGAATGAAAGATGATGAAGATAATGAAATGACCACTAGCCATTTTAAGTTAATTCTGAGCATCCATCTCTGCACGTCCATCAAACATTCTTCCAAGGAAAAATGTGTATTCGAAAAAGAGCAATGGTAAACTCTCCAAGATTGGAGTAGGAACTTAGAGTATACTAAGTGAATGCGACATACTCTAAGGCTGCGTTTGGTCGTCCGGATTTCTAAACAGGATAGGACTGGATAGAATAGGATAAGAAATCCTGGGATTTCTTCATATCCTATCCACTGTTTGGTGGACTACGGATTTAAAGTCGGATAGGATAATTTTTTTTTTTTTGCTATTCACGGGTCCGGAGGAGTCGGTGAAGGAAAAAAAGCCGAGAAATTTTTTTGGTGAAAGCGCACAAGGTGTGGGGATGAAGATGACGGCGAGTGGAGCGTAAGGTTTTTGGAAAAATAGGCATTAGAAATCCTATCCAGATCTATTCCACCCCCCTCGGATTTTTTTATCCAGGCTATATCCGGTCTATATCCGACCTTATCCTATCTTGGACCACCACCAAACACAGGATATGATAAAACATATCATATCCTGGCTTTTATCCGGTCGACCAAACGTAGCCTAAGTGAATATATTTAGTTAAATGTGCCATATTTAGTATGTGATAAGCATCTACCATGTCACTTACTTGTATGTCCCAATTATCCCAATTCCATGCTGATGCGCACAAAATATTCATTAGGGAGTTCAATATGTAGGGCTTTAACTTCATCCCCCTTTTCTGACCGACCAATCAAGGCCAGGAATTTCGACCAAAAATAAAAAAATCAGGGCCAAGAAACCATAAGCACAGTATCATCTTTGCTCTCGACACAGCATGCATTTCTCCATGTGCTGACATCAATTGTTGTCTAGGGCACATGGTGCAATGTAGGGCACATTAACCCCTAGTCTTCTCCCTCACGTATGTCTTTTGCTATGGGGGGCTGCCTCTTTCATTGCAAAACGCTCTCTTTTTAGCAAAAAAGACGTGCGAAAGAAAAAAGGAAGATTGCATGTGGATGGAGAAAGGGTTTTTGAAGGCTAGGGCTCTAATAAAGTGTTTTTGGAAGACCCGATAGGAACTAAGACTTAGCCAAACCATCAAGTGCAGCTCTTTCTGTTGACCTTGGTCGAATCGATGCTCATTTGAAACAATTTGCGCCGTTGATAGGGTTATTATTGACTTATTAATAAATGTTGGGTTATAAAAACAAGCTACTTCAATTGACCCACAAGAGGATATTTAAAGTAGGAAAACATTGTCATACAATGTCTATGGTTTAGATGATTATAGAAGATGACGGATGCATTATCGCATGATATTTTGATTTCCAAATACATATATTTGATAATTTATGGGCTTTGGGGTGGAAATCTAGTTATTTGGGGACTCATGAAACGTTCTACAGACCCATTAATCGATTGCTAAAGTGCAAGCGGCTTCGACCTCGAGACGGAAAGGACGACGAGAGCCTGATAGGCTGTGAGGATTCGAAGAGGCTAAGCCCGATTAAGGTCAAAGGGCCCAAATTCCTGGGCCTGGGCCTGGGCGAGTCATCGAGAGTGTCCAACACAAATCAAGTAGGAGTAGGAGTAGCTAGTCCCTCCAAATTAACATGGAAAATTTTGCACAATATTTGCTTCTTCCCCTTTAATTCTGCTTTAGAATCAACAATAACAATCGTGAAGCATGAAAATGGGAGAATGCTGCGGAACGTGTTTTCAAATTCGGTTTTCAATTTTCATCCTGCGCATGTTTGATTTATGGATTAAGGCTTCGTTTGTTTTGCGAAAAAATTTGACATTTTGGAAAATATTTTCCAACAAATTATAATATAGGAAACTGGCAATATTTTCATTTTTCGGCTGAAATCTGAAAATGAATTGGAAATTATTTGTCATCATTCGGAAACGAAAACTTAATTTTATTTCCGTAAAGAGGCAT